GACCTACGCATTGCGTTGTAACCGAAAGCAGGTCCGGCTGCCTGCTGCTGTGAAAGCTAATACTTGAGAGGCAGGTGCTTATGTAAATAAAGGAAGCTCGTTTATCTGCAGGTGGGACTCACGTCTCAGAGCCCATCGCCCCCTCCCCGCGGAGGCGGAGGGTCCTATGAGGAGGGAGAGGGAAAAGGACAAAGAGACCAGGGGAGAGGGTTGCAAAGTTCTCCACGTGCCGATGGGCGCAGTCCGTCCCAACGAGGCGGGCGACGGTCCCGTGTGCGCCATCCTGGCTGCACGGGTGAAGGACAGCAAAGCCCCCAGAGCTGGGATGCGGGGAAGTCAGGGTCTGCGTCTTCTGAAGTTAGTTCCTAGGCTTCCCGTACAAACGTGCTGCTCATCGCGAAGCTGCGCATTAGTCAGAGGCCGCACCTACAGAAACAATGTCAAAGGAATGGTGGGGTGGGTTACAATTTCCCACCATTACAATTTTCCACTGTTACAAATCCCCACTGTCATTTTTTCTTCCATTTCTATGGAAGTTAGATGGCAGTAGCTAAAACATTTCAGAAAACTAGAGAAATTCAGGATCCAGTATAGCTAATAGGGAAAATAAAATTTTAGACAGTTCACTGAAATAGAGTTTAATAATCATAGCTCTGTATAATAGATCTTATTGAAACATAATTTTCATCCTAAAGTCATCTTCATTTTCATCAAAGAGCCAAATCAATACCAATTCATTAACTGCATTAGGTCCAAATTCAATATTTCCTGATTATTTGCGTGAACACAACAGGAATAGCAATTGAGCATACAGGCTCTCTTAAGTCTACTTTGCTGGAATGTTACAAGGAATATTCAAAGTCTTGGTTAATAAATTCACAATTGGAAACTGGAAAAAGTCATATTCTTATTGAATTTATGCTAAGAACCATATCGCCATGAAAAAATAACACTCATTGAGAGTTTGCAAATTCTGGGGAGCTCAAGTGGGGAGAAAAATATAAGTGCTTCCGTATTGCTGAAATTTACAAAGTCGATCTAAGAAAGCAAAGAATTTTTTTTTAAATCAGCAATATTTTGAACAAAGTTTTAAGAACAATAGTTATCCTCCGTTTGTAAAGTCGACAATCAATTATTGTTTATCCTGATTATCCACCGGTATCTATAAATGCCATCATTTCCCAGAACCCTAAAAATCCCCACCTATTTCAAAGGCATGATCTGAAAATATTTTTATTTTATTTTTTTAAAAGACTTTTTAAAACCTATTTATTTTTAAAAGGAGAAAAGGAGAGAGAGAGGGAGAGAAACATCCCTGTGTGGTTGCCTCTCACACGCCCCCTACTGGGGGCCTGGCCCGCAGCCCAGGCCTGGGCCCTGACTGGGAATTGAACTGTGACCCTTGGGTTCGCAGGCTGGCGCTCCATCCACTGAGCCCCGCCACCAGGCTCAAAGGTATGATCTGAAAATGTATTCCGAGAAATATATTTTAGAATAAGTCAAAGTCACTTCCATGGCTTTTTGTGAAGATATCATATTTTTTCAAATTCATCATAGTGAAACAATGACTGCCTCTAAATGACAAAAACATATTTGAAATGACATGGTTATAGATCAGATTACCATGCAATTGACAAAAAAATTTGTTTTTTTTTTTGCAACAACATTTTAAGATAACACTCAAAATTTCAAAATAAAATATATCAGACCAAGAAATCAATTAATTTATTCCCCCCGTCTAATTGCACCTGGGGTTTCTGGTGGAAATACCAGTTGGTTGTGGGAAATCAAAAGGAATTTTTGGCTTTTTCATTTGTCATTAAAGTTATCACTTTGCTTTGCCGTTTATCCATGTGCCTTTCTTTTTCTCTCGTATTCCTTTTTCTTCCCGATTTCCATTTCCCTCATTGAGTTTCCTCCTCCGATGTCTTCTCTTCCTGTACGTCCCTTTTCTTTTTCAATTCTCACCTCCTCCACATCCTCAATTCTTTCTTTTTGTCCCTCCCCTCTGCACAATGTTCCCTCAACTCGCACCGACTCCGTGAGTTACACGGACCTTCTGCGGCTCCTGATCCTTCAGGTTTTGCCCTTTTAACTCATCTAGAAATAACTTAATTTAGAATAACCCACTTTCAATTACATTTCCTTCAAAAATATCTTGCCATAATTTATACTTCTATTACCAAAAGCATATCTTCTTTCCCAACTTAATTAGAATTTTCCATTTTTAGTGACCACTAAAATTAATTAGGACTTTTTCAGATTGGTAAACTTGTGAATACATTTCATAACTTTCAGAAACAGGTTTTTTGTTTGTTTGTTTGTTTGTTTTACATTAGCAAATACACTTAGCGTTCTTACCTTGGTGGTTGCCGCATTCCTTTAGGGTGCTCAGAATCAAGCTGTTGCGTTACCTAGTGCCCTGAGGAGGCTGGAGAGGAGGGGTGGGGACATGACTTGAGCCGCTTCAGTTTAAAATACCCACTTATTTCCCATTTCCCTTTCTGAGTTTTACTGTCTGAGAGGGCAGTGAGATCTTTTTCCACTTCAAACCACCAATTTTAATCTTGAGTACCATCCTTATGATGTAACAAGAAAGCTTAGGCATTTGAGATCTTGTCCCATTTGCTAGACCTTTGGCAAAACAATTCAATATTGAGACCATGCCATTCTTTTCAAAACAAAAACAAGAACAACATCTAAAGCAAAGACAAAGAACAAGCAGAGGAGTACTCTCAAACTAAATCCTCAGAGATCAAACCAAGTCTCTGAAAGATAAGAAAACAAGCAAAAAACTGTAACCAAAGCCTCGTCTCAGCCAGAGGCGAGCAGCAGAGGCGAGCAGCAGAGGCGAGCTCACCGGGAGGGGCAGCCCTCTCCCCGGGCAGAGACAGGCGCACGAGCCGAACAGACGATTGAGAAGCTGCGTGCAACTAGAAAAGCAAACAATATCTAAAGCTAAACCAAAACCAAAACCAAAACCAAAACCAAAACAGTGCTCCAACCAACTCCTACACTGGGATTTTTTCTTGATGCCAAGCCATGCCTCCTGCCGAAGGGCGCCCATCGATCCCTACAGAACCCCAAAAGGTCAAGGCCGTGCACACCACGAGGGCTCGGCCGGCCGATGCCACGAGAGGGAGAGCAGGAGAGTCCCCGGGCCGAGGCCCCTCGGCAGCTGCTGGGAAGCCCTGCAGTGCCTGCCGTGGGGTCAGCTGTCACACACAGCCGAGGCCCCTTGGCTCAGGCCCCCCAGGACTTACCAGGGTCTACATAGTCCCATCTGGAGTAGCCAAAAACTGTGACCAAAAACAGGTATGAAAGCTAATACTCGAGAAGTGCGTGCTGATGTAAATAAAGGAAACTCGTTTATCTGCAGGTGCCAGCCACCGGGAAGACAGGGACTCACGTCTCAGAGCCCATCGCCCCCTCCCCGCGGAGGCGGAGGGTCCTATGAGGAGGGAGAGGGAAAAGGACAAAGAGACCAGGGGAGAGGGTTGCAAAGTTCTCCACGTGCCGATGGGCGCAGTCCGTCCCAACGAGGCGGGCGACGGTCCCGTGTGCGCCATCCTGGCTGCACGGGTGAAGGACAGCAAAGCCCCCAGAGCTGGGATGCGGGGAAGTCAGGGTCTGCGTCTTCTGAAGTTAGTTCCTAGGCTTCCCGTACAAACGTGCTGCTCATCGCGAAGCTGCGCATTAGTCAGAGGCCGCACCTACAGAAACAATGTCAAAGGAATGGTGGGGTGGGTTACAATTTCCCACCATTACAATTTTCCACTGTCACAGTATCACTAATATCAGCAGGTTTTTCCCCCTGTTTTCCATTCATTATCATCAAATGCTTAGAACAAAACTCAATGAAATAACCGAACTACCTCACAGATGTCTGTCTGGGCCCCCAGGACCCAAGCGAGCGCTTGGGGGGCGTGAGAGGCTGTGACAAGGCCAGGCCGAGGAGCCGGGCGCGGCAGGCTGCCAGGAGGGTGCTGACGGCGGCACGATCTGGGAACGGGCGGCCCCGGCCCGGCCTGGGGCCTCCCGAAAGCCAGCAGCCGCGAGGAGCTGGGGGCCCGCGGAGGCGGCGGAGGCGGGAGGACAACGGGGAGAACAAGTGTGAGGGTCCCACGTGGGCCTGGGGGCCAGGCCCCGACCCCGGCCAGGGGTCAGGCGGACCCTCAGCGGCCCCGCGCAGGGGCCTGGCGGCTGGGAGCGGGGGGCTTCTCCCTAGGGGCCACAGGGCGAGGAGAGCCTAGTCCTGGCCCTGAGGCCCACTGCCCGGGGGGGTGGCAGTGAAACAAGGGGAGGTGGCTTTGTGCTTCCTGTCGCTGCCAGAACTGATGAGGCAGAGACAAGGGTCGAATCTCCGTGGGCGCTTTGTTCAGGTGCGGCGATCTGAGAAGACGGGGGGCTATGTACCCTAACAGACTGCCTTGATGTCTCATCTCCATCCAGTCCACCCATTTTTTTAGAAGAAAAGGGTAGTAAGGGGCTTGGAATTCAGGGCAAAGGCTGTGCCCTGGCTGGTGCGGCTCAGTGGACAGAGCGCCGGCCTGAGAACCGAGGGGTCGCCGGTTCGATTCCCAGTCGGGGCTCAGGCCTGGGTGGCGGGCCAGGTCCCCAGGAGGGGGCACACAAGAGGCAACCACACATGGATATTTCTCTTCCTCTCTTTTTCTGTCCCTTCCCTCTCTCTAAAAAATTAATAAATAAAATCTTTTTTAAAAAAGAGAGACAAAATTTTCCCAGGGAAAAGAGACCCCGGTGGTGGGAGGAACAACACCCTCTTCCACCCGCCTGTCTCTCCATCTCTCTCTCTTCCTCTCTCTCCCTCCTCCCCACCTTCCTCCCCCGCCCCTGCTCTGTCTCTTCCCCAGAGCGTGCTCTCTCCACCCACTGCATTCCCCGCCCAGGTGGAGGAGGAGGAAGACAGAGCTGGGGTTCGGGCAGCTTCCTTTCTGCCTGCAGTTCTGCCAGAGCAGAGGAGGGGAAGAGACCGCGGCGGCTGGTGCTGGCTCGCTAGGGGCATGGGGACCCCATGGGCGCCCTGGCCGCTCCTCTGGGCAGTGCTACAGCTGGGCTGGCGGCCAGCATGGCTTCTAGGTAGGTGGCCAGGGTGGGGGGCGAGGGTCAGGGCTGGGAGACCTCGGGCCCTCGGTCCTGGCCGGGGGCCAGGGCTGTGGCGGGGCCCGTGGCAGGGTGCGGTGTGGCTTTGAGCCAGGGAAGCGCTCCCTGGGCTCCCCTGGAGGGAAGGCCCCTGAGCCGGCAGGGGTAGCCTAGCTCCTCCTCCGCGTCCAGCGGCAGCAAGCCGGTGCCCTTCTCTGGAGGACGACAGGGCTGGGCTGGCCAGAGCCCCAAACCTGGGCCCAGCTGCCCCAACTGGTGTTTCCCTGGGATGGACCAGCCTCACCTGGGGCCGCCTGGCTCCTGGGGTGACGGCGGGGTGGGGTGGCCCAGAGACATACTCGAGTTACATCAAAGTATCCATGTGAATAAAGACCGTCCCCCCAGCCCCCTCGGGGACCAGGGGGCACACGCCTGGGGCCTGGCCCTGAGCCCTTGTGCGGGCCGTCCGCTGGGCAGGCCCTGCAGGCCATGGCAGCAGCTGACCATCAGGGCGCGGGGCTGCCCGTCTCCTCAGCCTGCGGGGCCCAGTGGGAACTGGGGAAGGCGGATCCCCAGGCCCGGCCCAGGGCCTTCCCTCTGGGCCTCAGGGGGTTGGGGGAGCGGGTGCGAGGGTCCCTGGAAAGCCCAAGACGAGGCGGGGCTGCCTGGCACCTGGCGTCCGGGCGCCCAGGGGCCCTTGGTCACTCTGCCACTCCAGGGATGGGCGATGACAGGGCAGGGGGAAGCCCCGCCTCTGCTCCTCAGCGTGGCCTCCTTTCCGGGGGGACCTCAGGGCCAGTGGAGAAGCTCAGAGCTGGGGCCAGCAGGCCAAGGGCCTGCGACCAAGGCTGCCCGGTGGAGGGCCTTGTGGGGGCCCAGACACAAGAGGAGAGGGTTCCACCGGGGAGGGGGGCCCACGGCGCCCAGGGAGGTGTGACCGCCCTCCGTGGCCCTGCCCCAGCGGGACCCTTCCCAGAGCTGGGAATGAGGTGACTCTGCTTCCTCGGCCAGACCCTCCAGTTTCCGGTGCATTTGCCTGTGTCTTGGGCAAGATTTTCAGACTCAGCGTGCCTTGGTTTCCCCATGTGCAACCTGGTCTTCAGGGGTGGCCCCGCTCAGCGCAGAGCACGGTGCTGCCGAGTCGCCGGCCTGGGGGGTCCTCCTATTCGATGACATCTTCCTTCCTTGGTAATTCATTCACTCTATTTATTATATTAGCCATTCCCATGGAAACCCCCTCCGTATATGCATGTTTTTCTGGCATTTTATGAAATATCCCAAGCCCAGCGGTGGGCGGCCCCCGCCCCCGTGCCGGGAGGAGAGCGAGCGGTGAGCCCGGAGCCGCGCGGCGAGGACGCCTGCCCGGCGGGGCCCTGGAGTCAAGCCAGACCACGTACGCGGACTGGCTGGCAAGCCTGCAACACACTTTTTAAGTCAGATTGTTTTATTTATTTCTCAACTTACATTTTGAAAAAAAAGTTGAAACGTACAGAATAGTCACAAAACCAGCAGTGAACGCCCTTCACCCAGAGTGGCCCGCTGAGGGAATGGGCCCTTTGGCTGTGCGTCTCAGCGGCGCGACACACGCCACAGGCTGGCGGCTTCACCGCAGGGGGTCACGGTCTCCCAGCGCGGCAGCCCAGCGCGGGTCCCAGGGGAAGCCGGGCTGGCTCATCAGAGGCCCGGGGAGGGTCGGCCCCGGACTCTCGGGCCCCGGGCGGTGCTGTCGCCCGTCTGGTGCCTGGACTTGCAGGCACACCCCCAGCTCCCTGCCCCCGCCCCCGCGCGTCTGCCGGCCGCCCTCCTCCAACACGGGCGCCGTCCTGCTCCTCGGGCCACTCCCGGGCCCCGCCTCAAACAGTTGCCCGTGGGGCCACCGGTTTCCCAGCCAGCCCTCATCGAAGCGCGGGGTCAGGGCTCGGCAGGCGGGTCTGGGCCCACGTCCCCTCTGTGCGTCACCGAGCCTTGGGCTGAGCCGTGGGGGTCTGGTTGCTCTGCTCGGGCCGCAGAAGCCCCTCGTCCCAGGGCGGCAGCCCCCCGCAGCCCCCCAGAGTTCAGATGCCCCCACGTCCCAGTGCTGCCTGCAGGCCTGGAGGCCACTGTCCTCGGCGTCCTGGGACCAGAGCAGGCCCTGGAGTTCTTTTTGTAAAAAAAAAATTCACTTCTCAACTTTATTGCGCATATGGAAACCTGCAGAACGAGAAATGTTTTTACTGAGGTACAACGGACACCACGTGGCCTCAGTTTCAGGCGCACAGCGACTGTGTCGGACTGTGGGTCCGACGTCCGCCCACAGTGCCCAGCGAGGAGCCTGGGAAACAGCCATCGCCGAGCGCAGTCGCGGCTCTTCCTTCCCGCAGAGGGGACTGCCGAGGTCCACCCTCCTGGCTGCTCTCAACTGCGCAGTAGCTGTGCCCCAGTCTCCGCAGGTGTTGGTCCCCGACACCCGGGAACCCTGGCCGAGTCTTGCATGTTGCACAGATCTGCTGCGGTCTGGTTAGTGAAGGTATTTCCCATGGTGATATGAGTTAGCAGCTTTGAGCTACCTGTGTTTGGATTCAACAAAAAAATCACATATTGCAAACTCTGAGACGCAGGTTTCTAAATGTCAGAGGAAGGATAAACCGTGCGGTACCAGGTCGGAACTGGATCAGAACTTGAACTCACGGCTTTGAGTCGCTCTCAGAGCGGCCGCCCCTGCCGGCCCCCGCCACTGCCTGGGCTGCCAAGGGTCCCTCCGCACGGGACTGTCGTGAAATCTGGGAAATCCTCTTGGGTCCTTTCCTTTCCTCAAAGCCGCCACCTGGGGTGCTCTTACTGACTCACACCTGGTACCTGATCATATTTTCCTAACTAGTCTCAAGGTTTCCAGAGGCAAACGAAGGTGTCAGAGGTGGGTGCACCGTGGGAGCGGAAGGGGTGTCCCGGCAATGGCGTGGCCTCGGGGGAGGGAGCCCGGACGCAGCCCCAGATGCAGGAACTTGCGCCTGATGTCGCAAGGAGAGGTCTGAGACCCACATCTTGATGTGACACCTTCTATGTCTTATGTGCTAATGAATTCTAGCCTGTTTTGTTTTGTTTTCTTTAAAGTTCTAAGTGAGGTGAAAGGGGAAAAACTGCATCTGAAGCCAGATGTCCCCGCCACAGCCATTTGCAAGTTCCGGCCTAAAGCTCATGAGAACAGGTGACATTTGCTAAGTGACTACAGTTGCCCCTTCGCATCCAGGGGCCTCTGGACCGAAACGCGAGGACACTGCAGGCCCTTCTGTTATGAAACGACGTAGCATTTGCATAGAACGTCGGCGGGGGCACCCGCGATCGCTGTGTCCCCTGGATTCAGCAAACGCCCGGCACATAGCGAATTTAAGTTCTGTGCTTTGGCATTTTCTGGGATTTTTGGTTTTGAGTATTTCCACTCGCGACAGGGTGGGTCCCTGGATGTGGAACCCGTGGATGCGCGGGGCTGGCCGTTCGGGGTTACGAATCATAGTCACCCCGTTCTCCCCGCACCCCCAGGACCCTCTAGTCTCGTAACGGACGTCTCTTCCCTCGGACCCCCTTCTCCCACACGCCCCGACCTGTGGCAGCCAGCAGTGTCTCCTCTGTGTCCAGGAGCTCGCTTTTTGTTTGGTTTTGTTGTTTCTCTTTTAGATTCCACGTGTAAGTGAGATGATGTGGTATTTCTCTTGGTCTGTCTGGCTTACTTCACTGAGCACAATGCCCTCAGGGTCTGTCCAGGCTGTCAAAATGGCAAAATTCTTCTGTTTTGTTTTGCTGAGTAATACACGCGCACCGCGTCTTCCTCCACTCCTCTCCCGGGGGGCCCTTAGGCCGCCCACAGGCCTCGGCCACCCCTGACCCGCTGCCGTGAGCGTGGACACGCACTCGCCTTTTCTGTTAGGGTGTTTTCCTTCACGGAGATGCCCAGCCACGGAACTGCTGAATCATGTGGTCGTTCTATTTTTAATTTTTGAGGAGTCTTCACACTGTCCCCGCAGCAGCTGCCCTAGTCTGCATTCCCACCGACAGTGCACGCGGGTCCGCTTTCCTCCGCGTCCTCGCCAGCACTCGCTGTTTGTCGACTCACTGCGGGCGGCCGTCCCGACGGGTGTGAGGCGGGGGTCTCACTGTGGCTTCATTCGCACGTCGGTGGTCACGAGTGGCGCTGCGTGTCCCCCGGGGGAAGCGCCTGTTCCAGTGCTCTGCTCGTTTGGTAATCGACTGTTTGTTTTGTTTGTTTTGAGTTTTATGGCTTCTCTATATGTTTTGTACCTTAACCCCTTATCGGATGCGTGATTTACAAATATCTCCTCCCATTCTGTAGGCCGTCTTCCCCTGCGGTTGATGGTTTCTTTGCTGTGCGGAAGCTTTGCCCTCTGGCGCAGGCCCGCTTGCCCGCGCTGGCTTCTGCTGCCAGCCCTGCCGTCCCGAGGGGCCCCAGCCCAGGGCCCCCGACCTGCATGCGGCTGATGTTTGCTCGTCCCAGGTCACAGAGGTGCTGGTCCTTCTTGGGGCACCCGTTGGGGACCCCGCATGGGGACATTCTCTCTGGGCTCCTTTTCCCCTTGTGATGAGTAAGAGACTCGTGGGGGCAGGTGCACGGGGACAGACCCACCTTGTCACCTCAAATTCTGTGAGAAGTGCCATAAAGAGCCAACAGACAAGTGACCCAAATGGTCACAACTTAAAGTTGGGGATGGGGTCGAAGAGATGCCGAACTGAAAGGAAACAAGGGACACCCTTCCGCAAGGGCAAGGACAGGGTCCCAGGACCCAAGGGCAGTGTCCGCACTGGGGCTCTGTGGAAGGGGCCGTGTGGGAAGGGGCGGGGGCTTCGTGCACTGCGTGGGCCCCCAGTGAGCTTCTGGGTGGCCCCGGCCACAGGCGGGGATTCTGGTTGGAGGCCCTGGCAGACTGGACGCAGGCGGAGGCGTGGATTTGGGGAGGAGATGGGAGGGCGACCTGGGGCAGCGCTGGCCTGAGGGGCCTTCCTGGGGCGTGAGAGCAGGGCGCGGGCTTCCCGCAGCGGCCGCTGGCGGGCGACCCCCGGGCAGGGCGGGCCCACGGAACCCAAGCTCTGCGCTCTGTGGCTGCAATGTCACTGCACGATGGTCACGCACATGACACTTTCTTTAGAAGGGCTTGCGTGCTTCCCTTTCACGTGTGTGGAGAAGCTGGGCCTCAGTGTAGCCAAGGGGTGGGCCTGGCCCTCGGGAAGTCCGGGCCCACAGTCACAAAGAAGAGGAGGTCTGGCCGTGCCCCCAGCACTGGCTGTGTCACCCCCCGAGGACCCCGCCTGCCCCGGCCACCCCCAGCCCCGGCCTGGCCCCATCCAGGCCCCCTGGCCGCCCTGACGCCTGTGCCCCTCCCAGCCAATGGGACATGCCCTCCACAGAGCCGTGCGTGGGGGTACCTCCTGCCTCCAGCTCCTGCCTCCGGCTGGCAGGACCCACAGGGACACCCCTGCAGCCTCGGGATCGGCCGCGTTCCGGCCTTGACCAGGTGCCAGTGGGCAGGAGAGGGGCCAGGGAGGGAACCTAGCAGGAAGCCCAGGCTGACGGGACCCTGGTCTCTCCTTGCCGGTGTCCTCAGGGTAACGGGGATGGGGAGTGGAGAAGGTCCTGTCTGGCCCTGAGCAGGCCCGCAGGAAGGTGAGGACACCGGGAACAGCGCGGAGCCCGCCCGGCCTCACCGCCTCAAGGGCCACGACTGCCATGGTTCTCTCCCGCGAGAGGCGCTCCGTGGGGATGGGGGTGTCCTGGCCACACGCGCCCCGGTGTGGCTCAGACCGAAGGCACGCTGGGTCTGGGTCTCGGGCCGCCCTGCAGTCCTCGGCCCCTCCGCAGGCACCTGGGCAGCCGCGCAGGGGCAGGGCGGCGGCGGCGGCGGCAGCGGTGGCGGCGGCGGCGGCGGCTTGGCCTCAGGGCCAGCACGGCGCACACTCCCGACTAGGGAGGGACGCGGGAGCAGGCGTGAGCACGTGCGTGTGGATGCGTGTGAGGGAGGGAGAGAGTGACCGAGCATGTGCATGCCTTCCTGTGTCAGAGACCCTGGAGCCCACGCTCCCGCCTGCATGTCCTTGTTTGGGGGATCGTGGGCTGAAGCCCAGGGTGTGGGGCCTCCGTTTCTGTCCACCTCAGGGGCAATGGCCCAGCTGGCCTCTGAACTCCGGTTCCCCCGGCCTTGGCAGAAGCCGTGCCCAGGTCCACGGTGCCCACGGGGAGGCCCCAGCTCTGAGCTTGTCCTGGAACAGGGGCAAAGGCTGGCCTCTGAGCCACCGGGGCTGGGCTCTCCATGGAAGCCCCCACAGTCCTGGCCCGGTGCCCGGCTACCTTCCCTGTCCACTGGCACAGCGCAGACAGGCCAGGGACCTGGGTTGGAGAACTGGGGACCTGGAGTCAAGGAGGGAGGGTGAAGGCCCCCAGCCACCTCTCGGGGGCCTGGGTCAGAGCCGAAGGCCACCCGGGGTCCCTGGACAACCAGCGGACAAGGTCCCGTCATGGTGTCGCCTAGTGGGGGGGTGAGCGGCCCGTCCCTGGGGGTGTGCAAGGAGAAGCTGCAAGACTCCATGGCAGAGGCTCCGCACAGGGGGCTCCAGTGTGGGCTGGGCTTTCCAGAACCTTCCTACTGGATGGGATGTGGGAAAGTGGGAGGGGTCCTGGTGGGCGGCCACGTGCCCCTTCCTCAGGACCCTCTTCCCCTCTCTCTGTGCTCCAGAAACGCCCGACAGGCCCCGGGGCCCCCTCACCTTCAGCCCGGCCCAGCTCACCGTGGCCGAAGGGGAGACCGCCACCTTCACCTGCAGCTTCTCCAACACGTCCGAGCACTTCGTGCTCAACTGGTACCGCGTGAGCCCCAGCAACCAGACAGACAAGCTGGCCGCCTTCCCCGAGGACAGCGGCCAGGCCCGCAGGGACCCGCGCTTCCGGGTGACGTGGCCGACCAACAAGCGGGACTTCAAAATGAGCATCCTCGCTGCCCAGCGCAACGACAGCGGCACCTACCTCTGCGGAGTCATCTACCTGCCCCCTGAGACGCAGATCCACGAGAGCCCCCACGCGGAGCTCACGGTGACAGGTGCAGGGCCAGGGCGGGGCCCGGGGCCCGTGGGCCGCCGTGGCAGGGACCCTCCTGGTCCCACCCCCGGACCACAGGGACGGACGGCCTAGGGCCTCTGTGTTGGCAGCGCCCCAGACCCACCTGCCCTGAGGGAGGGCGGGGGCGGGGCCTCTCAGGATGCGGCGCCGCAGGCCTGGGTGACACGGGTCGGCGCAGGCTTAGGACCACGTCCGCGCAGGGCTTGAGGGGGGCAGGGCAGGACCCTCGGCCGCCGCCTCGTGTCCCCACCCCTGAGCCTCTGTCCTCTGTGTCTCCAGAGAGAGCCCTCGAACGGCCCACTGAGAGCCCCAGCCCCACAGCCAGGCCCCCAGGGAAGCTACAGGGCGTGGTCATCGGCGTCACGAGCGTCCTGGTGGGTGTCCTGCTGCTGCTGCTGCTGACCTGGGTCCTGACCACCACCTTCCCCGGGGCCACGCGAGGTAACGCCCCAGCCGGCTGGGCCCAGCTCGCCCACAGCCCCTCCCCCCCGTCCGCGCTGCGAGCGCCCCCGGGCAGGCGAGCCCTGGCCCTGCCAGGGCCTGGGGGCCCCTTAGGGACCCAGCCATGTTCCCTCCCCCCAGCCCGCTCCCAGGAGGGGCCTGCGGGGAAGGCCGTTCTCACGGTCACACAAGAAGGCAAGGAGAGCCCGCGGGCTGAGCCCCCCACACACACCTCAAGCTGCAGCCAGACCTCAGGCCACAGAACACAGTGCTGGGTCCGGTGGTGAAAGCCACAGCCACCTCTGACCACCAGGAGGAAGGCGGTGGGTGCACAGTGTGGTCCCAGGCAGCCGGTCCCCTCCAAGCCCATCTGGCCACAGGCAGACAGCCCTCGGGCTGGAGAAGGGGTCACCGCCCAGAGGGGCCCAGCCCGGGCGCGGTCGGCTCCCCTACAGGCACCTGGGGGTCACGCAGCCGACCGCGGGGGAGCCCCCAGTAGCCCAGAAAAGGGCAGCCACAGGCCTCCAGGCTCTGCCCCGAGCGGCCTGGGACAGCCACCACACTGACTGCCAGGCAGGCCCTGGGGGGTCCACTTCTCTGGGGATGACACTTTCCGCCTGCGGATATTTTGAGATACGCCGTGTGCCCCGGGCACGGGTCACGGTGGAGGTGCGCGTGGCGTTCCTGTGCGGCCTCTGTCCGGGAGACGCTGTGCCAGCGTCACTGATCATGTGCTTGCTGAGTGCTCCACGGCGCCAGCCAGGGACTCGGGGCGGGTCTGCCTCCTGCAGCGGGCGCCAGGCGCAGCCAGGCCCGCAACCAGAGAGGGCCGCAGCACAAGGCCTGCAAGCCGGCAGTCCCGTGTGGCTGCAAACCCAGATGCCCGTCCAGACGTCCCTGGGGGAGAGCAGGGGCTCCGGGGGTTCGCAGAGAATAGGGCAGGCAGGGCGGATGCTCGGGGCCCTCCGCACGGCCAGGGGCCTCCCCGGCCCCCACCTCCCCGGGAGACCCCCACTGAGGCCGCCCATGCAGGGCCTCAGGGGTCCCCTGTGTTTCTCCACAGGGCCCTGCATCTGCTGCAGCGAGGACCCGCCTCTGGTGAGTCTCCCTCCTCTTCTGCCACAGTGCTGGGGACACTGCAGGGAGGTGGGGAGACAGGAAGCTCCGCCCACTGCTGAGTGGTCTCAGGAGTGGCCACACCCGTCCACAACCACGCGCCTGGTTTGCACACGAGGGGTGGGGTGTGCTGGGCCCAGGACCGGTCGGGGGGCCCAGGCCCAGGCCCGGCCCCGGCGTGTGTGGGGCGAGGGGTGCGTCTGTGAGTGCACCGGCTGCTCGGACAGGGCTGACTCCTTTCTCTCTCTCCTCCAAGAAGGAGGATGCCTCCCCGGGGCCTGTGTCTGTGGACTATGAGGAGCTGGACTTCCAGTGGCAGGAGAAGACCCCGGAACCCTCTGTCCCCTCTGTCCCCCATGAGACCGAGTACGCCACCATCGTCTTCCCCGGCAGGCCGGGCTCCCCCAGCCGCAGGGCCTCGGCCGACAGCCCGCCGGGGCCCTGGCCTCCGAGACTCGAGGATGGACGCTCCTCCTGGCCCCTCTGACGGCTCCCCGCCGGCCCAGGCCCTTCAGACCCGGTGACTGCAGGGGTCGTGACGCCTGAGGCGCACGCCGCAGGGGGAGCCGCGGCGGGCACGGGGCCCTGCACCGTGTCGGCCCTGCCTGGCCCCCCTCGGTCCTCGGGGGACTGGGCGGGCACAGGAGACCACCACAACTTCCGGCACAGGCCCCGCTGAGCTGGCCCGGCCGCTCCCCTGAACTGCTGCTCTGCCTCTGCGCCCTCCCTGGTGTCTGGGGCTTCAGGAGCCGCCGTGACCCGCAGCCTCTCGGAGGAGCCCGGGGCCTGGACCTGGAGAGCGGGGGCCCTGGCTGGAGACTCTGCCGTGGGGTGGCTGGCGAGGCGCCCCTACAGCAAGGAGACCCAGCACGCACCTCGAGGGGCACACAGGCTCGCACGAGCCTGCTGCTTCCCAGGCCTGGAAAAGAGCTCCTGGCGGCAGGGCCGGAGAGGCCGCCTCCTCGGGGCCCGTCCTCGGTGCTACTGACGACGCCTGGGGTGTCCAGCCAGGCCGACTGCTCCTCGCCCGCCGCACACGGAGCGCTGGCCGTCGGGGCGGGGCGGCCGGCGGACGTCCGGGCGCGGGGGCGCAGGAGCACACACTTGAGAGACACTTTCCCTTCCTGTTATATTATAATTAAATAATGGTGGGAACGCAAAGGCCGCCCGGCTTCTGTTTGCGCAAGGACGACAGGGCGGGGGGGGCCCTGCCGCTGCACGGCGGGGGGGGGCCCTGGCCTCGTGGGCGCCACCCCAGAAACATGCAGCCCCTGAGGCCCTCATCTCTGCCCCTTCCAACGCACACCCTCGGCCTCCGACTTCAGGGACCTCTGGGCCCCACCCCCCAGAATTGTTCCCCAGATGTCGTACCCCATCTGCGACCCCGAGGGTCCCACAGCCCCCACAGAGGAGGCTTCAGACCTCCTCTGCCTGGCATTGGGCGCCCAGGACAACTGTGCCTACATCTGCCCTGCGGCAGCCCCTAGGGGTCCCCCACACCCCAGGGCCCCTCCTGGGCAGGTGCAATGCCCCGGGGGGGCCGGGCCAGGCCATGGACAGGCTGCTGCAGGCTGCCAGGGATCCGGTCCGAGATGCGGCAGTCGGCAATGGGGACACCTGGTCGGTCCTCTTGAGCCGACAGGGCGCCGCCAGGCTGGTCCTGCCCCCAGGAAGAGATGCCCCCACCCTGCCCTCTCCTCGGGAGCCCTGGCCAGGCCCCACGAGTTCCCCAGCCCTCTGAGCTCTCAGCCTGTGCCCACACCCTGGGGTCCTGTCCTGGGGTGGGGGGAGGTGAAGCCACCCATCCAGGAGGTGGCACGGAGCCTGGCAAGGTCTCAGGTCCCAGGGAGCCCCTCCCGGGAAGTCGACAGGGACACGTGAGCCTGGAAGACCCAGTAGGTTCTGCAGGAAAACACTGCAGCAGCGAGAAGATCCCGGAGGGAAGCAGGTGTAGAACTAACATCCTGAAACAGACGCTGCCGCACACCCGGACGCTGACCAGTGAGAGAAAACGCGGCAGAGACAGAGCAGGGCGGATCGCCCCCTGGGCGGGGCTGTGACCACTCGGGTGCTCGCCCGCGGGGAGCGCGGTGCCCACTGACGGCACCCTGTCGGGCCACCAGCTCTTCCTGGATTCGCTGATAAACTGCCAGGGCCCCCGGTGAGCGAGTAGCAGCCAAGAAAGCCAGGGGGAGACAGTGAAAGACCCGCTTTGTCAGACCTAAGCTCACCCGGGCGAGCGCAGTGGAGTTAGCTCCTGCAGAGACGCGGTGGGTCGGACGGGCAGAAGGCGGGCTTTTCGGTGAGTGGTTCAGGGGCCACACGGCTACCTGGAGAGGCAGCCAGGGAGGCTCGCCTCACGCTGCACACGTGCAGATTTCCCCAGTGCAGCGGGGGCGTCAGTGGGAGAGAGAACGCCCAAAGACGGGGCACACGTAGGGAACCGTTCCTCACAACGATTTGGAATCCAGGCTGCAGGAGAGAGCACGGAGCGCGTCAGTGCCAGCAGGACCATCCCAGGCCGACTGGGGGACTGCGGGCGGGGGTCACACAGAGGCCTTAGAAATACGGGGAGGGCCTGGCTGGTGCGGCTCAGTGGACTGAGCACTGGCCTAGAAACCACAGGGTCGCCAGTTCAATTCCCAGTCAGGGCCCAAGCCTGGGTTGGGGCCAGGTCCCCAGCAGGGGGCGCGCGAGGCACCCACACATGGATGTTTCTCTCCCTCTCTTTCTCCCTCTCCTCCCTTCTCTAAAAATAAGTAAGTAAATAACTAAATCTTTAAAAAAGAAAAAGAAATACGGTGAGCAGCTCCCAGGTGTGCTGGGAAGGTGGGCAAAAGGTGTAGCAGAGCCCACATGCATGTGCACACAGGCACCCGCCGCATGTGCAGGCACCACAGGCACACAGGCATGCAGCACATGGGCATGCAGCACACATAAGCACATGCATGCGTGTCTGTGTATATTGCGTGCATGTGTATTGTTGCACATTCCTTAAACAACAAAGACATGTTCAGTTTTACTCATAGTAAAAAACTGCCGGCTACACGGCACACGTCGCTGCGGCCTTCACACCTCCGCCCGGCAGGGGAAGCACCGAACTAGAGGAGCAGCTGGCAGCACCCAGCAGTCAGGGGAGTGTCTGCCCCTCGACCCGTGGACCCCACCTGGGATACCTCCCGGGGCACCTGCCAACAATAGGAACCTCACTCTGGGTCCCGGTGCTGAGTCTGAGGTCGCAGGGGCCTGGCTCCGTGGACCCGCGACGGTGCAGTGCGGGGGGGGGGGGGGGGCGGCGCGAGGCGCGGGCAAAGGCAGCAACTCGCTGCCCCAGAGGCGAGAAACCCAGCTGGGGCCCCGTGAGAGGAAAGGAGAGGCAAGCGGAGCAGCAAAGCGACCAGGATGAAGCCCAGAAGTCTAACTGATTAACACCCTGAGTGCGTTTAAAGAGCACGAGATCATGCCGGTGCAGAGAGAGGCCACAGCGCGCAGGGGCAGGGAGGAAGCGGTGGCCCCTCCAGCTGCGTCCTGCTGGCGGCGGCGCCGACAGGGGCTGGAAGGGGACTCCGTCAGCACTTTGCGTGCCGCCTTCCCGGACGCCCTGCCGCCTGCCGCCACTCACTTTTTCCGTTCCCCTGCTCTGCCCCGGCTGCGCGTGTGTCATGGCCCGGCTGGGGCTTCTCGCCCACCCCCAGCCCACGCGCTCCAGCGGGTCTGTCCCTGCCTCGCCCCAGGCCTGGGCTTCCGGGAAGCAGCCCGGCCCGCGGGCAGGGGTCCAAGGCAGGAGGCGCAGCAGTGGTGCAGCCTGGCTGCGCCCCTCACCCCCGCCCCGCTCAGGTCTCTCCCCCGCCCCCGCAGCCCTTTTGCCCCCGAGGACACACCCCCGCCCGCCACCCCTGCCCTCCCAGCCCCCTCGGCCTGGGCTCAGGAGCCCCAGGCCTGACAGGGCAGGCAGGACAGGAAGTGCGAGGTTAGGGCTGTGGGGCCGGCCAAGGTCTCCAGGAAGGAGGACGGCTGGGATCTCAAAGGGAGCTGCCCTCCGGGGGGTCAACTGTGCCTGTGACCACCCCGTGCAGGGCCCTGGGCCTCAGCCCAGCGGGTCAGCTGTCCCACCTGAATGGATCTCCTCTTCTCCCGAGGTGTGCGGACTTCAGGATGTGGAGGGGCCTCCGGAAGGTGATGAAGGCTATGTGGCCAGCACAGGGTTCACCCCAACGCTGCAGCCTCCTGACTGGGGCTCCATTGAGCCCCCCCGGGGGTTCGGTACCCTCTGACCCCAGCCACGCTGCCCTGCCTGCCTGCAGGCGCCTGAGTGTGGCTCCCGGGCCCACTGGCTTGCTGTGGGCAGGAGTGTGGGCTCCCCTCTGCCCCGCGGCACGGGCTGCCCTCAGCTCGCCACAGGCCAGGGCACCTCGGAGGGCTGCTCGGTGGAGGGTGAGTGGCCGAGAGGCTGAGTGCCCAGGCCTTCAGGCAGGAAGAGACTCTGGGCAGAGGAGACCACGTGCCCAGGCTCGTGGCCTTGAAGCCTCACGTCCGCCATGGGCGCCGCGCCCCCGGCCCCAGGAACCCCTTCCCAGCCTTCCCGCCCCATCGGCTCCTCCAGGCCAGGCGTCCTGGGCCAGCCACCGATCCCCAGGACTCGGCTCTTGTTGGCCAGAGCGGAGCCAGCCGGGGGTGACCCAGATGGCAGGGGCTGCCCGGGGGCTCCAGTGTTGGGGACCCTGCCTCGGGCACAGGCTCATGGCTGTTTTTTATGTTTTTATCTCAGTCTAGATTACAAAAATAAATTGTTACATGGCATATTATTCAACCATTAAAATAATTAATTTTCACAGTTTGTACATCAATGCTCGACACCCCAGTGTCTGCGAGGCCGGGGGCCCGGCCGTGGCAGCAGCCAGTGCAGGGGGGACAGAAGGGTCGGCGGCCGGGCCCAGCCACACCTGCGAAGGGAGCATCTGATGTGGAACATCTTTTCACACACTTGCTTGCCATAATATGTCAATTATTTTTAAAACTCAACATTATGAAAACAAGCAATCCAGTTAAAAAAATAGGCAAAGATCTGAACAGACACCTCACCAAAGAAGGCACACAGATGGGGCAGCTGCGGTAGCAGTTTGGGAATTTCTTACGAAGTGAAACTCTCAGATGCGGATTTCGCAAGATTTTCTCCAGCCTGTGGCTTGTCTTTTCATCCTCCTAAGGTGCTGTCAACTTTTCTCATCAAAGTTGCCTTTCACGGATTGTGCTTCTGGTATTCTGTTAGTGTACTTTTTGAAGTTTATTCTTTTTTTTTTAATCCTCACCCGAGGATGTGTTCATTGATGAGAGAGCGAGACATCGATGGGAGGAACATCGGTCGGTTGCCTCCCGTGTGCCCCGTGCCTTCTGACAGGGGATGGAACCCACAGCCTCGGCACGTGCCCCGACCAGGGATCGAACCTGAAGACTTCCGGTGCGCGGGACTACACTCCAACCAGCTGAGCCATCCCGCCAGGCCGAACTTCCCTCCTTCAAAGGTGCTGACTTCCTCAGCCCTTGGAGGGTCTCTCCGCCCCGGAGGGCCGGGCCGACAGCGCCAGCGCAGGCTCTCCACAGGGACACCCGCGGACGACGCGCCTAGTCCGGCCTAGTGGGTGACAGAATTCACTAGCAAAGGCACAGACACCTGGAGGGTTCCTAGTGTGCAAGTTTTAAATTATGAATTCAATTTCTCTAATAGGATTCTCCAGATTTTCTTTCATCTTATGCCAGTTTTAGTAAGTCGTATTTGTCCAAAAATTGTCCGTTTCCCCGAAACGTTCAAGTTTATTGGCGTGAGTTGCCTCTCAGGTGCCTTGGAGTCTGTGAGTGTCTGTGTGTCCCTCCTCTTTGCTGGCCTTGGTATTTGTGTTTTCTTTCTTTTCTCCACGGTCAGCCTCATCAGGGGTTACCAACGTTACTGTTTGTTTAAACCCCATCGTCGGCCCGTATTTCCTCTCCTGTGGGATTTCCTGTCCCGGCTCTGCTCCTCGTTACTGTCCTCCTTCTGCTCTCTCCGGGCCCACCGCGCGGGCCTTTCTCCCGGGAGAGCAGCGGCTGCCTCCTTCTGTCTGTTCTGACGCATGTGTTTCCCTCTGCTGCCAGCCTCAGCATCGTCCCTCCAGCTGTATGCAGTGTTCGCACAAGTAATTTAAAAATATTTTCTATTTCCCACAGTGGCTCCCATGAACTGAGTTATTTAGAATAATGTTTCTTAGTTCTCGAACATAGGGAGATGTTTAGTTATCTTTTATTTTTATTTCTGGCTCCTTTTCACTGCAGTTCTGAAGCCTTTGAAGTCTGTGGGGGCTCGGTTTTAAGATCTGACCAAAGTCGACCTTTGCATCTGGGTGTGTTTGGGGAGACAGTGCCCCCTGCAGGTGCCAATACAGTTGAGCTTGTCAGGCAATTGGCCACACCTGCCGTGTCCCTGCTGGTGTTATTTTTGTCAGCTTGTTCCGCCGGCCCTGACAGTCTCGGGTCTAAACTTTGGGGTGTATTTTCCCCAGGAGGTCCGTCCATTCAGTGTCATATTTTGCAGCATAATATCAGGTACACACAAATGCAATAGTGTTATGATTTCCTGTAGTCAAATGTTTGCCATTTTGAAACTCGTTGTGCTTCGGCCGCAGCCTGGCTTCATGGGAGCACAGCGCCACCAGCCGCCCACCAACGTGCACGCAGGCGGCCTTCCCTCAGCCTTCCGCCTTCCTCTCCCCGTCTGTCGGCTTCGGCAGGACACAGCTGGATTGGGGGTGAGGTTTGGCGTTGTTGCTTTCTTTTCCGCCATGACCATTTGCCTCTTAATTGGAATATTAGTCAAATTACATCCGTGTAATTCTGGTATGTTCGTGTTTCCATTGGATTCTTAATATTTGCTTTTTCTTTATCCTAGCATCTCAATGCATATTTTCTCTCATTCCTTGTCTTTTTGTAATCGATCGCTTCCTATTTTATTTTTCCAGTTGTCACTCTATTAACGTGGGGGTTACATGGTTTTTCCATCCTCCCAGCGTTTGCCCTGGACATCCCAGCCTCGGCCGCCATGAGTGGGCGCGTCCTCCTCCTTGGGCAGGACCAGGCCTCCAAGCTCTTCCACCCCCTTTGCTGCCCCTGCGCTTATTCCGTATTGAAGTCCACGCACAGCAGAGCGCACAGCGGGGCGCCCGGGTCACGCCCGGTGCTTGGCTGCGCGGCCCCTCCCTCTGCCGCCGCCGCCGCCTTCCGCTGACGGGAGTCTTCGCACGTCCTCTGGTGAGCCTGCGGGGGACAAACTCCATCTTTGTTTATGAGGGACCGTCCCTGTTCGCCCCTCATCCCTGGAGAACAGCCCTGCTGGCAGCTGTCTTCACTAGGCACGTTCTGAAGGGACCACGCCGTTGTTGCCCCGTTTCCGTGGTTTCTGGTGAGAAGTCAAATTCCATCTAAATGTTGCCACAAGCCGGGCACCTGAACGGGAGGCGGCCCTTCCCCACCGGCTCTGGGGGCCAGAGTCTGTCGCCAGCTCTGGCCGGGGCGGCCTCCCGGAGTCACCAGAGGCAGGCCTTTGCGCCGCCTCAGCTTCCGGGGCCCCGGGGGCGCCTCCGGGTCTCTACCTCTACCTTCGGAGCCTTTGGCCGCGTGTCCTGTCCTGTCCTGTCCTAACGAGGACGCCCCCATCCCACAGGGCCCACCCCCGTCCAGGATGGTCCCCTCTCGGCCCTTAATTGCATCTGCAAGGAGCTTGTTTCCGAGTAAGTCACAGTCAGGGGTTCTGGGAGGACATGAATTTGGGGGACGTTGCTCACCCATCCAGAGCTGAATGGCAGGACCTGGGCTGTACACATCTGTCACAAGGTACCTCCAGAGTCCCCACGCCTACCCCTACCGGCCCCCCCTTTGCGGGCTTCTCTGCTTTGGATTTCAGAAAGGATGACCTGAGCCATTGCAGACGAGCTGCACCCCAGGAATAGGCGGCAGGGGTGGAAGCCTGAGGGGGTCCCTGGGTGAGGGCAGGCAGGCAAGGGACTCTGAGGGGCCCCGGATTCAGGGTCCCGTCCTGCCGCCGCCTGAGGCCCCGCAGCGGCAGCCGCCCCGGCAGGGAAGTGAGAATGGAGGCGAGCGACCGGGGCCGCCGGCCGCCCTGCGTTCCCGGGGTGGCCCTGCGCCCTGGGGCCCCAAGGCTTCCTGCACGCCGCCTCTTGGGCAGGGCACCCGGCAGGGGGCTGGGAAGGAAGCATGTCCCGGTGCGTGGGGACGAGCCGCTGGTGGCAGCTGACCGGCATGCGGCAGCCAGGAAAGCGCTTGTGCTGGAACACGGCCGGTCTGCGTCCAAGAAGGAGAGGCAGAAGCACCTCGGGCCCGTGGGGGCCGTGGCCCCAGGGCAGGGGTCCGGGCGGGGCCGGTCTGGTTTTTCTTTAGAGTCTCCTTCATAGCCAAACTTTCTGCAATCAGCATATTTTATTTTTATAACCAGAAATGGAGAAGAAGAAAGAAAAGGGTGCCCCCAGGAGGGCGCGGGGTGGGGACCGGCGGCTGCACACAGGCCTGCTTCCCCGGCCCTCACCCCGCCCCCACCTCTGGCGCCCTGGCTTCGGGGCGTCTGGCCATGGGGGTGGGGGGCGCGGGTGGTCAGACCCCGTGTCCTCCCCGGGGCTTTAAGGGGGAAAGAACCTGAGGGAAACGAATGTCCCTGGGTAACCGCACAGCTTCCCGCCCGGGAGCCAGAAAGCAGGGCGAGACCGAAGGGCCAGACGCCAGGACCGCGAGGTACATGTGCTGTCCATGGTCCCGAGCGGCCCTGGCCCTCAGCCCCGCCCGCCGCCTGCCTCAGGGGCCTCGAGCCCTCCCCCACGGCTTCCAGCAAACACCCGCCCTGCTCATTTAAAACCATTAAACTGAACTTCTGTGTCACTGCACAGGGTCCTTCACAAAGACCCCTTCCCATGACTGTCCATGAAGAAGCCAAGGGGCAAAGGCAGGCGGGGGTGGGAGTGGGGGGTGCCCCGGAGCTCCACCCAGGCCCTGGCCTCCTCTCCTCTCCGGGCGCCCGGGCCAGGCCTGGTGAGGGACCCCTCAGGAGGGCCAGCACCGGGCCCGGGGCTCGCCCCGCAGGCCGCGCGGCTCGGGGCCTGGAAGCAGGTTCTGCAGGACCTGGCGCAGAGAGAACGTGCAGAAGGCGATTTCCTCGTAGGACACCCTGACCCCGCTCTCGTACACACAGGCGAACGTCAGGGCGCCCTCGGGGCTCGGCCCGATGAACGCCAGGTCAGAGTAGCCGCTGGGGCCCTGGTAGATCACCCAGGGCTCCGTCCAGCCGTGGGGGTCCAGGGGGGACCTGTTCAGATGGACGCCCATATGGAGCCGTGCCCTGCGCCCCACCGGGTGGGAATACAGCAGCCACGTGGGGCTCTGAGTCGGGGCGGCAGGGGGTCTGGGGAGCTGTGGGGCCCAGCCCCTCCTGTCCGCACGGAACCCAGGCCCGGCGCTAGGCTCCCTGTGGCCAGGGTCCCCTGGACCATCCCAGCATCCGTCTGTCTTGCCCAGCCCCCCACCCCCTTGGGTGTCCCCAGAGCCCTCCTCTGGGGACTCCCGGGCTCCAGGACACAGGCTCAGAGCAAAGGGGGTCTTCCTGGAGACCACCGACCACCCCTCATCGCCGGTCCTGCTGGAGGCCGGGGCTGGGAAGCCCAGGATGCTGCCCTGGCAGCCCCGGGCAGTCTCAGCCAGGGTGGGCACCAGCTCCCCCGGCAGGAAGGAGGTGCCCTCGTCTGTGCTGAGGGCCTGCACGCGGCTGCCCAGGGGGCTCCGGGCGTTGCAGTAGAGGACGCCGCCAGCCCTCCCGCCGCCCACCACGGCCAGCTGGCACTCGCCCGAGCGCAGGTTGGACACGAGGCCGCCGTGGCGCCAGGTCTGGCCGTGGTCGTCACTGTAGAAGGCGAAGGCGTGGGGGCTGGTCCTGCAGATCTTGCCGAAGCACTCGCGCCGGTCCACGCGGTAGGTGTAGGCCGGCACCAGCAGGCGGCCCGAGGGCAGCTGGACGCCGTGGCCGGGGCCCACGGCAAACGTGGCCCAGTCTGCAGATGGGAGGGGACAGCCGGGGCCGCGGGGCAGGCGGAGTGTGGGGAGCAGTGCCTCAGACTAGGGAGCCACCTGCCGACCCCGCCTCCGCCCTCCCCTGAGGCCTCGGGACTGGCCAGGCCTCTCGAGGACGTGGGCAGCAGCAGGGAGCCCGGGCAGCCCCTCGGCCAGGCTCTCAGCGCGGGAGCAGGTGGGCGTCCCCGGACACAGGCCGCGGCCCGCCCTCTGCCCAGCAGGAGCCCTGCCCGGACAGGGGCAGCCGAGGGGGCGGCGTGTGAGGACTTGAGCGCCGGTCTGGGCGGCCGCCCGACCCTGGGCCCCAGTCCCCTGGACAGGTAGCTCTGTAACTGCTGCAGGGCTCAGAGCCTGCCGTCTGCTGGGGCGGCCCCTGCGGGCGGGCGGGGGCGAGGCCCTTGGGGAGGGGCAGTGGCCTGGCGGAAAAGCCCTGAGGTGAGGTAGACGCCCTGAAACCCTGGGCTGGGCCCGAGAAGGCGGAGGAGGAGGAGGAAGTGGTTAAGGAGGGAGGCCTTGGGGTTTGGGGGCTCAGATTCAGACGCAGCTCAGAGAGATGAAGAGCCTGCTCCTGCGGGTGTGACCCACCCGTCTGCGGGTTCGTGGGTCGGGGATGGGACAGTCCCACCAACGGTGTCCGGGATACTTAGGCAGGGGGCGCGGCGGCGCGGGCAGCGCAGAGAGCTGGAGCCCGACCCTCTTCCCCGCAGCAGTTCGCACCCCCCATCGCGGGGAGGCTACCCCCCCACCCCGTGAGGGCGCCACCCCAGATGGGAACCCCCGCGCGCCGCCCAGCGCCCCGCCTACCTCGCTCCGCAGCGCCCACGGCCTCCGCCGTGAGGTCCCGCGCACCGCTCCACGTGCGCCCCGCGTCGCGGCTCGTCACGCAGCAGAGGCGCGCGGCGTTCCTGCCCGCGGCGATCTGCGCAGCCTCGGGGGTTTGGCCGCGCACGGCCACGAAGAAGAGGAAGACGGTGCCGGTGCGCGCGTCGTACACGGGGCAGGGGTTCATGGACCGGTGCTGCTCCAGGGCCGCGGTGCCGAGCACCAGCGCGGCGCCCCACTGCAGGGAGGGGGAGGGGAGCGCGGCCTCAGCTTCCCGCCCGCCCCGAGCGCGCTCCCCTCTCCGCCGCCGGGTCGCTCACCCGCACGGAGCCCCCGGCCAGCGTCCCGCGCCTCTGCACCAGGCGGTGGGCGTGCGCGTCGTCGGGGCTGAGCCGCTGTTCCGCGAAGGCCAGCAGGGTGGGCCCGGGAGGCACGGGCAGCAGCGCGGGCACGCGGTAGGTCAGGCCGCTCCTCTCGCTCTGGAACAGCACGGTCCGCGCAGGCACTCGCGGGGTCCCCATGCCCTGCCGGCCGGGCAGGCCGGTCAGCAGGCGGGATCCAGGCGGGCTCCCCTGCTCGCTCCCCAGGGAGCGGGCGCTACGGGGCGCAGACCCCCAACTCACGTCTGCCTCCGCCTGCGCCCGCCTCCCACAGCCCAGTCCCAGGCGCCTTTCCCACCCCTTCTTCAGGCCGTTGGGCCCCCAAATGTCTGGGATCGTCCCCTTTCTCCTGTCAACACAGCCCACAGGGTCGGCAGAGCAGGAGGCCTGGCCAGAGCCCGCGACCCTGCCCACCTGTGTGCCTGGGGCCGGTCGGACGGCCAAGCGCCTGTCAGCGCCCGATGTTTTGCCAAGGAAGGGTTCAGCGTCCGCACACACGGCCCGACCTCAGGAGCCAGACAAGCAGAGAGACCCAGAAACAGACAACCCAGACAGAACCAAACGGGACTTAGACGTGAAACAGACACAGTCAGATGCCCCACGTTCCCCCAGACACGCACAGCACTCTGCTCAGGCCTGCACAGTCGCCAGGCTCAGGGATCCTGGGGAGCAGCCAGGGTATGTGGGAGAGGGGCCCCTGCTGCAACCAAGGTGTCCCCAGCGGGTCCGCAGAAAAGGAGCCTGAACTCCAGGTCTCTGCGGGACGTCTGTCGGGCCAGGTGACCTGTCACCCTGCCCCCTGGGCTCCTGAGCGAGGCTGGGGGTGGCGGGGAGGTCCAGCAGAGCCACCGCCACCCTCTAGGTGCCCCCGATAGCTCCGAGGGTGCCTCCCGAGACCCAGGGACGGTGTAGGCCAGAGGGGCAGTGAGAGGGTCCCCGAGGAGGCCAGAGAAGCCACGGCCCTACCCTCCCACCCCTGCCCCTTCCTGGCAGAGAGCAGCCCCCGGGGAAGGGAGGGCGTGAGCCCAGCCCCAGTCTGTGCGCTGGGGCTCAGGGTCTTGCGCTTGAAAGCAGCGGCCCCCACACAGCAAAGGGAGGAGGATGAGCCCCCTGTGGCTGAGCCCCCCGAAACTGGTGCCCACAGAGGAGAGGAGTCTAGCAGGGGGAGGGTGTGGGAGACTTGGTGGGCTTCCAGATGTGGGGAGGTAAGACCAAGGGAGGCGACCTCCAGGCAGCGGGGGGCCCTGGTGGGAGGGAGGGAGGGCGGCCGGGTGAGGCAGCAGGGACGAGGACGCCTCCTCTCACCGTCCCCGCCCACCCCCACCTGCCCGGGCCCTGGGCCCCTGCCCCCCTGCCCCGCACGGCCCAGCTCCCTCACCTCGCTGGGCCCCGGCAGGGGTGACGGAATGGGCCTTGGCCGCCTTTCTGGGGGCAGCCCGGGCCTCGGGGAGTGGTCCTGGGGGACGCTCAGAGGGCAGGGCCTCGGTGGGGGTGAATCTGGGGCGCACATGGGGTAGGCAGTCCCCCAGCCAGGGGTCTCCTTCTATGACCCACGGGCGGGCGGCCCCATGAAGGGATGTGAGTGCGTGTGCTGGGCCGGGCAGTGAAGGGCCAGGCGCTGCAGGCAGTCAAGCTGGGGTAGGGCCCCGACACAGCACCTCTGGGAGAAGCTGGGGTAGAGAGCAGGTGACAGGGACGAACACACACACACACACACACACACACTCACACTCACACACACACACACTCACACTCACACACCCTTAGACCAGAGGAGGGGCCTCTCCCGGACACACGGGAGGGTGCACCGCCACACCCGAGGCCCCCAAGCCGCCCCAGGTCCCCCGCTGCCAGGGCCATCTGCCCGGGAGACCCCTCCCGCCCACCCCACCGCAGCGGCTGGGCCTTCTGAGAGCGACGTCGCGGGGCCCGGCGGCCCCTGCCCCCGTCCGCATCCGCAGGGCAGCGGTGCCCGGGCAGGAAGCAGGTGTGGGCGTCACGTGTCCCTCGGGGTTGAATGGACACAGCGGGACATTCTCTCCAGTTGGCTCGCGCCCCAGGGCCTGGGGCCACAGGGAACTGGCGTCAGCAGAGGCAGGGGGCCCAGGAGCTCCCCCAGCCGGGGACAGAGTGGCAGAGAGGGAGGCTGCCAAGACCAGCCGGTCTTTCTGCTTGTGGCACAGAGCAGGGCGGGGCTGCAGGGCGCTTGGAGCACCCTTCCTGGCCCAGAGGCCCAAAGCCCCGGGGAGGCTCCCGTAGGAGGAGGAAGGGGCCTCCGGGGCAGCAGCCCTGCCCAGCATGGCCCTTTCAGCAGATTCTGGGGCATCGGCTCTGGCCAGGTGGCTCTGAGTGTCACCTGAAACCAGTACCTTTATCTAGGGCCCCTCCACCCCCCAGTGGGGCTTCCCCGGGGGCAGCACATCACAGAAGGGGAGGCCACAGGGCCTCCAAGAGAACCTGGTCCCCAGGCCCTGGACCCGAGGCAGGTCACTGGGGTCGCTCGGCCTCAGCAGAGGCTCGTCCCAGCCCTGCCTGCAGCCGGCCCTGCCTGGGCTCTGCCCTGGAGCCGGGGGGCCAGCCCGGGTCTGCCCCACAGCCCCGTTCCGAGACAGCGCCCCCAACCTGTGGGCCTATTACTGCTGGACCAGCGGAGCCGCCAAAACGCTGCGCACGTGGGGCCCGCCCTTGGCACAGAATCCAGGCCGGGCCGGGGGCGTCCTGGCCCTGCCACCCCCCCAGAGCTCAGTCCAGCCCGAGCGCCGTGGGCTCCATCCCGACGTCGGCTCCAGCGCAGACTCCCCTGCCTGGCGGGCCGTCGCCCACAGCCATCGGACTCCGTGGACTGGGACCCAGGCCCGGACACCCAGTCTGCGCCCACCCAACCCTCTGAATCTACCCCCAAGGCCCTTCGGCGCCGCACCTGCCCCCTCCGGCCAGGACACTGTCTCGTTGGGGACCCCCACACCATGGCCCTCGGCCCGAGGAGGGGCAGCCACAGGGGACAGCAGAAGCCAGGCCCTGGCCCTGAGCAGCTGGGAAGCAGGGAGGGGACTCACCGGGCACCGAAGGGAAGCCACGGACAGGCGGTGGCGCGGCCGCAGACAGGCCGTGCCTCCCGGGCCCAGCGAGCTGCACAGAGACAAGGGCCCGCTGTGTGGCCGGGAGGCGGGCGCTGGCCTTGCCCCAGGGCTGCACCGGGCCCAGGGCCCTCCTGCCAGCTGTGCAGCTGCGGAGCAGCAGAGCCGTCGCGGTGCAGATGGGCCCCTTTCTTCTGGCAGCCCCACCGCCCCCTGGGGTGCCAGTGGCCTGGGACAGGGGGGCCTCGGCCCGCCCAGGCCTCCCTCAGAGCCGCCTCCGACCACGTGGCACGCCGCGACCCTCCCTTCCGTCCCCAGGATGTGGCCTCTTGGGCCCTCGTTGGCTCCAGTCCCATGTCCGTGCTGGGGACCCTGGCTCGGACCGGGAAGGCCAGGATCCCCCCACAGGGCCAGCTGACCCCGTTCGCCCCCGTCCGCTCGCCTACTGCCGTCCCCAAGGTGGCCGCATGGGTGACCGCTGCCCAGGCCAGGTCTCAGGGAGGGGCAGTCAGTGAAAAGGGCTTGGCCCTTGGGCCCGGCCCCCTTTCCTGCCCCTCCCTCCACCTCGCTGGGACGTCAAAGGGAGAACTGGGCTTGGGGAAATTAAGACGTCAGGTGATGCCCACACTGAAACGACAGGCCTGCTTTGTCCCTTCAGGGCCACAGGGTGGAGGGGAGCAGGTGGGCTGCCTCTTAGCTGATGGGCGCCAGCCACGCCGCCCCCAGCACAGGCCTGGCCCCGCGGCCGCCCGTCCTGCGGGGGCTGCTGGGACGGGCACACAGCCCTGTGCTCGCCCCGGGGCCCAGGCCCTCCCTCGCCAGCAGCTGGCGCCCAGGCCCAAGCCCCGGGGTTTGCCGCGAAGGGACGGGGAGCAGATGACACAGCCCCCCGGGGAACCCCACCCAAACCAGGAGGAGAGGACCCGTCTCATCCCCCAACAGATGGGGCTCAGGAGAGACGGAGCCTCCAAGCCCCGAGTTGCCTGTGCAAAGCCCCCCAGGTCCAGGCAGGACCCCCAGGCCCTCAGAAGGAGGCCACCCCGACACTGCTCAGGGTTTTGATGTTTTAGTGGGAGCCATTTATTTTAAACATGGAGATTTTGCATAAAGACATGCATTTCCAGCTTCTCTGAAAAATCAGAGGGTCTGCCTCCCAGACTCCCCCCTCCTCCTGAGGCAAACATATGCCCTCCAGTCACCGATAGCCCCTCGCCTGCCCCCCCAGGCCGCTCTGGCCGAGTCTGCCCCCGGCGCACAATGGCTGAGCCGGAGGCCAGCACATTCAGCCTCCTGGGTGGACAACCTGAGCCGGTCATGCCTGAGTTCTTATTACAAACCACAAGCACTTTACATGGCAATAAATACCCCCAAAGTGCCCCCTAGAAACAGTCCCAGTTCCTATTCTCGCCACCCCTCAGGCTCGAGCCTGGAACGCCCAGGGGACCCCGCCTGCCGGACTCCGTGCGGCGGAGGATGGACCACGTCCATGGTCACAGCGGTGAGGTCCCCTCCCCGGCACAGCCTGCTCTGAGGACAGAGGGGCTGGTGTCACACGCAGAGGCTATGCCCCCAGGAAGGCGATGTCCTTGGGGGGCTTCTCGGGGAACTGCGGGGAGTACAGGGGGGCCCCGTGCTGGAGCTCGGGCACCGCCACCCCCTGGCACATGCTCAGCGTCCCGTTGTCCAGGCCCCGCCTGAGGCTGTAGCCCAGGACGTCGGCCTCGCCTGACCGGTAGGGGCTCAGCTGTCGGTCGGTGACCTGCGGCTCGTTCTTGGGCACACCGTCCTGCAGGCACCGGGCCATGAGCTCGCACCGCCACGCCCGCAACCGCGCCACCTCTGCGCGCAGCCGCCGCGGGCCCAGCTCGGCGTGCGCCGAGGCCCCAAAGGTGCGGTTGAAGGGCTGGTAGAGGCGCCAGTCCGGGGCGCACCAGCGCTTGGCACGGTCCTGGTCCTCGGGCCTCAGGCGGGCGATGCTGCGCTGGCTGCGCGAGTTGAGCCTGAAGGAGACGCCGCCGTCCACCCGCCAGCGCAGCCGGCGCCGCAGGGGCCCCACGGACGCGTCGAAGTGCTCGGCAAGGAGCACAAGCTGGAAGCGCTGCTGCACCTCCGCCAGGCGCGCGCACAGAGCCCTCCGCGGCCGGCGCGTCGGGGTCGAAGCCCGGGTCGAACCACAGGTGATTCCTGGCGTAGGCGTTGCGCAGGCCCAGGCTCTGGTTGTAGTAGGTGTGGGGGGCGGCCAGGAAGGCGGCCAAGCTCGGCGCGGCCCTGAAGGCGGGCACGGAGCTTCTGCAGTAGGTGAAGGAGGACTCCAGCTGGAAGACGGGGTTTCTGAGGATGGAAAAGTGGAACGTGTCGTTCAGCATCACTTTCTGCACCTGCGCGGAGACAGGAGGAGGGCTGGTGACACTCTGGGCGTCTTCGGAGACCCAGGGGAGGGGCGGCGGTTTATCGCCCCCACCCTGCACCCTGCCCACCGCACACCCGGACCGGCCAGGGGCCCCTCCCGCCGGCCTCCCTGCACCCATCCAGGCCGCCTTGCTCCCTGGCTGCCGCCGTCCACGAGTGCCCAGGATGACCCTGAAACACCTGAACCTGGCCCCATGCTTGCTCCAAACTCCCTCCACTGTCCCCTCTCCCTCCCAGAAGGGAAGTCAGGGAGGCCCTTAGGAGGAGGCGGCCTCTGAGCGGAGACCAAATACCCACGGGAGGGGGTGTGAAGAGCTTCGTGCCCAAGGGGGTGGCACGTGCAAAGGTCTTGGGGTGGGAAGACTGGGAGGTTCAGGGGCCAAGAGAAAGCAGGAGGAGGAGGAGAGGGCACCTGGGTCTGAGGCCAAGAGCAGCTGCAGGTGCTTGGGGGTGGGGACAGCGATGCGGTGACAGGGTCTTCCATGGGACCCCTACCGCTCCCTCCTCGGCCAGGTGCCACACACACCCAGCGGCTTTCGTCTCAACAGTGGCCACCCGACACCTGGCCCCGTGGCCACACCTCAAAGGCACAAAGTGACCCCAGGGCCTGGGGCTGAGTCCTGCCCCCCATCCCGCGCTCTCCTCCGCACCTCGGGCGGGCTGGACCTCAGGTGGTTGCACACGATGTTGAAGCGCTGCTGTGGGCTGTCTGGCTCCACGCCCTCCACGTAGCGCGCCAGGAAGAGCCAAGGGCAGCCCGGGTGGAAGCCGAGCCCGCGGGCGGCGCCACCGGCAGGCCGCGCGCCTCGGCAAAGCGGTGGAGGGTGCTGAGCACCGAGCTGCTCGCCATCGTCTGCGTCTTGAGGGACATGATGTTGGTGACGGGGGCCCCGCAGCCCGGTCCCCAAGCAGGCTGGGAGGGGAGCACACTGCCATCAGGGGGCCGCACCCCCCACCCCCTCGTGGGAACCCCCTCAGAGGGACCTCAGCCCGGCGACCCCCCAATCCGCACTCCCCACGCTGGGGACGCCCCAGCCCCAGCCCCAGCCCGGCCGCCCCGAGGACCTGCCGGCTCAGACGCGACTCTCCCTCGGTGGCTGGGCCCCTGCTTCCCACGAAGCGCAGGCTGGGCCCCCGGGCGCAGGCACCCCCACGGACCCCCAAGTTCTTGTCTGGCACCTGGCCTGGCTCAGGCCCTGCGGCCTGGGCCACACATCAGACCCTTCCCATCGGGATGGGCCGACCTGGCCCCAGGGCCAGGGTGGAGGCTGGGGCCACCCAGCTGCGGACGCCAGGCTAGAGCCGCCGGACCCCAAAGCAGGGACGTAAGAGCGACCCGCGCCGGTGGGCGGAAGGTCAGAGGCCTGCACTGGCGCTGGGGACCAGGGGGACTTTGTCACTCCCTCATCTCTCATGGAGATCCAACCAGGGGGTAGCAGTGGGGCAGGGGGAGGTGGCCTGGGGCCCCAAGACCCTCCGGGCAGCCAGGCTAAACTGCTGGGCCCGTGTGGCCATCCACGTGGACCCCTCCCCAGAAGAGCTGCCACAGGCAGGTGGGGAGCCAGGGTCCTGGCCTCCCCAGGCCCACCCGGGGCCCCAGCCCTGTCTCCCAGCTCCGGCTGCCCCCTGCGCACAGCCACGCTCCCCCAGCCCCCAGCCCAGTCCCAGCCCCCCTTCCCAGAGCCCTCCTCACCGCCCGCAGACCCCGTGGGAGGGCCTTGGGGTGCTAATGAGTCCCCAAAGCGAAGGACCCACCCCTCCTCTTAGGGAAGGGAGACTGAGGCCCAGCCAGGGGTGTGACCCGCCGCGGCCACCGCCAGTGCGGGGGGTGGGCAGGTGGGGCCAGCACTGGCCTGGGCGGGGCAGCCCCAGACCAGGAAGCGCCCGATGCAGCGCTCACGGCGTGAGCATGCCGACGTCCACGTGCAGGAGGCCTGCCGGCAGGAGCACGCTCAGGGCCAGGAGCGGGGGCGCCCAGAGGCACCTGTGAGCAGAGGAGCCGGTGAGTCCCCAGGCGGGCACACGGGAGGGCCCAGCGCCACCCATTCCACCCGCCCCAGCTCAGCATCACCCTGGGGCACCTCCCACTGACCCTGCTGTGTGCCGGCCTGCGCGGGCCCCCGGCTCCCCTGCCCGTACCACCCGCTGCCCAGGAGAAGCCAAGAGGCAGAGCCACTCCCTGGGGCGGGGTCCTGACGGGCAGAGGTGAGAGCAGGTCGGGGGCCCCTGAAGACTAGCCTGACTGAGGCCCCTGATCCCACACCCCAGGGCCACATCCCAGGTGGGGAGGCTGAGAGGTGGTACATCCTGGCATCCGCCCCCACCGAGGGGGAGAAGCCCCTCGAAAGGGGCCTTAGAGGGCCCTCCTGGGGGCCAGGCAGTGGTCCCTGGGCTGGGACACCCCCGGGAGCCCCTGCAGTCAGAGGCTGGGGCTGGGGCTGTCCCTCGCTGTCACTGGCGTCCTCGCTGGGCACCCCTCAGGCCCCCGCGGCGAAGCGCACGAGCCTCTGTCCAGACGGCCTGTGTCCAGGGACTTCTCCTGTGGCCACCAAGAGCCCCCGTGTCTCAGCACCCGACGCACTCCAGCCCTGGAGTCCCGGCGTCACTGGTGCCCACTGGGCACAGGAAGGGCACAAGCCCCGCCCGAGGCCACAGGCTGGGGTAGAGACAACGCAGAAACCAGCAGGCCGCCCGGTGCCTGCCCACGGGGCACCGGCATCTGCCCGCACTGGGCGGGCGGGGAGCCTGACACGTCCCGCAAGATGCCCGGTGGGCTGGACAGAGCGGTGCCGCTGTGCGGGGGGGGGCAGCTCGGGGGACGCCAGAGACCCTGAGGGCTTCCCCGGGACAGCAGCGAGGGCGGAGCGGGGAGCTGGGGGCAGGCCCGGGCTGTGCCCGTGCGAAGTGCCGAGCCTGCGCACGCCGTTTTCCTCATGCGGGTCCTGGGCCTGTCCTGGGGTCTCTTTTGATTTGCTTGTATTGGTTTGGCTTGTAAGCGACTGTTTGCCCAGTTGCGGCTCCATCGCTAGAGCAGAACGGCGTTTTCAATGTATGTCGTTACCAGGCCCCCTGCCACCGTTTAGCCTAGAATCTGGTGCCCTGGTCTTGGTGGCGTCCCTGCTGCCTGGCACGACAGGGTGGCCCGGGCTTGCATGTCCTCTCCCGGGCCCGGACCTGGAACCTGCCACGTCTTCTGCAAGCCCTGGGTCCGGGGGGCGGGGACCGCAACCCGGGCCGGGGCACCCACTGCTCCGGGGCCTCTCGGCCACAGAGCCAGGGCCGCAGGCGCCCAGGCCGAGTCCCGCGTGACTTGCACTGGTGTGTTTGGCTCCGATTCAAGACCGTGCCTTTCTTTTAAAAAAAGGACTTAAATTTTAGTTTTCCATTACAGTTTCCAGTCGACGCCGCTCTGCAGCAGTTCCAGGTGCCCAGCGGCGCGGTCACGCCCTCACACCCCGGACAGCGCCCCCGGTATTCCCAGCGCCCGCCGGGCGCCGGGCGCCGTGGGCGCGGCATCGCGTTCCCTGGGCTGTGCTGTCACAGCCTGTGACCCGTCTGTATTTCCTAATCCCTTCGCCTTCCCACTCAAGACTGTGGCTGTTTCAACGAACCTCCTCCTGCTGCCTCTTGTTTCCTCTCTTCCCAGGGAGCGTGGTCTCAGAGACAAGGCCCAGCAGAAGCAGAGCATCGCAGAATCGCCCCGCCTCCTGCAGGCCGCGCAGGCCGCACCTCACTTCCATGTTCCAAGTAACTCTCCCCCGCCCCCCGACGCGCCCCCGCCCTCACAGCAAGAGGGACTGAGCGATGGAAGGCCAACGGCAGGGGCCACATGGGGAGGGCTGCCCGAGCCGGCAGAGGCCTGTGGGGGGCCGCACGGGGACCCCCGAGACGCAGAAAGAGGAGTACCCAGGAGGACGGGGTGGGGGGCCGCGGAGGAGGGGGGCCCCACAGGTGCACGTCTCCCGGGGGCCCCGTCGCCCACATCAGGGTGAGAAGGGATAAGCTTTCCAAGCGCCAAAGAGTGGCCTTCCTGAAGGGCTTCCACTGAACCCGCAGGCCCTGCCGGGTGCCTGGCGCCACGGAGCCGCGGGCTGGCGGGTCTGCTCGGGGCGACGCCGCGGGGACACTCGTCGGGCCGGCCCCCAGCGCCCGCCGTGAAGCCCCTGGGACCCCTCCCACACGCACTGCGGGCGCCCCGGCTCCGTGCAGGGTCGCTTCATGGGATTCTGCCCCCACTGGCCGTCTGTGAGGGCCTTACAATAACCCCTTCGGCCCGGAGGCGACGTGGACGCGTCTCAGTCTTCACAGCTGCCCGGGGAGAACCAGGGAGTCTTCCAGCGAAACCCCCGTGTCTAAAGGGAGGTCTCCCTTTGCCCAAAGACACTCTGGTCCCAACCCCCCCTCCACGGGGTCAGCAGGGCCACGGGGCTTGGAGCGACCGGGGAAGATGGTGGCCACGTGGGGCCGGTCGCCCGCCCAGAGGGTCCCGTGTGTGTGACCAGCCCTCGGGCCCGAGGCAGGGCGCCCGCTCCGGCCCCGGGAGCCGCCCAGGGGCGGTCCGTCTTTAACGAGGGTGCAGGGCTCGCACGAGGTTAAGTGGATGAATTGGTTGGCATGTAAATGACATGTCCATAAAGCTGTTTTAAAAAAGTAAACTTTAAATAGATTTTAAAAGACTTCAGCTGCTAAAGAAATTTGAAAGCCGATAATTGTGAGGAAAAAATTATGACATGTAGTTGAAAAGTGTCAACCGTGCCACCGCGCTTCCAAGTGCTTGTAGCTGGAAAAGGCCGCCTCGGTCCCCAAGGACCTCAGTGCTCACACACTGCTCCCGGTGCCCCCGCCCTCTGCCGGTGGCCCGCGTCACTCGGGGGCCTCAGACTCCCTGCCTTTGGAACCGAGATCCTGGCCCAAGCTGGCCCTGTCCCACTGGGCCGGTGGGGAGCGTGTAAAGCCCCAGGCCGGAGCCCAGGCCCAGGCAAGCCACGGGCTGACCAGCGAGCGCCCCCACGTGAGGCCATTCCCGGTCATTCAGGAAGAATTCCTGGGCATCTGGTAACAACCAACAAAAGGTCTACACCTGTGAGCAAGATCCAGCGAGGCCGCTGAGCGCAGTGTGGGAGCTCGGGCCCTGGCCAGCCTGTCTGCTGCGAGCAGGACTCGCGGTGGCTTTGTGGACCGCATGCACGCGGTGCCGTGCCGCGGACCGGCCATTGGATACGGGCACAGCCGGGTTTCCGTGTGGCTGTAAAAGGACGCAGAGCCACATGTCCGACCGTCGGTCAGTGGTCAGCCAATTTTAGCCAGAATCTAGACAAACAACACCGGGCCTAACCTCTGGAGCTTACAACCCACCCCCCAAAATCTAGCATTTTGGGGAAAAGGGTCCACGAGGCCACGAGCCGCAGCTGGTCACCCGCCCGGCCTCTCTCTCCTGTCAGAGTCCCCTGGCTGAGGGGAAGCAAATGGACCGGAACGGGCTACAGCTCCCCCCCTACACACAGCGGTCAAGCGTTACAAAGCTTCCCGTCTGTCCTCTGGACCCAACCATGGGCTTATTTAGAACAGATTCTCCCTCTGCTGATCCAGGGCCCCCACCCAGGACTCATGTGCAAGACCCAAAATCATCAGATAAATCCATCCTCCCAACAGCGATCACTGCTCTGCGGTCCATCCGCCACCCCTTCACCTCGTCCTCACTGAGGCCCAGGAGCACTTTGGGGCTTGAGGACAAACCGCGGGAGGGTGTGCAGAGGGAGCACTTGAGTAGCTGGGGCCATGGCCGGGACTGCGCACTTACTCTGCCGCTCCCCCCACCCCAACACACACGCATGCACACAAGCACGTGGCGGGAAAGGCTGCGTCCTCAGGAAGCAGGCAGCCCGCACACCTCCCCGACTCAGTGGCCTGAGAAAAAGCCGTGAGGAGCCGGCCTCCGGGGCCCCCCGGTTGGATCTGCGCGGGGTCAGGCGCAGGTCTGCCGAGGCCTGGGGCAGCTCCCAGCACAGAGCACGGAGCCACCACGTGAAGGCCAGGCCCACGGGGAGCAGCACGGGCCCAGACATCCAAGCGCAACACCCCCCAGAGGACAGAGGGGAGGAGCACGGGCCACCCCGCACCCAGAGGCTTCTCCCAAAGAAAAGGGCCCCTTGTCTCCGCCTGCGGGACGTGGCAGAGGAGGGACATGGCACAGACGCCACCCGCCTGCCCCCTCCCATCGACAGGCCACCCATTTCACTGCCAACTGAATCGGGAAGGACAGGACATGGCTTTGAGCAATAGAATGTTCTGGAAGCGGTGCTACCCAACTATGAACTTGGCCTTAAGAACCCTCCCCTGGGACATGGGGCTGGACAGCCGCCCACGGGAGCTGCGGTGCCACTGGAAGTGGAAGGCCACACGGCGGGGACTGAGGAGCCCCCGGGGAGCCAGTGAGCACCGCCCCCGCCGCACAGCCAGCGCGGCGCAGCCTTGGGCTGGGGGCCCCGCAGCAGCGAGAGCCTAGGGTGACGCCCGAACAGGGGCTGCCCAGGGCCTTGAAGCCGCCAAAGAGGCTTGTGCCCGAATCCACAGCCGAGCAGGGGACTCCCCAGGACAGCAGCGCCCACCCGGCCGTGACTCTGCTACCGCCGTTCCTCTGACCCCCCACCCCGCCCCGGGCCACGGGGTCGCCCGCCCGGCCACCGGCAGGCGTGGTGGGCCCGGCGAGAAAAGCCTGCAAATGTTCACACGATTCAAGGAAAATAAACCAGAGGCTCTGGGTGGCCGGTGCCAGGGCGGAGGGGACAGGGGCCTAGCGCGGCCGCAGCTGCTGGTGCAGGCAGCTGGCAGAGGTCGAAGGCGGAGAGGAGGGCCCTGCTGCTCTGGCGCCGTGGGCGGGGCGTCGCCAGCGCGGCCCCTGTGGGTTGTGGGTTCAGGCCCCCCTCTGGGTGCAGACCAGAGGCCACAGATGAATGTTCCACGTCGATGTTTCTCTCCCTCCCTTCCCCTCTCACTAAAATCAGTAAGCACGTCTTTGGGTGAGGATTTTTTTAAAAAAAGAACAACAGAAAGGAAAGGAAGAGAAGGAAGCCAGACATCTGATTAAGGCGGATTAACCGGGAAACACACGCACCTCAGACACTCCAGGGAGCGGGCGGTCGCGTGGCTCAGCGAAGGGGATTCACGCCCGCGGAGGCAGGAGGGAGCCGCTTTGCGGCCTCCCCAGGAACAGCAGGGGGCAGGCGCACCTGCACCTGCGGCAGGAGCCAAAATGGCAGCCATAAAGGCCCTGGAAAAAGCTGGGGAAAGGATCGAACAGCATAAGGGCATGAACCCCTGGAAGATCCACGAAAAGGACTGGAGAGTTTCAAAGAAGCCTGCTCTCCCGCAAGCCCAGGAGACACAGGAAGCGACACGAGGGGCCCAGGCCCTCTCTCCCCTCGCGGCCGCGGGGGCCGGCTGCGGGCTGGCTGCAGGGAGCCCTGGGGGCGGACCTGCAGGCGGGGCGTGAGGCACAGCAGTGCTGGCCCTTCTGGGCCTGCGGCCCCAGCCGCTGGGCTTCTCCCGCAGCCGGATGAAGCCAAACCACCTGGTCATGGAGAACACGTTGCCTGCGCCCTTCTTTTCGCTCCATCTTGCCGCTGTAGCGCAAATCCTCCCACAAGCGAGTTTCTGATGTGCATTTCCCGTGGCTCTGGGGGAGGTCCTTGTTCCTCCGATGCAGGTTGGCAGCCACGCAGGGAAAGGGGCAGCCGTGGCTTGTGGTGGGACACCGGGGCCCTGCCCCGCGGAGAACCCGGGCCTTTTCTGCACCGTCCCTCCCGTCTGCCGCAGCCTCTGTGGGCTCTCCAGCGCCTTCTCTCTCTTCCCCGCCTCTGCTGCTCTGGCTGGACTGCCTGCCCTTTCGGCGCCAGATCCAGACAGAACTCTCCTCAGCCCTGCATTGCTCCGGACCCTTCCCTCCGCCTGTCCTCCACCCGCCCCAGCCCACGCAGCTCAGACGTGGCCTGGGCGTTTCCTCTGCTCACACAGCAGCTGGCGGGCCCCCCCCCCCGCCCCCGACCAGAGCACCCACCTGGGGCGCAGGCCGGCCGCACTCCCTGCCCCTTCGCTGCCCGTCAGGGCCCCGGCCCGTGGGGCCACGGCAGTGAGCTCCCCGCACTGTGCAGCTACGCACGGGAAATCGCGCCTCCAAGGCCGGCCCCCTCCAACCGCGGCCCCCGTGGATACTCCCTGTGAAGAACACGATGAGCACAAAGCCTTCTTCATCGGCAAGAGCCGCAGAAACGGAGGGTTTGCACTGAACCACTGGGGTGATAATGACTTTAAAAGAACTTCCCCAGGAGGAAACTGATGAACCGACCGACGCCTGTTCCCGTCTCCCGGCCCCCGCGCCCCCGCGCCCCCGACCTTCCCGGAGCAAGCGGACAGGACTCGCCCTCCTGGCCCAGGCCGCTGTCCGTGCGGCCAGCCCACTGACAGACGCAGGCCACTGGGGACCTTCTCCGGCCCCCCAGAAACCTCCTCCATGACAGGGACGGCCTGGCTGGGCCCTCCCTTCCCTTCTAGGGATGCTGCCTTCTCCTCACTAGGCCCCTCGAAGGCCCAGGGCTCCGCGCGTACTGTCCGTGTGGAATTAAGTGTGGAAGAGGCCGGGCTGGGGCAGACACCGCCGCGGGGAATCTGACCCTTGCTGTGCCCGGTAGGAGGCGCCACCGCCTGGGGCCAGGGCCCGTCTCCTCCACCGTGGGCCCCTCCGGCGCATGCGCTGCGGCGTCGTGCGGGGGCTCCAGGGACGACGGCTGGGGGCAAGGAGTGGGAACTCTCGGACAGCCCTCAACTAGAGGGGGCAGGGGGAAGCGTGAGGCCTTGCCGCCGTCCTCAGAGGGGAACGGGAACCAAGCACCCCGTGTTTCACTTCTAAAAGGTGCGGAGTGGAGAAGAGGAGCCCCGCCCGGGAGAGACGGGCGGCGGGAGTGCCGCGGGGGCCTGGTAACTGGGCCCTCGGTGGTCGGGGACGAGGACGCGAACCACGCACGGCGTTTAGAGCAGGGAGAGAGCACACTGACCAGGGGGTGGTGCGCCCCGCGGTACAGGGGAGCGGCCGGCGCCGGGCAGCGACCTCAGGGGCCGGAGAGGTCCTTCTTGCAGGGCAGGTGTCTCCTGGCCGATTTTGGTGGGGTTTTATTGTGCATGTGCAAGTAGTGACATTACTTTTAAGCTGCCGCACACGTGGTCTCCCACGATTTTCCTCGATTGGCCCCTGGGAGACGGGGTCCCACGAGGTGATGCTGTGAGGACGCCGCGGGGGCCACGGAGCATCTTCTGCGCAGGCGCAATCATGACTCACCGCGACTCGGCGCCTTCCCAGGGAGCGGGCGCCGCTGGTCTTAGAGCAGGGCCTCTGCCCTGCTCCGGGCCACTCGTCCAGCCCCGGGGCGCCCGCGGAGCTTCCTCCCTCCCGACGTCTCCTGCCTCACGGGGCAGCGCCCAGCCCTCCAGGAATCTGAGAAGCAGAGACCCAAAGGGGGTTCCTCCTTGACCAGCAGGCGGGCCACGCGGAACCCACCTGGACGCTGGTGTGCCAGACCGCGCCCCCCGGAGGCTCGGCAGCGGTGGCCGAGCTCGCGCCGGGGCCCGCAGGCCGCTGCGTCCCTACTGTGCGCTCCGCTTCTGCTGGGTGTTGTCCTGGGCGCGAGCAGCCACCGGGACGTGCTCTTTTCATGGAGGGTGGTGGGGGCCATGTGCCCCTCCCGCTGCAGAGGCCACGGTCAGGGGAAAGGTGAAGCCACGACCGCCCTCCCACAGGGAGCCTTTCGCGGGGCGCTGCCCCCTTGTGGAACATGCAGGCGCCCCCTGGGGAACGGCACACAGGGGCCGGGCGCTCCAGAAAGCTGCTGCGTCTGAGCCACTCCCTGTGCCCCGGCCCAGCCCAGGTGAGACATGGGGTCTCCAGGTGCAGACAGGGTGCCCGGGACACCGGCCGCCCGTGGCCTCAGGGAATGTCTGTTGGGGGGGGGGGGCCCAGGCCCTGGGCCGTGCGTGAGGGGCCCATCCCTTTGTCCCCAGGTCTCCATCCCACGTCCAGTCCCAGCCACGGCGCCTGCCCCGTCCCCTCGCTGAGGCAGGAGCCCCATCCTGCAGGACGCAGGGTCTCCTCTGCCTTCCCGGGGCCCGGAACGGGCATCGCCTGAGGGAGGCGCAGGGAGGAAAATGAACAACGGTGAGGACATCGCCGTGGTGACGCTTCAGCTGCCACTCCTCTGAGGCACCGGGGCTCGGCGCCGGGCTGGGGGCAGGGACGGCGTTCTGACCAGCCAGCCAACCAACTGCCCCGCCTCCTGTGGGGACAGGGACACCAAGTACCACAGGGGAAGATGTCTCAGGCACCTGCCGGGGCTCAGACTTTGTTGTTACAAACATTTACTTATTTCCAAATATGTTGTCTTTTTCCGTAACCCCCACCCCAACCTGACGCCCTGGCGTAGACAGTGGCCACATCTCAAGGTCGAATTCTCAGGGCGCTGGGTGAGGGGACCCTGCAGAAGGGGGCGCTACGGGGACACCCCCGAGAAGTGTCCGAGGACCCCATCCCCGAGGGACAGGGGACCCTCAGGACAGCCGGCCCGGAAGGCGACCCGGGTCCTGGGGTGCTGGCGCAGGTGGTCAGGGGCTGGGCCCGGCCGCGGCGCCCGTGGGGAAAGGCTGCAGCTGCAGGCCGGGCCCTGGCGTGCAACCCGACAGCCCCCGGAGGGCCCCGAGGGAGGGCCAGCCCGGGAGAGGAGGTGTCCAGAGGCCCAGACTCAGCTGCCAGGGGCCGGGAGGCTGGAGGGAAGGAGGCAGCTGCTACGGACACTGAGGTGGGAGCGCCAGGGGGCAGCCGTCGGGTGCACGAGGACCGTGGACTGACCGCAGGGGCGCCGGTGGACGGAGATGGAGGCGCCGCCAGGGGTGCTGGGGCAGGCGGCAGGGACGGGGACGCCAGCGGAGGACAGAGTGCACCACAGGCGGGGGGGGGGGGGGGGGCGCGATGCCTGGCACGACAGAGACTTTGCCCTTATTTCTCCTGAGCAAATGGCGTCCCCATGGCAACCAGGGCCGGCGGGGGAGCAGCCCCCCGCCAGACACCTCCCTGGGTTGAGGGGTGCCTCCTTGCCTCCCACTCCCTCCCTCACCCACACGCTGGGGCTTCCTCATCTCTCCCTGGGCCCCGCCAGGCGGGCGCCTCCACGGGGGTCCCTCTTATACAACCTCTTCTCAGAGGGCACAGTTCAGAGGTTTCCAAGCAAAAATTACACACTTTTCCTCATCCGAACACAGTCGCCAGCCGCCCTGGTCGCCTCCGGCCCAGCTGAGGTCGTCCTCAGCAGAAGCCCACCGGCTGGGGCGGCTCCGGGAGGGCGAGTCTCTCCACCCGCTCAGGGCCCAGGCCCAGAGCCCGGGGTTCAGGGTCCAGGGCCTGGGCCTTGGGGTTCGGGCCTCGGGGACTGGAGGCAGGTTTTGCTTCGCGACATCCCCGACGGCGGGCCCCGCCTTCACATGTGTGGTGTCAGGCGGGCGTGGAACCCACTGCGCTGGGCTGGGCCAGGCGCTCCTCCCACGTTGGTGGCACCCGGGCCACGGAGCGCGTCCCTCGCGGGCCCGGGGGTCTGGAGGTGTCGTTCGGACGGCCGTGGGGTCAGGCTTTCCTGCTGGCTCCCACAGGCTCTTCTGGGCGCATGAAAATCCAAGGCCTCCCTGTCTTTGGGGTGCACGTGTCACGGTCGTGAGCACCAACGGCCCCTCGCTCCCTGTGTGGCATCCACGTCACCGGCTGGGCTGTTTCCCTGACCCCAAGCCACCGTCGACTTTCTGGGAAGTGCAGAAGAAAAGCCAGCCAGGGCGATGGGGGTCTCAGAGACACCCAGACCCCACGAGAGCAGAGAAAGCGGCTGCCCCCGCCCCCCTCGCCCAGGCTCCGCGCCCCCAGAGGCCCCACCTCGCAGGCCGCAGCCCCCTGGAACCCGCAGCGGCTGGGAGGACGCGGCCTCAAGCCTGGCTCTGGGGGGTCAGAGGTGAAGTGCCAGGAGCCGTCTGCCCACCTCGCAAGGACAGAGGGCGGACACGGAGGCCGGCTGCCCGGCTCCGAGGGCCTGGCACCCACAGGGCCCATCCCGTGCTGTGGCCGCCCCAGGGCTGCCCCGGGGAACCCAGCAGGGGCAGTGGGACGGGGGCAACAGCCAGGGGAGAGCCAGCGCTCGGGGCCAGCGCGGCAGGAGGGCCCAGGGAGCCGCGGCAGCCGCCCCACTTCCGCTGCCTGCAGGGGCCCAAGGCACCAGGCGGGAGGAGGGCCCCTTGTTTAAAATCCTGGCACAGGAGGGAGAGGGGACAGGAGACGGAGAGGAGGCCAGCCGCCCAGCCTAGGGAGGCGGTCACTGGTGTCCCGGTGCACCCCCTGCTGAGCCAGAGCATGGCCTTGAAGTGGGCCCCTGACCCGCGCCCTGGAAGCTTGCTGGGCCAGGACCCCCACCTCCGGAACACGCCCCTCCACCAGGGTGTGGCCCGTGCCCAGCCCAGGACCCTGGCCAGGCAGGTGGAACAGGGCCAGGCAGGGAGCGGGGGCCTCAGGCAGGACCCCCGACCGGGTGCCGGGGTGAGGACCGTGGAGGTGCCTCCGAGGGCTGGTGCCAGCCCAGAGCCAGCCATCCCCCCGAACGGGATCCGAGTCAGCCTGTCTCCTGGTCTGCCCTGGTTCTTAAAAAGTGTACATGCGCTTGGCAGAAGACAGCGCAAGGCACCCCCAAAATACAGAACATGATACCTCCTTCCTGCCTTGACCCCTGGGCACCCTCCCCAAACGAGCCCTGCTCGGCCCATGGGGAGGACCTGTGCGCAGCCGGCTTCCTGGCCCACAGCCCTTCCCCGGGGCAGGTGGCTGCCCCCTTGTCCCCTGTCCTCACTGACCCTGTGTCTGAGGGTCTCAGAGACACACCACCGCCTTTCCCAAAATGTTGGCCCCAACCTGGCCAGCAACTGATGCCTTTGCAGACCGTGCCCTGAGCATGTCCTGGGGAAAAGCCTGCATGTGCGCCTGTGCCTGGTGCATGCATGCAGTCATGTGTGCCTCTGCCTAGTCTGTGTACCTGTGCCCGTGTACAAGCATGCAGTCATGTGCCTGTGCCTGTAGGCCGTGCCTCTGCCCCTGTGCATGCATGCAGTCACATGTGCCTGTGTGTGTGCCCATGTGCCGTGTCTGTGTGCACTGTATCTTTGTGCGTGTGTGCATGTGTGCGCACAGGTGGATTCTGTAGGGCGACCCCAGGAGGGAACCGCAGGGCACTTCACATTTTAACATTTTGGGGACCAGCTCGTCCCCGGGGAAACGGAGGCCCCGCCGACACTTGCTCTCGGAACCCCAGGCCAGGGCCGCCTTCCCGGACCCCTGCCGCTCCTCCAGCAGGACATGCCTCAAAACACTTAGCCTTTCACTATATCACACATCATTTTAATTCTCCAAAATAAACTTGCTTAGTCATAAAAGCTATTGAAAGTCACTACCAACATGAGCTGGCCCACCTGTGACACCTTGGAAACGCCGCACGAGACAGGGCTCCCAGGCTCACGGTGGGGACAGGACAGCGTCTCGGGGGACGGCCACGCAGAGGCCGTCAGGCCACTCTGGCGGCCCCCAGCATTCGGGTGCTTAGGGAACATCACACACCGGCACACCGTGGGCTTTTACGAGATTTTTCTAGCGACAGATTAACTCTGTTTTTACAGGAAGTTCACAGCAGCCAGGAAGAGAAAACGTGTCCCACCTCCCAGACGGTCCCGGCAGCTGCCCGGGGGCCACACGTCAACAGGGGCCCGAGTGGGGCCAGTGAGGCAGGAACACAGGGGCCGTGTGCAGGGAGCACGGACGTGGGCCTGCGGGGCCCTCGCCGGGGGCGCCTGGCTGGCCTGCGTGGATCTACCGCAGCAAACCGCCAAGTGCGAGGAACAAACGCCCGCGCTCTGCCGGCTCGCGGTCCCCCCAGGGCCCCGCAGGTGCCCATCCCACGTCGGGGTCAAGCCCCTGGGGAGCCAGGCCCCGAGGGCCACAGCCCGGGCCTGGGGCCGGGCGGGGGACAGAGCCACCGCGCCCTCCCGGCTGCGACCCAAGGCGGGACTCAGGGGAGCAGCCACGAGAGAGAGGCCCCTCCAACCAGGTGGCTCCGCGGGACAGAGGCCCGAGCTCAGGCCAGCCCTGCGGGCCGATCCCAACGGACAAAACCGAGACCGGACCAAGGCCACTCCCGCTGACCCCCGATGCCCAGTCAGGCCTGTGCGGGCAGCGTCTTGTAGGGGTTCAAGATGCCCTTGGGGTCCAGGAGGGTCTTGAGCTGCCGCATCAGCCGCAGGGCCGCGGGCGGCTTGCTGTAGCCGAGGGCGCTCCGCTTCTTGAAGCCGATCCCGTGCTCGGCGCTGATGCTCCCTCGCTGGCCCGCCGTCCACTCGTACACGTAGGGCTCCAGGTCGCCCAGCAGCGACGCGCTGAAGGCCTCCGCCGACACGTTGAGGTGCAGGTTGCCGTCCCCTGGAGGCACAGGCAGCAGCTCAGGCTGGGCAGGGCCCCCAGGAGCGTCCCCGCTCCCCAAGAGCGCTTCCGGCCCTCTCTCTGGCTCCAGCCCTTCAAGCCACTGGCCGCTGACCTGCAGTGACGGAAGCCGCCTCTTCCGGGGCTGCCGCTCCCTGGGCTCCCACTGGCTCCTCTTCCCAGGTCTGCCCGCCCATCCCTCTGTGGGCTCCGCCCCGTCCCAGGCAGAGGGCGCCCGGCCCCAGGGCCTCTGCGGTCCCACCGCGCTGACGGCCACCACCAGACTCACTTCTCCGACAGCGCGCAGGACGGCCCCTCGCCCAGGCGCCCCCACGGACACCGGGACGGTGTGGACCGCTCGGGCCCCTGGGCACCGGCTGCTGTCGGGGTAGTGTGGGCCCCGTTCCCCGGCTTCAGGGCGGTGAACAGCAAGCCAACCGTGTTTAAAACAGCTAGGACACTCCCGCGTGTTTGCAAGTTAAAAGACACATTCCTGACTAACGCATGAGTCAAAGAAGAGATGACAACAGAGATGAGAAAATATTTAGAACTAGACACAATGCAAATGCCAGCAAAATGGCGGGGCTCTGCACACGGTGTGGGTGCCCTGGGCTGCGGAGGTGGAAGCTCTCCTGCCCCGGCCCCGGCCCCGGCCCCGGCCCCTCGGCGGAGTCGCCGCGGGCGGGGCCCTCCTGGGAGCAGAGAGGCAGGCCAGCAGCAGAGCGCCCAGCAGTCAGGGGCCCGGCCAGCAGGCCACCAGCCTTGCACACGGGGGCTCCGCCCTCCCCACGGAGTCCGCAGGGAGCCAGGCTGCGTCCACGGTGACACACGGGCCCAGGGCCACTGTGACGGTGACAGCATCTGTCCGGGCACCTCGCCGGCCACGCTGAGCCTCGCAAGGGGGATAAACAAAGACATCGTTTAAAACCACCACCCAGGGGCCAGCGAAGCTGGGGCCTGGAGGGATATTTAAATACTTGTGTCAGAAAAGAAAAGCTGGAAACCACGGAGTGCTTCATTCCTGAAGTTACAAAGCAACAGAAAACACTGAAAATGGAGAAACAGCATCATGGCAGAGAAGAGTGACACAGAAAATGGACACACGAGACAGAGGACAGGAAAGCTCCGCGCTGACTCTGGAGAGACCGTAAAGCTGACAAACGTCAGGACTAAGCAGGGGCTGCCTCCCGGCGTGACACGGCGCCTGGAACAGGACATCAGGGAAAACGCGACGCCAGCACATCCGGAATCCTGACGAAACCGCCGAACGCTTAGAGAGAAACACCGCCGGGACCAGCTCAGAAGGAGAGGCCGGGACGCCCGCCGGCCCCCGGGAGCCGGTCTGCAGCCGCCCGAGCACCCCAGCACGCTGCCCACGCGTCTGCAGCGGCAGGCGCTCCCTCCCGCTCGAGGGAAACCTCCAGACCAGGGAAGGGCGGCTGCCCCGCCATCCGTGCCGACCGAAGCAAGGACCCTTCGGGGACAACGTCACCCATGGAGACACCTGAAAACGTCCCACGCAGAATTAAACAAGCGGGATCACAGAAGACCCCAGAAGGACCGTGGCCGAGCGGGGCTCACCCCGGAATGCGTCCCAGCCGCCTCAGGAGGGCCGAGGGCCGCTGCGCCCCGACTGCCGCGGGACAGGCGCCCGGGCGTCCCACGGCCCCGGCCGCGTCAACACCCACTCCTGATTTCACAGAGTGGGGCCCCTGCCCCTGCCCCTGCGGCCGCGGCCCCATGGAGGGCGCGCCCGGTCTGCAGCCCGCGTTCTCGGCGGGTGGCGGCACCCCACCCCGGCCTCAGTGGACACGGCCCGGTGCCCTCACGTTGCTCCTGCTCCGGCACCCACTGCGCGGCTGTGCCCCTTCCTGTCCCCCACACTGTCCTGACCGTGCCAGCCCCCAGCCTCCTCCCTGAATGTGAGGGCCACACTCCCTCGGCTTTGTCGGCCCTCATCCCCCTGAAAGCTGCCTGAGGAACAGGAGGACCTGCTTTCAGTGCAGCCAAAGCTAGCGCTCCTTCCCAAAGCCCCGCGCTGCAGAGGCCGGCCCGGCTCAGGGCCCCCGGCTGCCCCTACCAAGGGCCAGGGCTCCCCTGGCCAGGGGCAGAGGGCCCTCGGTCCTGCTCAGGCTCCGGGTTCAGGGTCCACATCCTACTGCACCCCAGGAGCTCCCCGCGCCCAACGGCGCTCCTCCCCAAACACCAAACTCCGGGAGACGGTCCGGAGCCTCTCAGCACGGCACCCCGCCCCCGTCCTCCCCACTGCTGAGCGCGCGGCCGTGGGCTAAGCCCGCCCGCGGCCACCGTCCCTGCCGGCTGTGCTCACCCAGGTGGCCGTAGCCCACCACGCGCTTGGCCTGCGGGCCGAGGCGGGCGCGCAGATCGGTCACAAGGTCGTAGAGCCTGTCCACGGGCAGGGAGACGTCATACTTGTACACGTAGCCGTCCCGGGATAGCGCCTCAGTGATCCTCTCCCGTAGGGCCCACAGCGTCTGGGGGGACAGAGGACACAGGCCAGGGCAGCACCTGCCCGCAGTGGGCGTGAGGGCGGTGACACTGCTGTGTGGTGGCAGGCACGGGGCTCCCGTCCAAGAGCCCACACTAGACGAGGCCCAGATGCGGCCCCAAGACCAAGACCGTGCCCAGTGCCCGCGGCTGAGGCTCGGAGGGCCCCCTTCCAGAAGGGGACAGGCAGGGACGGAGGACCGTCGGGGCACACCCTGCAGGACACGGGGGGATGGGGCGCTGGTGGCGGGAGCGGGGACGGTGGGGCGAGGGGCCTGGGGATGCGTCGGGGGCTCTGCAGGGCAGCGCTGCTCTGATGCACCGACCCAGCTGGGGCTCGCTAGTCCAGGGCAGCCCGTCACCGTGGACACCGGAAGCCCTCGTGAGGGAGCCAGAAAGGGCGGTGCCCCGGCTGGGCCCCGCGACCCGCCTGGGCCTTGTCCCCGCTCCGGCCCCGCCAAGCTCCACCGCCTCAGGGGATGTCACAGTGAAATCTCTGCGCGGCGAGGGCGCCCCTTCTGTTTTGACATAAGCACAGTGTCACGGGCACCCCTAACAACAGGCTGCCCCATCCAGGGTTACGGCCCGAGGCCACGCAGCACCTCGCCATCAGCAGGTCCTCCTGGCCCAGCCCCCACACGCGCAGGCCAGGCAGTGCCCTGCAGAGCCCCCCGCGCGCTCTCCCTGCCGCCCCTCCCGTCCCACCGGCTCAGGCCTCCGGGGGTGCTCCCTCCATCCCGCCTTGGCTCAGTGCCCCTTGGGGCGCATGCCATCGCCACCCCCGCCCCTGCCCACACGCGGCTGGATGCTCCTCCCCGCCCACCGGGGAGGGAAGCGGGCCCCCCACCTTCCGGCCCCCTCCCCCAGGTCACTAGACCTCGGGGCACCACCACCCGAGAACGGGGCTGCCGAGCCGGACCAGCGGGTCCCTGCCCCCTCCCCCAGGAGGGCAGCGGGAGGCCCCCCAGGCTGCCGGGACCTGCTCAGCCCTGAGCTCCACACAGACGCCTGGAGCACGGTGGCCTGGCCCTGCCTGGGCGGGGGACAGGTGGGGGCACAGGGCGGGGCGGCAGCTACGGCGGCCCAGCCTCGGCCTTCGACGGGGCCCCAGCCAGGCACTGCTGTAACTCCTGACATAGACTACCTCACTGACGTAAGTATCAGTAACTGCAGAGAAAGGGGTTTAGTGATCACGCTGAGAAATAAAGTCGATGGCCGGCCACTGAGAGACAGCGAGACCCCACTGCCCGCGCACCCCAAACCAGACCTGCTCCGGCCCCTGTCCGGCCCACGCTCCCCACTGCATGGGGGCCGCGGGGAAACGGTCAGACGCCCGTGAGGCTGACAGCGGCTCCCCTGCCCCCCGGACCGCTCCTGCTCCCTTTGGCCTCCGACGCCAAGTCAACCTTGGTGCCAAGTGGTCCTTGCAGACCCTGTGGCCCCCGCCACGGGCTTGGCGCCGTGCTGCCCCCCGCTGGCCCCCTGCGGCCCCCGCAGTTCCATCTGCCTCTGCCTAAGCTGCTCAAATGAGCCACACGCTGAGGGTGTTTCCAAAGAGGCTCTTCCGTCAAGGCTGGGTCAGCGGCTCGCATCCAGCCAAGCCCCGCCGGCAGCCGGACGTGGGCCGCCCGCTCGGCCCGGAGGCGCCGGGCTGGGGGGAGGCTGAGGGCGCCCGCGCGCTCACCTTGACTTTCCGCTCGTCAGTGGCCAGGGTCCCATCGGCCACCAGGCCGGAGCCCAGCACGTGTTCCAGGAAGCCGCTCAGCTTCTCGGCGTCGTGCTCCGCGCTGGAGCCCGAGGTCTCGACCAGGACGTAGAATGGACTTTCTGGAGGGGCAGAGCGCGAGGGTCAAGTGGGGTCGGGGCGGCTGAAAGGCCGCACAGCCGCTGCGGTGCCGGCGGCCCAGGCAGCCCACGGGGCGGGACGCTAGGCTGAGGTGATGTCAGGCAGTTTAAAAGCAGGTCTTTCACTGTGACAAGCCTCACCCACTGGAACACAGGAGCAACCCCGGGACACCGGGGTGCCCGACGGCAGGAGGCCGCCCTCACCAACGCCCGGGGCCGCCTCGTCCACCCGGGGCCAGCCGCTGTCGCCCCGGGCTCTTACGTTGCTTGTTTTACACTGGAAGTAGCAGCTCCGTTAAAATTGAGAGCATCGAGCTCCCTCCACCCCTACCATTGTTAGGGACTGCGGCGTGTCCTTCCCTCCCGCCGTGTCCCCGCGCTGAGGCCCTAACCCACTCCCAACGCGGCCGCGTGCGGACCAGGCCTTTAAGGAGGCCGCAGGGGGAGTGAGGTCAGAGGGTGGGGCTGGGGCCTCACAGGGCAGGAGGCGGCAGCGAGGAGGACGCAGTGCGCAGACAAGAAACGGGGCTCACCAGGAGCCCACCCCGATGCAGCCCTGGACTTCCAGCCCCCAGAACCGTCCAGCATAAAGTTGCTTTGCCATAGTCGCCCGGTCTGTGGGGTTCTGGGGGGGCCGCTCAGACAGCGACTGTCCCTACAGGGGGGTCTCCGACGGCAACTGCCAAGGGCTCCCCCTGGGTGTTTTCGGCCTCTAGGCTCACGATGCATATTGGGCCCCCAATCCCTGCCTGAGCTGCCACCGCAGGGAGGGGGGGCCTGGGGGCTGCACCGGTCCCTCGCCCGCCGAGGTCACAGGGCGAATGCGTCTCGGGACGGCAGGCCTCTCGGTCCTGGAGATGGACAGCCCTTCGGACGAGCTCAGCGAGCCGCCTGGAGTGAGAACTCGGCGCTCAACCCCTCGTGTGGACACCACAGCTACGGGGCAGCCACGCCCTCCTTCCCGCCTCGCCCTGTGCAGGACGAAGGCCTGCCAGCTGAGCCGCCGGAGCGGCGGGCGGGGTCCGTACCTTGCACCGGGCTGGCGAGGAGGAGGTGCTGCTGGACCAGCCGCATGCACTCGGCGTCCATGAACTCAAACGCCGACAGGATCTCCCCCAGCATCCCCTTGCAGGTGCTGAAAGTCTGCAGGACCTCAGCGAAGCCCGGGCAACCTGCACAGGGCACAGGGCACAGCGCCTCAGGCACAGCCGGCCAGGGCCTCGCCGCGGCCGCCCCGGGCCCGCCCGGCCCCCAGGCAGCCACCGCGCAGAGCGAAGGAGGCACCGCCGAGGGCAGTGCCACGGGCCAGCCCGCAAGCCCGTCACACGACTCGAAGGTTACGATGGAGAGGCTCGCGGAGGACGCCCGCCGTGCAGGGGCAGCGGAGCACGATCACAGCGCCCGGGGGGTGTGCACGTGCACGTGGCCCGACACGGTCCCCTTGGGAAACGGCTCTGTTGTGCTTCTTGTACTCAAGCGACACCAGGTCCCCAACGGACCTCGGTAACACGGTCAGGACACTCCCACGGAACACGGACGGGCCGCCGTGGGGCCCAGGGCAGGGCAGGCTGGCCGTCCAGCGGCTGGAGGCAGGAGGACTGAGTGGATTGCTGAAGGGGGAAAGGTCCAAGACACCCGGTGGTGAGGAGAGGTCAGAGGGCACAGAGGTATCGGGAAGAGCGTCCCGCAGAGAAGGGCTGGGGACCGCAGAGGCCTGAGGACACTGCTGTGCTCGGCTGGGAACAGGCGCTCCGCAGCGGGGGCTGCACAGAGGGGCTCGGCGCAGCGGGAGGGAGCAGCAGCGAACTCAGAAGACAGGAAGCCACGCCGTGAAGGGGGCCGACAGGACGGAGGCGGCTGAGCGGCAGGAGGGCCGGCAGACACTGCGCCCGTCCAGCCGCAGGCCAGGGAGAGGACACGGGCAATACTGCAACCGAGGAGGCGCCGGGCCAGGGAGACCCCGGGGAACGCACTGGAAACCACACAGGCCCGAAGGCGAGAACAAGCCTGGGGCACGTCCAGAGGAGGAGACGGCCCCTCGGAGCAGCGTGCAGGCCGCCCCCGCGGGGTATCTCCGGGGCGGGGGGCCCGGCTGGACCCGCACGCCAGTCGCGGGGCCTCGGGGACTAGCGTGATCACAGTGTTTCTGGGCACAGAGGGCGAGGACTCGCCCCCAGCAGCGCTCCCCACAGGAAGCTCGAGGAAGCGCTCAAGGGGACAGCCCAGCAGAAGTCTGATGGAGGAGTGAGGAGGAAGGAAAGTTGATAAAACGACAGTAATTATGATCCACAGGACAAATGGGATCAAGATTCCGGACCAGAACGTGTAGGTTGGGAGGGGAAGAACCAGCTAACGTCCCGACGGTCCCAATGGTCCCGACGGTCCCAGCGGGAAGACCCTGATGGGACCGGCTGCACTGGGCGTCAGGGGCCCGCGGACCCTCCCAATGACCCAGGTGCCAGGGCAGGTGTCCGTCTGATGGGCCCACACAGTGGAGACCCGCCAGACGAGCCATTCCCCACAGACCCTGGGGCACACGCTCCTTAGCAACCAAAGCGGGCGCGAGCCGAGGAAGCTGGCTCTGTTCCGGGGCGAGGTCGTTCTGCCCAGAGCCCGCAGGCTCGACTCCAGACCTGCCTGAACACCAAGGCCAGGTCCTGGGTCCCTTTGGAAAGAGCGAGACACCTGGACAAACAGACCCTCCTGTGGGGGCTCCCCCAATCTCTCCCCTCCTCTGCACCGCGGCAGGGCAGCCCCGAGAACCGGCTGCCGGCAGCGGGCACGCCACTTACCGAGGAAGGCCACGTTCACGGCCCTGGGCTTGGGCGGACACAAGATGGACACGGCCGTAATGACCCCCAGGGTGCCCTCCGACCCGATGAAGAGCTGCTTCAGGTCATAGCCCGTGTTGTCCTTCCGCAGGGAGCTGAGGCCGTTCAGGATGGTGCCGTCAGCGAGCACCTGGCGGGGATGAGAGAAACAGGGCGTCCAGCCCCGGCCGTGGTCCAGAAAGCGGGGCCCCGGGTCAAGGCCTGGAGCCTGCCGGGCAGGCTGCACAGAGGGCTCTTCCTCTGCGGCTACGGGTCCCATCGCCTGCGCCACTGGGGGCCCCGGGCTGCGCCCAGCGTCCGTGCGGCCGGGGGCCTCCCCGAGACGGACACACCCTCACCCCAGGGCACAGGGGGCCTGGCAGCCCAGCCCACCCCCCGTCAGAGACCTGCGGTCGCCGGAATGGCCGGGAGGAGGAGCTGGGAGCAGACTGACAAAGGCCGAGCCCCGAGACTGGGGTGGGGACACAGGGGCCGGGCTGGGCGTCCCGGGACACCAGGCCGCTCGCAGACGCCCCGCAGCGGCTCCTGGCTCACCGCTTCCAGGCCCAGCACGGTCCCACGCAGCGAGCCGTACCGCAGCAGCCGCAGGCCGCCCGCGTTGGTCGCCAGGTTCCCCCCGATGTGGCAGCTGCCCTTGGCTCCCAAGTCCAGCGGCACGACGAAGCCCCGCTCCTCCACATGCCGGCTCAGCTCCTCCAGGACGCACCCCGCCTGGCACACCAGGGCCCCTGCCGAGCAGGCGGGGCTGCCACCGAGCGCTCAGTGCGCACCCCACCCCAAGGAGCGGCCACCTGGGGCCCAGCCCCGAACCCCGACAAGGAGTGCGCGCCCCACCCCTCCCCGCGAATTTCTCTCTGTGAGTGCCATGAAAAAGAGGAAACACTGGAAAGGCAAAAATGAGAAGAAACACGCGTGTGCACACTGCACTGCAGGGGAAGGCTGGTGGGAGGGAGCAGAAAAGAGCGCTGCGGTGAGGCCGACGTCCTCCCCGGGGGCGCGGGGGGGTCCCTGCCCCGGGCACAGGTGGCAAGCCCGCAGGCGTTTTTGCTTGGGGGTGTCAATTGGGTGGAGGCAGGCCTGCCGGCTAACAGCCTATGCCGCCCGGTGCCCCACCGCACAGCGTGACCCAGCACCCGACGCTGCCGCACCCGGGCAGGGCCCCTCACGCGCACGTGACCTCACACACCCCGAAGGTGGTTGTGGCCAGCAGATGTCAGCATCCACAGAGGCCACAGGGGCAGCCGATCTCCGTCCCCGCAGGCCCATGGTGAACGTCACTCCCAGGGGCAGGGCACAGACGGACCCAGCCCTTTTCTCCCGGCCTAGGTGGCCCCACCGGCCCCCACGGCTGACAAGGGCAGGACAGGAAACCAGGCTCACCAGACACGTCGTGGAAGCTGATGACCTGGTTCATGAGGGCAGTAGACAGGATGATCTCATCGAAGATGGGGACGCTGCCCCCCACCAGGCCGGTGTTGCCCCCCTGGGGGTTCACAGCCAGGTTCCTGCCATGACAGTACCTGGGACAAGCACAGGAGGGCGTCAGGCCCCTCTTCCCCAGGCCCGCGCCTGGCCACGAGGGCAGCGATGCCGCTCGATTGAGGGCCCCGTGGTAAGGATCTGGGGGCAGGGGCGTGCCCACCCCGGGAGGCCGTGAGCCCATGAGCGTCCAGTGACCCGCCCACCCTGCGAGGCCCAGCCTCCGGCGACGGACTCTGAGAGCGGCTGCACATGGGGCACGCCACACGGCCATGTGGGACCTGGGGCTACCTCAGTGCGGTCTGGCGGCTCGGGGGGGAGTGCAAATTGTAGGGCACTCGTGGGGCAGGCACTTTTCACAGGTCAAAAATGGCATGGAAGCCCGGGTTGGTGTGGCCCAGTGGCCTGAGCACTGGCCTGCGAACCAAAGGGTTGCCGGTTCGCGTCCCCGTCAGGGCGCAGGCCTGGGTGGCAGGCAGGTCCCCAGTAGGGGGCGTGGGAGAGGCAATTGACAGGTGTATCTCTTGAGCATGGAGGTTTCTCTCCCTCTTTCTCCCTCCCTCTCTAAAAATAAATAAAATCTTTTTTAAAAATGGCATGGAAGACTAATCCGCACCAATAAATGAACATGGCTTTGTCAAATAGAAAACAGACTACCAAGTCTTAGATACAACGTGATAGCCTTAAAACCACCCACAAGCAGAAAAGATATTAGCATAGCAACCAAATTTCAACAATTGTCCTCTTTGGAAGTGAAATTAGTGGTTGCTTTTGTCTTTTTTTCTTTAGAGTGTTCTATGTTTCCTAACCTTCCTATAATAAACATGATAGTTTACTGACATTAAAAAATCAAGAAACACACACGTCACGAGAAGGTCCATTTCCTGGGAGTGTGCGGCCACTCCCACGCTGCGCCTGGGCCAGCGCTGCAACCGCGAGGTCCGGCCCGGCCCGCACAGGCTGCCGGCCCCGTCGTCCTCAGGGGCAGGCCCCTCACCCGCCCGGGGAGGCCCCGCGGGCGTCTCACCTGAGGATGTGGGACACCTCCTCCGACGTCCGGGGCCTCAGCAGCACCTTGCTGCAGCCTGAGACGGAGAGAGCACTGGGTACAGCAGGGGCCTCCCGCCCGGGCCTGCGCTCAGGGACAAGGACAGCCCTCCTTCCTCGGGAGGCGACCCGCCCAACCAGGGTCACTGCACACCTCAAGGACAAGAGTTGTCAGTCCGCGTGCGGGGGGCACGGGGGGCCGGCAGAGGGTGCCAACTGCAGCCCCGGCGAAGGTGGCCGGAGGGGCGCCTGCCTGGCTTCCCCGCTGTGGGTCACTAAGTACCTTGTGGGCAGGCGCTTGACACTATGCAGACACCCTGTTGCTTCCCTAAGTTCTCCCAGAACTCAGCCTCTGCGGACTGTCCTGCCTGAAGCGAGTCTTAGGATGGCGGCCACGTGGTGACCGTCGCCCAGCCTCCCACAGCCACGGGCTGACCCTGCACTGTCAGGAGGGACCTCCGGCATTGATTTCTCTAGCCACGCAATCATAGCGGTGTGATGAGCTCTTCTTTTATTCACTGGGTTACAATTCTTTTCCGTCATGGCCTCAGATCCCGATGGGGCTGGTGGGAGCCACCCAAACTCGCCGGCCGGCACCCCTAACCACTGCCTGCCTTCCGCCCATTCGTTTCGCTGAAGGAACTCGCACGGGGTGAGCGGAGGCTGCAGAGGCAGGAGGAGCGCAAGGTCTCACTCCGGACGCTGCCCCGAGCCCGGAGGTCCAGCTGCAGCCACCCCCCCGTCCGCGGCCTCGCCTCAGCCACCGGCAGGGGCGCCGGGACAGCCCGCCCGCTGCTGCGCCTCAGCACCACGGCCTCCCGGGCAGGGTCTGGCTCCCCGCCCCTCGCAGACCCGCCCTCCTCCCACTGCCACCTCCGGCCGTGACAGGGGCTCCGCTCCACTCACTGCCCTCGGTGGCTCCCCATCAGCTCACAGAAAGAGCCAGGACTCACAAGCCCTTGAGGTCCTGACGGCCCCCCCCCTTGCTCCCTGAGCTCCTCCCCCCTCCCCCCTCCCGGCCGCAGGTGCGGCCCTGCTCAGAGGGTTTGTGCTGGCTGCTCCCGCTCCAGGAACGCCCTTCCAGGCGGCCTCCCCAGGCTCAGAGGAAACAGCCCCCCATCAGTGAGCCTCCTGTCCATCGCAGGCCCAGGACCCCAACCTTCCCCTGGGGGCGGGCACGCGGTGAGGCGCTCGCTAACGTCTGTGGGGCTCGCCCACGAACGCATGGTCTAGTTTTTAAAGGAGATGTTTAATGACATTCTCCTCTTCAAATAAACTGTTTAAAAATATATATAAGGTCCTAATCAGCTGTTACTAGCTTATATTTTCTATATGACTCTGAGATTAAGACTTTACTTTTTAAATTTTTTTAAAGACTTTATTTTAGAAAGAGGGGAAAGGAGGGAGAAAGAGGGGAAGAGAAACATCCGCATGTGGTTGCCTCTCGTGCGCCCCCTGCTGGGGACCTGGCCCGCAGCCCAGGCCTGGGCCCCGACAGGAACTGAAGTGCCCGCCCTTTGGTTCACAGGCCGGCGCTCAGTCCACCGAGCCGCACCCGCCAGGACTGAGATTGAGATTTTAAATGATCAGATGTTTGGACATGTTTTTTCTCCAAAGAAAATCGCATAAAGGGGCTTTTCTACAAAAACCAGCGGGTCGCCTCCTCAGAGAGACCCTGGGAAGACATCGCCCTGAGTCCTGTGGGTTCAGAGGTGAGTGAGCCCCAGCGCTCGCTGTCTGCCGAGCTCAGGGCGGCGGGAAGTGCGGACCGGCACCCACACCAGCGCAGGCACGAGCAGCAGCCCAAGCAGGAGGGGCTGCCCAGCAAGGGAGCCAACGCGAGAGGGGCCGCCAGGGGACAGCCGGCCGTGCCCAGGCACCGCTCCTACGGCTCTGGAGGCCCCAGGGGCAGGGGAACCCGCACCTTGAGCACCGTGTGTGCTGGGTCTTATCTCGTGGTGAGACTCATCCCCATTTGGCGGCCCGTCTGCAGGGGGCCACCAGGCCGCAGTGACAAGCCAGGATGGCACCGGGCTTGGCGGAGCCCAGGGAGGGCACCATCCGCTGCTGCCTCCAGGGCGTCGCACGCGAACCCACAGGCCCTGTGCGGTGTGGCCGCTCTCAACAGGGCAGCATCGTCCGGTGGGACCTCACTCAGAGGGCAGAGCGGGGCTCTCAGGCACTCCGACACCAAAGGGCAGCCCAAGGGTCTCCAAAGCCACCAGCCTCCCCGAAGGGAAGGGCTGCCTCTGCTCCTGAGCCTGCCCCCCCAGTTCCACGCGCCAAGACTCTGCGCTCTGGCTGGAAACCCTGCCGACGGCACAGCGCTCGGCACACCCCACATCCACGAGCGCTGGACCCAGGCCCGGCCCGAGGGCCACCTGCCCGGCCTCACAGGCGGCAGTACACAGCTTGGTTGTGAGCTGCTCGCCCTCCAGCCGCCTTACCACCCGAGCGAGAGCACAGCGTTGCTTCTTTAACTGTGTGAGCGGGCAGGTGACAGTGGCCCTGAAATCGTCTCAGGAGAGAACACGGCATCACACAGCCTTTGCTACTGGGCTTCCTGGCCCTCGGAGGCGGACACCCACGCCCCCAGCTGGAGCACGGACTTGAGGAGGGGACAGGTGCAGTGAGAGAAGAAAATCGGGCTCGCCACACCAGGGGCCCTGCGTCCTGCCCTAGAGAGCCACACGGGGGGTGGGGGGAGGATGGGCCCCTGAAAGCTTGTCCACAGAACCTACGAATGTGACCTGATTTGGATAAAGGGTCTTCACAACAGATATAAGTTAAGGATCCTGAGACGAGATTCTCCTGGGTTAGGGTGGCCGTAAATCCAATGGCAGGCGTCCTTTAAGAGAAAGGAAGGGGGGAGCTGAGACAGAGACACACAGGGAATGTGCACAAAAAGAGGGTTCTATGGAAAGGGACCTCCCAGGTGATCTGACCATAACTCCCTAACTGGGCAGGTCGTGGTGGGCAGTCCCGCCCCACCCCCCACATGTGACTTTTTAGTGAAAAGTCTGTCTTTGCCTTAGGTAAGCCCTGTCCCTTGTTCTTGTGCATCTACCTTAAGACACTTCTGAAACAAGCAGAACCCCCTCCAGGGAGCACGTAATCTGGTTACCCACCAGCCCTCCAATGCCAGCCTCCCGTAAGATTCCCATGGTCCCTCCTTAACTTCGAGTGCATGAAAGCTGCAGAGCTGTTATTTCCTGGAGCACTTGGAACCTTGCTCCCCAGGACTGTCCGCAGTTCGGCTCACACAAACTCACAGAAATTTTCTACAGCTTTGGACGTTTCTAGGTCTCATGTGATGGCAGAGGCAGAGGCTGGAGCCCAGAGGCAGGAGAGGCAGGACGACCCTTCCCTGGAGCCTCAGGAGGGCCTGCGGCCCCTGACACCTTGGCCTCAAGGACCCACAGAATCAGCTTCTGATTCTTTGTCACTGTGGCCCCAGGAGCCTGACACAGGAGCCCCGAGGACGCGAGTCCTCAGCACCAGCGAGGGGGCTGTCTCGCCCTCCAGGTCGCAGGCATCGGCACCGCAGATCAACTTCTACAAAGTGCGTCCTCAGGGCCCTTTAAAGTCACCCGCGTGCTCACCTCGCATGGATCTGAGCCAGTCCACGTTGGAGGCCTCCAGCTCCTCGGGGTCCGTGACGACCCTCCCGGGGACGATGCGCTCAAAGGCGGCCAGGTCTTCCGCAGACACCACAGAGAAGGGCAGCCGCTGCACCGGGTAGCGCTCGCAGGTCAGCACCACCTCGGGGCCCCGAGAGGACGAGGAGGAGCTGCCTCTGCGAACCGGAGTACTGGCGCCCGCGAACCGCCGAGGGCCGCCGCCCGGACGCGCCCCCGACGCTCCGTCCCGGGCGCTCGGCTGCCCGGAGGCCCCAGGAGCGCGGGCCGCTCGCCACCGGAAGAGCCACGCCGGCCACGCGGGCGCCAGACGAGGCACCATAGCTCTTGCCCTGAAAAGCAAGTGCGGGACCCTGTAAGCCGGGACCAGCAGAGGCCGGGAGGGAAGCGACTGCTCGGTGGGAGACGCAGGGCGGGAGGCGGGCGGGAGGGCAGCGCCGGGGGTCGGGGCCCCTGCGGGAAGCGCTGCTGGGCACGGCCTGCGCCTCCGCCGCAGGACCCAGCGATCGAGGCGCTCCGAGGGAGGGGCGGCGCCGCTAAGCTTACAAACGGCTACCGCAGCGGTCGGCTTTGCCTTACTAAGATGCCAACGGAAGTTTAAACAGTGCAGCATCAAACATCGGGAGCTTCGCTGTCCGCCCACGTGGGCTCGCTCGTAGACCCCGCACAGGTGAGAGGGGCAGGTGACACCTGCTGCTCAGGCAACCGGAGCGGCGCCTGGGCGGCGCCCTCGCCGCCGTGGGACCGGGAGAGTGCGCGGGTTCCCTGAGCCCCCGCGGCGCCCGCCGCCCCGGGCGGTGAGGCCCCGGCCCTTCGCATCAGGACGGATAGGGACGCACGGCGAGCTCGGCCCGGCCCCCACCCGGCCCCGGCGCTCGGCCGCGGACGTCAGGCCCGCGCTCCAGGGACCCGCCGGCCGGGCCCGCTGGGAGTCCGCGGAGCGCGCTCAGACTCGTCCCCGCAAGAACGGCCGGGCGCGCGCGGCCACGGCGGTCACGTGACAGACGGGGGACGGCCCCGCGGACAGCGCCGGCGCGTACTGCCATGGGCCTCCGCGACCACGGCCGCCACTCTGCCCCGCAGCCCGCGGACCCTCCACTCAAACCCCCGGCGGCCGTGCAGGCGCACTCACGTCCGCGTCCCCGTCCCGGCCGCCGTCGCCCTCCGGTGACCGGAACCCCAGTGGCTGGGGCGGGCGGGACTGAGCCTGCGCACGGCGGCCCGCGCGGCCACGCCCCCGCATAGGGCCCGCCCACTCACCAAAGCCCCGCCCCTCGAGCCGCCCCCTGCCCTCCCAAGCCCCGGCTCCAGCCCCGGGGACGGCCCCCTGCGCCGAGGCGCGCGGCGCTGTCCACGGCGCGCCACTGCGGGGGCGGCCGGTGTCCCCCCGCGTCCCGCACCGCCCAGCTGGGGGCCTCGGCTCACACTCCCTCCCCCGAGGGCCGGCGCCACCGCGGTCCGCCTCGACGGGCCTCACAGGGTAGCTGCCCACTCCCTCCACCTACTGCGGGCCCCCAGGGGACTCTGGCTCCAGGAGCCTCGAGCCCTGGTCCCCGCTCCGGCCAAAGGGCAGACAGACACCCCTGCGGGTCACCTAGCAGTGTTTTGCAGGCAGAACCCGAGCTGGTTCCCAGAGCTGCGTGCCAACAGCGGGAACATTTTCCTGAACAGAGGCCCTGGGCTGGGAGCGGGCTGCTGGACGGCCTCCTTCCCCCGCCCTCGTCGGGTTGCGCGTTCAGCCCCAGCCCGGCCTCTGCTCTGTGGGCCTGCTGGGCTCCAACAACGACCCCGGAGGTACGGCGGGAGGCCAGAAGGAACCTCTGGCCTGCTGGTCGTTCCTCTGTCACCCTGGGGATGGCCCTCGCCGCAGCGGCACCCGGGCCGGGCACCGGCCTCACCCCGTTCCCTCGGGGTGTCGCAGCAGCCGGGGAGCACCCTCGCCCCAGACGTCTGAGTCCCAGCCCCACGGGGCACCCCCTCCCAGAGCCGAGTCCTAATCGGTCCCCTCCCGCAGGGTGCCAGGTCCAGAAACTCCAGCTGCCTCCCTGGGCCCCCAGGCCTAGGGGCCGTAGCTTTCCTCAGCCCTCCGGTACCCTAAATTGTTACAGTAACGTGGCTTCTACTTTCCCAAGGGATACAGTTCATGGCACCAGGGCAGGGCTCCCCTCCCATTCTGCGGCTCCCACGGGTCCCACTGGGGCATCTCCGGTTCCTGTCTGCTCATCCCGCTCCACAATGTCCAGCGATGAGGGTCTGTGGCCAGGTGGCTACAGACAGCAGGAGTGTCCACATAACCCTGACTCAAGACTAAGGTCCGCTGACAGCTTTGCAGGCAGAGCAGACCACTGGCTACGAGGCCTGGAGCCCACATGCACCGACGTGCTCCGGAACGACGCTGCAGCTGGATCCTGCGTCTTCGTAAACTGCATTTCCACAGGCAAATCCCACCGCACCTTCCTGTCAAGGATGTGTTTGCCTTTGTTGTTGCTTTTTTCTTTTTTAAGGTTTTATTTTTAGAGAGAGGGGTAGGGAGAGAGGGAGACATTGATGTAAGAAAGAAACTTCGATCGGTTGCCTCCTGTACACGCCCTGACCAGGGACCAAACCTGCAACCCAGGCACGTGCCCTGACTGGGAATCGAACCAGTGACCCCTTGCTTTGCAGGGTGACACCCGACACAGGCCAGGGCGTCACTGTCGCGGCAAGGAGAGCACAGGACAACCCAGCAACTCCCACCTGCCCCCCCTGCCGTCGTGGCCCTGGCCCACAGGCCAGTCACCGTGGCAGCCCAGCCCCCTGTCCAGTCTGTTCAGCGACGCAGGCAGGCCCTGGGAAGGCCGCCACTAGATGCACGTGACCTCCCCCCGTGGGCAGCGCCCCTCGCTCTGACCAGTAGCCCAGTAGCCATCTGGGGCCTCTGGGGATCTGTAGTAGTTCAGAACCAATGAGGGTGACCGCCCCCGCCCCAAAACAAAGAGTGGGTGCTTCCTTTCCCAAAGGAGTCATCCCAAGAAATGGCTGCAGGTGGCCCTGGAGTGCTTGGAGGGGCCCGAGGTGTGGGATGGAATGGGTGAGGCTGGGCCTCTCCTTCATGGTGACCACACTGGTCTTCTGGACCCTGACCGTTAACTCCCGAGGAAGGTCCTAAGCACTAGTCAGTCCCCACAGGGTCCAGATGGCACACCTGTTCCAGACAAAGTACTCGGCGCTCTTCTACACACGCCTTTCTTGTGAGCTGGGGACCAACTTCTCGTGCTAGGCACAGGCTGGTGCCTGGGGCTGACCGCTGACCAAGGGGAGGCCCAGGGTCCTAGGTAGGCTCTCGGCCACAAAACAGGCCTCCTCCAGTTCTCCTCGCAGCCCCTTCGAAATTCAGTGCAAGACCTGCTCACTGGCTCTGGGCACAACGCTGAGGTTCTGTCACTTCCCAAAATGGTGCGTTCTCTAAATTTGTTCCAAAAAATACTTTATTTATTAAACAATATATCCGTAATCTATAACATGATCCAAAAATACAGATATACATCTTTACATTATTTAATAAAAAGATTTACAATATTATCTTTCCTTTACAAAGGAAACATAGATAATTCCTTGGAAATAAAATGTAACATTCATGTTAAAGCTGCTTCACCTTTTTGGATGAAATGTGGTAAACGTGAACACCACAAAACACATACGTAGGAAGAGACACTTCATAGGACCGTCTCCTGAACGAGCGCGTTTTTTAGACTTCCTGTTTGAAACACCGTCAGCGCAAGCAATGACAAGCGATCGCTGTTCACTCAACACCGAGGACACCTTAGCTCTGCAATGCCCACGAGAAGCGCCGAGATCCGGTGACGGCGCAGGCCCTGGCTGTGGCACGTGGATGCGTTATTGCTCGAGGCAGCCCCTGCCGAGGGCCGCCAGGGACAGGGCCGGAGACGGCGCCGCGTGGCCGTCTGGATCCGCACTGACACTTGGCTGGCTCCGAGCATCCCAGCAAACCTGCCCCCCGGCTCCTGGGACCCTGGCCAGTGCCGGTCTCCTGTCCACCTGCCCGGACGCCTGGCCTGCACTGTGGGGACAGTCACTCAGGCTGCAGCCCAGCCAACAGCTCCACCAGCCCAGCCAGAGACGCGGGGGCGCTCAGCTTAACAAAGTGTTAGTGCAGGTGCGTCCTGTCGGAGAACGAGGTCTCTCAAATTGCTAGCTGAGAACACAGCACTGAGAGCAAGGAAAATGGTTCTGCTTCTCCTCTGAACAAGATCCTGCTTCCCTCCCCAGTCACCTCCCAGCCACACCCTCACCTGTGGAGCCAGCCCAGGTCGGCCAAGCCCAAGGCCAGAGGTGGGGCCCGCAGGCACAGGACGGGGCCTGGGCAGAATCTCACCCCCAGGACGAGGGTGGCCAGGCCGTGGGGAGCAGAGCTGTGTGGTGCTCCCACCGTCCCCCCAGGACCAGAGCCGGGCCAGGTGGCATGGCGTCCTTCCCAGCCAGCCAGCCGCTCGGGCGCCTTCCCGACCCAGACGGTGCTGACAGCCAGGAACGGCGCCCGGCCCGGTCGCCATCCCACGACGCCCCAGGGCACCTTCCTCTCAGGCTCACGCTCCCCACTCTCGTCAGAGCTGTCTGCACATTATTTTGGTGATACTATCGTAACTGGCGAGAGTAAACACGAGACTGATAAGCACAGAAATTTTAAAAAGGGCGTCACGTGGGACGCTACACAGTGACGCAGGGTGACAAGGTCGAACTTGAAAGAAAAGCCTAAGACAGGAGTCGGCGGACTTTCCTGGGAAGCAAGCCGGCCTCAGGAAACCAGGTGACAATCAGAACCAGCGCGTGTCAACCTGCATCCACAAACACTGTGTTCCCACGGCAACAGCAGGCGTGTTCAGAGATGAAGTGCAAATATTAAATGAGCTTCTAGAGCATCCTCACAGGCTTACTGTTCTTACCTGTCCTCTCCACAGACACCGGTAAAGGGGTGAAGAAAAAACAGCCCCAACTGACTCCCCACAATCTTGAAACGCCCGTCACGTGAAGCTCAGGCACTAAACACAGGCGGCCTCACATGCCTGTGCACCCACCCCCTCCTGAGCGGCAGGGGGGCTTCAGTTCCGAGAGAGCGTAGGGCGGCTGCCGACCCCTCCCCTGACCGCCAGCCCGAGGCTGGAAGGGTCACGCAGGCTGAGGTGACCCGCCCGCAGTCACTGGGAAGCAAGTCCTGCTCCCTGAGGTCACTCCGGAGAAGTCAGCAGTCCGGACACGTCCCGTGCAGGCTGAGGCCACTGAGGATCGCAGGTTCCAGCTGGACCCCGGCTGCCCTCTCACAGTTTCTCCCACTGGCCGAATATTGACTCGCTTGCAGGGAGCGGCCGGTCTAGGATGCAGCTTTGCCGGTTCCGCTGCCCTATCCCCTCTCCTTGGTGAAATGCTGGGGGCTGGGAGAGGCCCTGGGAACAAGGCCATGGGAGGGGGCAGTGGGCCCCTCCAGGACCCTCTTGACAAGACGAGTCTTCTGATGCTGGGCGTTTCACACCTCGATTCTACCTCCTGGGGTTGTTTTCTGGCAAGAGGACCCCTGACTGGGCTGAGTTACGCGGGGCAGGTCCCGGAGAGTCCAGGGACCCTCACGAGTGGCTCTCAGAACACCAAAGGTACACGACGTCCCCAGCTAGGACCCGAAGGGCAGTTCAAAACTGGTTTGGTGAATGCTGAGTGAAGAGAAAGTACACACTAGTTTCCTAACTTCATTCCAGAACTGCTATTGTGGCACAAGAAATTCACAAATCACATCACATAATCGTAGTCCCTGGGACAAGCTGCTGACCAGGGAGAACAGAAACAGGGTCAAAATCGGCTCTTAGTAGACGACTCACTTCACACACAGACCCATGTCTTCATGCGACTACAGTTACTTCATCTTCACAGTAAAAACGTTCGGAATTCCCAGAGAAACAGAGCATCAGCCAGTCTGGGACGCTGTCCCTCATCTGCACTGGCCGTGGAAACCGACGACCCGCCTGCCATCCAGAGCGTTCCCTCCAGAGAGCAGAGCCTCAGGAGGGACCGGCAGCGCAGGGAAGGGCAGCGCACACCACGCGGGGCCGCTGGGCGAGGCATCCGCTGCCCCGCAGCTGCCAGTGTGTGCACGTGCGCCAGGAGGGCGCCTTCCAGCAACGCCCGCCAGACCACACTCGTGTGCACCCAGCATGGACGACGTGCACACGGGGGCTCTCGGGGGGCCCCCCCAGACAGCGGACCACGCAAGGCTCACGCCTCTAGCTGCACAGGGACGGCAGCGTCTGCTCCCGGCGGGCACGTCCCGCGGCACCCAGCACGCCGCACGCGCTCACCTACGGAGGCGCTCGGGCTCCCTGTGGGACTGCGGTGCTCAGTGCCAGGGCCTGTACAGAGTCATGAGGACCGAATCCTGTGGCAAGTCCCCGTAAGACCCCTCCGCTGTGCAAACAGGGCTCGGGGGTTCTCGTTGGTTTTAGGAAATATCCAGAATTACAACTGGCCATTGAGTTATTAAATATCATTGGAAACAAGGTAGTTTTAAGATGAAGATAAAATATTGCAACGTGAATGACGGAGTGTATCAACTCGCTCCTCTGTCCCCAGCGCCAGCCTCTGCCTTACTTCTTCTTCCTCCTCTCCTGGACACACCGCGGACAGAACCTGTGGCGAGAGAGGCACAGCCGGCCCTTTGCAGATTTCCACTGGAGCATCAGGAGGCCCAGACCCCGTCTTCCGGTGAAACAGCACCAGAAGAGAGACCCACACACACAGCGCGCGGCTCTCCGGCCAGAAGAACCTCCTAAGCGAGGCGCTCTATCTAGCAGGTCCGTTTTGACGTCGATGGATAAAATCATGCGGCAGAACTGCTTTCAGGCACGAGCACTCCTCTTGATCGAGCTAACGGGTCCCTGGAGGCCTGTGAGCGGCCCAGACTGCGGCCCGCCCTGCAGGCCGAGCACCTTCCGGAGCCTCAGACACGGGGCGCTCTCGTGGACCCCACAGCCACAGGGACACAAGGGACGTTTCTTGCCATTTTCCACCTCAGCTCCCGACCAGGAGGAGCTGATTCCCAGGGAGCGGAGCTCACCCGGGCCCCGTCCGTGGTGGGGAGGGGCCGTGGGGACGCCCCTGCCCGCCCCGCCCGTATACCTGCCCCCGGGCCCCGCCCCCGGCCCCTGCCCCTCGGCCCTGTCGGACCCGGGCCCCTGCCCCGGCCGAGTCCTGCAGACGCTGCGCCCAGCACCATGCTCTTGCCCAGGCACACCCACTGAGGGCACGGCAGCCCGCTCACACCTCATTGACAGGAAGGGGCCTGAACACTCGGGGACCCTCAAGGGGCCAGGAGCAGGACTGCGGGGCGGGGCCCCTCCCTGCTGCTGGCTTGGCTTGTCCTCCAGAGGGGGAGCTGCTTCCCAAGGGGCTGAACTCGTCCACCAGGAGCAGCCCACACAACCGAAGCCCAGCACACCCAGGCTCAAACCCTAACGCACACCCCCGCCCCTGCCCCCTACCCCTTCCGTTGGCTCAGGAGCCCCCACCACAGGCCGAGCCTGCCCCGGGAACCCCCTCCCTGGCCCAGTGGGCCGCCCAGATCTGCCAGGGCCGTGCCTGCAGCCAAAGGCCGCCGCCAGGGCTGCTGCCCCGCTTCGCAGACCCGCCAGTGCGTCCCGGGCCCGCGGAGCCTGCCCGGAAGATGGTCCAGACTGGAACCCCAAGCCCCGTGGCGCTGCCCCCTGCTGAGGCCCCGGGCGAGGCCGGCTATTCCCGGGGCTTCCTGCCGCTGCGCACACAGGCAAGCGGGGAGGGCGGCGCCTCCACGGCTTCAGCAGAGGAAGCAAAACCAGGTGTCGGTGTCGCTGACATCGCGGGGACAGCTGAGCGCCAGGACGCAGCGTGGGAGGCACTCAGCCCTGGGCACGGACACCCCGACCAGGCACCCACCCACCGGGCCGTCCGTTTACGGCTGCTCCCCGCACTCTGAACACTCCCCAGCGGAAAAGAGCCCCTCGCTTCTCATTTTTATTTAGGGTTCTCCCTGCGTCACTCAGAAAGGTCACGAAGCCTGTTCTGCTGAACAACCGAAATGTAGGTGCTGTGCCAGTGTAAGAAAAGGGGTCCCAGGTGCGGTGGACAGAAGGTGGCCCTCACCGACCTGGCGGGGACCAAGGACCAGTGTGCGGCAGAGCCGGGGCCCCGCAGCCACACCCAGCGCGCCGCCGGCCCCAGCAGCGGAAGTCAGGCCCGGCCACCCATCCCGCGCCGTTCTCGGGGTGCAGACAGAGCAGCGCCCCCTACTGACCATTTTCCTTTGGGCTTCGTGGTCAGGTCCACGCAGGCGAAATGGAACCACTCAATCGGACACTGCAAGGCGGGGGGGGAGCACAGTGAGCCTGCTCGTGCCAGACACAGAGATGGCCACCCGCCCCCGCCCCGCCCGGGTCCCACGTGGGACACCGCCCGCCTCCCGCCTCCAGGACCTGCGCCCCGTGCCCCACACTCACGTCCGGGTTGTCGCAGCCGATCATCTCCCCGTAGGACACCTGGTGGCAGAGGCAGTAGGTGGGCTCGTTGGGGTCCACGGGCATGTCCAGCACGTCGGAGGGGTGCACAGACAGGACGGTGTCGCTGAACTCCGACCTGCAGGACAGGGCAGCGCTGAGCGGTAGGTGGGCAGGCCCCTTGGCCCCCGTGGTGCCGGACAAGGGGCGGGGACAAGGCGCCGAGACCCACGACGGGACGAGCTCCCCTGCCTGGCCCGGGCCCAGGCCCCCTCGGGGGCACGAAGCCGCCATCTCGCCCCGGCCCGGGGCGGCCCCTGAGGACCCTGCCGGGCCCCACCCCAGCCAGGCCGGGGGTCTGAACGGGCCTGCCCGCAGCAGCCCTCTCCCAGGCCCTCCCACGAGAATGGCTGACACACGCCCAGCCGCACCCCAAGCGCCTTCTTCCCCCCAAAACCCGGGAAACCTGCCTGCGCCCCTCGCCCTCTCAGGAGATCCAGCCCTTGGGAGCCCCCGCCCACCCGGCGGCCCACCCATCCGCAGGGATGCTTCCGACCGCCCACCGGGAGCAGGCCTGGCCCTGTCCGCCCGCTCCCCTCCAGCCGCTGACCGCAGCCCCACCAGCGCCTGCCGTGCCTCTCCTCCCTCCACCGCCGCCCACAGCTCCGCAGCAGGGCGGCTGGGACCGACGTCCGCCCGTCACAGGGAGGGGACTGGGCATCTACTCTTAATGGGCGTCAGCATTTTTGAGACAAAGCTGCTGCCGCAGGCCACACAGAGAGCGCGCTCCCTGCTGCAAGCACTGCTCCGCCCGGGAGCAGCCAGGCAGGCGAGCGCACAGACGCTCCCAGGGCAGCGGCCAAGGCGGGGCTGGGCAACGGAGGTGGCCAGGACAGTGCCCGTGTCACCAGCAGGGGACACGAGGAGTCTGCTTCCCACAGGGCATCACCCCTCACCTGTTCCTGTCTAGGAAGGTCCTGCACCTCTGCGGTCACACGCCAGGCCCCACATTTGTCCCTGGCCGACAGGCGGCCCCCACAGCCGCCACACGGGCAGCACCCACCCAGCGTCCGGGCCGCTCTGGGCTCCGGGCCGGCTGAGGCTCCGCCCCATGCCGTGCATCTGGGAAGAGACAGGGTTTTCCCTTTCTACCTGAAAACCACAAAGGTCACGAGCACTCACTCCTCCGGCTACACCGAAACCTCCATTTGCCACGGTGGCGCCGGCACTGTGTCAACCGCCTGCTGGTTCTGTCCGGCCCCAGCTGCCCACCCTGAGGAACCACGGGCTCCCCGCCCGGGGCGCTCTCCACGCTTCCGCACCGACTGTGCGAGCCGCCCCCGGGCCTGCCGCCGGTGCGCAAGGGCACCGGCCCGACCGGGCAGCAGCAGGACTGGCCGGGGGTAGGGGCCACCCAGCCAGGACACCATGCAGCCAGCGAGCAGGCCTGAGAGTCCTCCCGAGCCCCTTCCCGTCCAGTCTCTGCGGAGGGGCCTGGGCGGGGAGCCACGCACGCTGCCCCGGAGACGCGCTGGGGCCTGCCAAGCCCGCCCCGTCCGGGGGCTCGCTCTGGCCCGAGGGTCCCAGGGCACCCTCCGAGCGAACGCCCTGGATGCAGGACGCCCCTCCTCTGGCTCTGCGGGCCTGCCTGCACACCCAGGCTTTGGGACTCGGAGCGGCCAGAGGACCCGCGCCGTGCCCACACGCAGCCCCCGCTTCCCCAGGAGACGGCACTGGCTGGGGGGCCCCCGGCGGCGGTGGCGGTGGCGGCGCAGCCTCAGCTCGCAGGACCCCGGCGGGAAACAAGGGCATCTGCGAGCCCGGGGACGCGCCGCTCTCGGGACGCCCGCCCCTCCCACGGGCGCCTGTCCGAGCGCCCCCGAGGGGAGACAGAGCCCGTGGCACCCACGGCACTCGGAAGCCACGGCCTCGCCCAAGAGGAGGCTGCTCAGCGGCTGTGCCAGCGAGGACACAGGGAGGGGTGCGCGTGCTAGACCCGCAGGGACAGGGCGGGCCCCCAGGGCCCCTCGCGGGACCCCGTCCTCGGAGCCATGACACGCTTGCCTGCCGCCCCAGGCAGCCCCGGGCCGAGCCGGGCGCCTTCCCTCAAGACGCCCACGCTGACCCCGCGCGCCGGCTCGGGCATCGGGGCCACGCCTGGGGCGGCCCTCAGCACTGTCGCGCGCCCGCACGTCCGCCGCCTCCCGGGCCTGTGCCGACCCCCACAAAGTGAGCCGGCCACAGCCCCTCCCCAGGGAGGCGCGGAGGGAACGGCCCCACGGAGAGGCGCCCGGTCCAGCCCGACCCCCGGGGCCCCCGCAGACGTCTCTCCTGCGCTGTCCCTAGCTGTCTCCAACCGTCAGCGCGGGGGTGCCCGCCTCTTTGGCGCCACCCGATGGCCGCCGCCACCGCGCACGCGGTCGTGGCTCTGCAGAAGCAGCTGCGTGCCGGGCCCCCACTGCGCCAACGGACGTCCCCGGTGCACGCTCTTAGGCAGCTCCCAGTGCGCCGGCCGCTGGGGGCCGGTCCCTCCACGGGCCCTCGGGTGACAAACGCAGACGGGAGCCCCTACACATCCCCAGGGAAGGCACGGGGCACCTTCCGTGTCTGCGTCGCTGCTGCCGCTGCAAACGGAAAAAACCAACCAACTGCCGGAACCAAAGGTGAAATCAGTGGGACTCTGAGGGGTGACTGGGCTGGAGGCCCCGGGGCCCAGGCAAGGGCAGCAGCCACCCACACGGCAGGACCCGCCACAGGCGGGAGCGGTGACCAGTCCATTTACTGAACCGGGGACCATGCAGAGCCGCTCACCGGTGGGAAGGCGGAGCCACGACAGGGGTCGCGTCCCGGGGAAGCCGAGCGGGCGGACGGGAGGCGAGGAGGCCAGCAGAACTGAGCAGCCAAGCGCCGCGGGCCCTCCAGGCAGCTTTTCCGGAGGCAAAACACACCCCCACCTCCTCCAGCGCGAGCCCCAAGGGCCTCGCCTCAGACCCGGACACAGAGAGGGCTGGGCAGCCCGCCACCCCCTGTGCCCGCCAGGCCCCTTCCTGCCTCAAGTCAGAGGGACAGAGAAAACCAGGCGACGGGAAGGGGGCGGGAGAGCACGACTGAGGCCCAGCGCGGAGCCGGCGGGCGGGCGCAGGCGCAGAGACCAGGGCGTTCGCGGCCGCAGACGAGGCCTTGAAGGGGCCGTGAGAAAGTATGAGTGCAACGATGCACATCTGGAGACTTCTCAAAGTCCATCCAGAAATCTAACCAAAATCTATCCGAAAACAGGATCGTGTCCTGCCAGACCTACGAAACCGTGGCTTCCAGAGGCACACACACAGACCGTGCGTTTCCCGTCAGAGGTCAAGCTGAACTCCCTGGAGCGTGAGGAGGACACGTGGTCTGACTCCAGGCTCTGGGAAACCCTCCCGCGCACAGTCCCTCTGTGGAGAGCAGAGAGGGACGGAGGGAAACTCCACACTCAGGAGGCCTAATGGACTCGCCTGAAAAAAGGAGAGAAAACGTCCTCTCCTTCTGACCATGACCCAGGAACAGGCACTGGCCCTCCCTCCTCCTGGGAGCGGCCAGAAACCAGACAGAACGCACAGAGCAGCTGCTTCCAGATGCCGGACAAACAGCGGGCGCACAGCACCGCCATCCCCGGAGGCGGGCAAGCGGGGCACGGGCCCCACCGGTCTCAGCTTCCTGCCCGCCGGCATGTCCCGCTCTGCAGCCCCCACAGCGGACGGCCAGGCAGCGCAGCAGAACCAGGAGAAAAGCCAAAGCCCGGGGGGCCGAGCTGCTGGACCGCGGGCGCCGGGGGCCGGCCAGCAGGAGCAAGAGGGAACACACTCCAGAAACCTGCAAAGAAACCTTTCCCGAGTTGCTCGCTAAAATCTAAGCTCTCTGTGCACAGGCTGAGTCCCCGAGGCCAGGCAGAGAGCACGGGGCCCCGGGGAGCCAACAACGCCCAGCACTCGCCGGCAGCGCAGCGCTCACACCCGACCCGCCTGGAGGGAGAGACCCGGCCACACCAAGGGCGCTCGGAAGAGGGCCGCACCCGGCCGAGGGCCCCACCAACCCTCAAGCCAAGGCCGCCCTCACCGGGGCTGGCAAGCACAGCCGGCAGCGGGCGGCCTGTTTCTGTGAATGAAGCGCCTCTGAGACAGTGTGAGGTGACCAGCACAGCGGGGCGGTCACGTTAGCGATACGGCCGGGGAGCCTGAAATAGGCACTTCTGGCCTTTTAAGAAGAAATATTTTATGAAATTTAAAAACAAGCCTACAAAAGGTAAAGTAAGATCTACGGACAATTAACTACTGACCAAAATTTTTAAAACTGAAAAAAAGCCCTTCCAGGCGGCTCGGCCGCTGGGGTCCCGCCCCAGTCAGGCCCGACACAGGAGGCAGCTGATCGATGCTTCTCTCTCCCCTCCCCCACCTTCCTCTCTCAATCAATAAAAACATCCTCGAGGGAAGACTAAAAAAATAACAACAACAAAACAATTACAAAACATCCGAGCCCTGACGGTGTAGCTCAGCGGACGGAGCGCCGGCCGCAAGGTCATGGCTGGATCCCCATCAGGCCGCATCCTGGGCTGCGGGCCAGGCCCCCAGTTTGGGGCGCGCGAGAGGCAGCCGACGGCTGTTTCTCTCGCACGTTGATGTTTCTCTCCCTCTCTTCCTCCCTCCTTTCACCTCTAAAAATAAATTTTAAAAATATTTTTAAAAACGTCAACACCCATGAAAGGAACACAACAAAATCCAGGTATTCAGCAACATAAACCCCACGCTCTCCAGCGTCCCTTCAAAAGCGACTCGCCGTGTGCCCTCAGCACGTGGCTCGCGGCTCGCCGGAAGGCGGGGTTCCACCCCCAGTCGGGAGGTGCGTGAGCAACCAGTATTTTTTCTCTCACATCGATGGTCCCTCCTCTCTTCCTCCCTCTCTATCCAAAAGCAATTTTAAAAAAACAAAATGTCCTCAGGTAAGGAATAAAAAAGAAAATCTTTTTAAATTACTAGACATGTGAAAAAACCGGACAATGTAACTTACAACCAAGAGAAAACTCAGTCAACAGAAAGAGGCCCGAGGAGCTCATCCAAGTCACATGCATCACACACGTACAGCTTCCTGCGTTTAACTCTTACCTTCACAAAGCGGTGAAAAAAAAAAGGAAGCAGACTTGGAAATGACATAGGATCAGAGGTTCTTAAAATGCCATTGTGAATACTTAGGTTCAAAGATATCAAGAAAAATATAAATGTGATAAGAGAAACAGGAGGTACAAAAAAGAAACAAAATCAATTTCTTGGAAAGAAAATCCCTTAAAGGAATGATTCACTAAAGGAGACTAAGGTTAAATTAGACACCAAGGAAAAAAAAACTTTTAAGACAAAGTAATAGAAATTATCCAAACTGAGAACGGAATGGAAACACAGATAAAAAAAATAAGCAGAACCTCAGTGATCTGTGGGAAAATACCAAGCTAATGAACATACACGAAACTGGGGACACATAGAAAGGAAAAAGCAGAGAAAAATATTTGAAGACCTGCCTGAAAATTTTCCCAATGACACAAATTAGAAATCAACAGTTCCAAAAAGCTCAGTAAGCTTTAAGTAGAATATACACAAAAAGTCCACGCCAGGACACATCATAATTAAGTTGTTAAAAATCAAGTTGCTACCTGCCCAGGTAGCTGGGGGGGGGGTTAGTGTGCTGTTCCAATATGACCAGGTTGCGGGTTCAATCCCCAGTCAGGGCACATACAAGAATCAACCACTGAATGCGTAAATAAGCGGAACAACAAATCTCGGTTTCTCCCCCCACGCCCACTCTTCCTCTCTAAAATTTACACACACACACACAAAAAGGCCCTGGCTGGTGCGACTCCGTGGACTGAGCGTCGGCCTGCAAACCAAGGGGTCGCTGGTTCAATTCCCAGTCGGGGCCCAGGTCCCCAGCAGGGGGCGCATGAGAGGCAACCACGCCTGGACGTTTCTCTCCCTCTCTTTCTCCCTCCCTTCCCTTCTCTAAGTATAAATAAAATCTTTTAAAAAAGAGAGACCTACTTTAAATACAAAAAGATGTTGGCAGTAAAAGAATGAAGAAGGAAATACACACCATGCAAAAACTCTCCAGAAGCTGCTGGGGGCACTATACTGTCGGACACAGCAGACCTCGAAACAAAGAACATTACAGAGAAGGGAGGGAGGGAGGCAATTATTATTTTTTTAAATAAACACACTTGTAGAACCAAATAACAGAGCTTTAAAACACCTGAAGCAGCAACTGACACAACTGACTAAAAGAAAAGCAGGCAGACCCATGCTCGGAGCGGCGGATTTCAGCACCCCTGCCCCCAACCGCCGACAGGGCCGCACCGGGCGTCCGCGGGAGCGCAGAGGACCCTCACCGCGGACCGAGACATCAAGCTGGCATTTGTAGAACACTCCACCCAACAGCAGCAAAATACAAATTCTTCTCAAATGCGTACAGAACATTCAGCAAGACAGACCATAAACCGCATCACAAGTCTCCATCGATGGTAGAGGATTTCAACTACAGAATGTTCTCTGATCATAACAAAATTAAAATAGAAATTGAAATCAGAAAGTTATGTGAAAAACCCCAAATTACATGGAAACTGAGAGACCCACTTATATATAAACTATGGGTCAAAGAAAAACCACCAAGGAAATTTTTAAATATTCTAATAGAATAAAAAAGAACACATCAAAGTGTGTAGGATGTAGCTAAAACCAGAATTAGAAGAAAATTTACAGCTTTAAATACTTGCTAGAAAAGGGAGACATGAAAATCAGTGATCTATGCTACTTCTACTTAAAAAGCTGGAAAAGCAAAGCAAAGTAAATCCAAGTAAAGTAGTAGGAAGGAAATAAAAAAAATCAGAGCAGAAATAAATGCCCCAGAAAACAGAGGGAGAGAAGACACCAATGAAACCGAAAGCCAGGTCTCTGAAGCAGTCAAGGCAAAAGGAGAAAAGACGTAAACTTCCAGTGCCAGATCCTGTGCAGGTGCCACAGCGTCAGAGGGATCGTGGGACGTTATAAACGACCTGATGTCACTAAACCACGCAACTCACGTGAAACAGCAAATCTCTGAAAGACACATCACGGAAACTGACTCAAGAAAAAGGAAGCCCGAACCTTCCCTTAACACTAGAGAAACCGACTACAGCGTCGAACCGTGCGCTTGAAGCGAGAGCACCTTCCTGCACCCAAGTCCTTCCGCAACGAAACCCCCTCGACGGCTGGTGCCCAGGGGAGCGTCGGGCGCACACTGCGCTGGCCCGGGCGGAGGGCGGAGGGCGGAGGGCGCAGGGCGGAGGGCGCGGCCCCAACGGCAGGTCGCAGGTCGGGGGCTCCTGCAGCTGCCGGTGCCTGTCAGGCCCCTGCGACAGGACATGCCTCTCATAGCAATTCATGAAAAGGCACGCGTGTTCTGCCGTGTTCCGCGTGCCTGCATTGCTTCACAACAAACACAGAGGCTGGCACATGGGTGTCTTTAAAAAATGACAGTTTAAATACTAGGTTTAATAACCAAAACTTCTCCCTTTTTTGTCAAGATTCTGGCCTCTCCGGGTAACCGTCAGAATCATCGCCACAGGGCCAGCTGGCATCTCACCACGTTCCCTGCCGTCTGAACAGCACTTCTGAGAAGCAACGGGCCGCAGGGGGGCGGGGCGGGGGGAGAGGGCTCAAATGGGTCTCAGGGTCAACTTACATGACGAGTGCTTCACCAGCGCCTGCCCGCCTGCCCACCGCCACGGCGGCGTGAGGGCCGACCGACCCACCCACAGAAAGCTACCGCCGCCCGGGGCCTGTGAGCGCTCCCCTGCTGGTGTTTGGATCTGGCAGGTTCCAATGGCGCAGTTTACGGAGAAAGACAAAAGAGAAGGCCTCTCACCCTCCTTTGTGCTTCTTCTTCTTCGGAGTGTCCTCCTCTGAGGCCCTCCGGCCTCGGCCCCGGGAGCCCCTCTTCTCCTTCTGGCTCCGACCCTCTGAAAGGCAGGGAAGGCCCCGTCACCCTCGCAGCCTTCACTGGGCAGGACGCGCTTCACCCAAGCACGACGTTTACCGTCGGCTTCCTGGCGCATTTGTCGCGGTGAGAAGTAACAGAATAAAGAGAAACGGACAGACTTGCTTTTTAGCCCGCGTCCTCCGGAGCCCTCAAAGTCGCTGCCCTCCAGCTTGTCCTTCAGGTCTGCTTCGAAGCGTGCCAGGTCCGCGTCGAGCCTCCGGATGTGCTTGTCCACCTGCACAGGAGGACCTCGCCCGTCGCGTGGAACACGGACACGCGCACAGCTGCAGCCGGCCGCGCCGCGCGAGCCTCGCCCGGAGCCTCCCACTCACACGGCTCGCCAAGGTGAGGCCACCGTGCCCCCGCGTGCGAGAGGGTCGCCTCGGACGCCCCATCCGCACAAGCCGTGCTCGGGAAAAGCCACGGCTGGCAGGACCAGGACAAAGAACCGGGACAGGCAATGGACTGGGGTGGGGACACTGAGACCGAGCCCTGACTTAAAAACCTGAGGAATGTAGAGGTTCTTAAACCGAGTAACAAAAAAAGGAAAACCAGCCCGAGCTGCCGTGGCTCGGCTGGTCGGAGCTTTGTCCCTGGAACGAGGGGCAGCCCGTGGGTAGTGTCTCTCACGTCGATGTTTCTCTCCCTCTCTCCCTCCCTTCCCCTCTCTGAGCATGTTCTTGGGACAGAATTAAAAGAAGTAAATAAAAAGGATGGTGTCCCCAAGCAAAGGAATAAGCCACAGGGCAGAGAAAACGCGACGCAGCCACGGCCCCGGGCGACGCCAGCCCCGCCGCCTCACCATCTCGTAGGTCTGCATGGCCAGCTGCACCTTGTCGTCGCTGTACTCCTTGCACTTGCTGTAGGCGCTCTGGATCTTCTGCAGGTGCTGCACCCGCTGCTCTGCGGACAGGCTCTTCACCGTGGAGATGTACTCCGCGGCCAGGAGGTCGATCTCCGCTTTCTTATCTGAGAGAGAAAAGGGGGAAGCTCCAGGCGCCAGGACACGCTCACCGGGCCGTCGACAAGTGAAGCCTGGCAACGCCGAGTCCTGGCCAAGCGACCGACGCGCGCCCCGCAGCGCAGGGGTGGGGATGCGCGGGCACAGCCCTCCGCTCGGCGCCACAGGCCAGGGGCGTCCCGGAGCTGGGGGGACACGCTGGCCCGGACAAGTGCCCGGGCCGCCCCGCGGATGCCTGCTGTCCTGGGAGCACGCGTGGCGCCCACTCTGACTCTCAGTGGTCCCTGTGTGAGCACGGGAGTGTGCGCTTGCCTTCGGTCCCCCCTAAATATCCAGATGCCAGGACATACACAGGGAAACATCCGTAACTGCCCAGATGTCCAATTCCCCCTTGAACAGATAAATGAGCTGTGGTCCAGCAACACAAAGAACCAGCTGCCCCTGCACAGAACAGCATCAATTAATCCACACAAGGAACGCGCAAAGGAGGACACCTGTGTGGGTCACCAACATCAAAGCGGGGCAGATGCAGCTTTAACTCAGGCTCAGAGGCAAGGAAAGGCCTGCTGCAGGTGGGACTCCGCGTGGCAGCCCAGGGGAAGGCGGCCCAGGTCCTGGGCACCAGAGGCTCCGCCCCCCATGGAGCGTGTCACCGGGTCATGAGTTACAAACGTGTGCGCTTATTTCTGAATACAAATCTGTATTTCACAATAAAATATGTCTCTGTATTCACTAGGCAGGATGCCGTGCCTCAGTGAAAAACCACAACTGCTCCAAGAAAACAGAATGAAAACGTGAAAATCACCCACACCGGAGCTCACCGTCCCGCAAAGTGAGACCTCAGGGGTAAAGACAGCCTAAACGTCCCATACAGGACACGTACAGAGAACAAGGAATCCGAACAGCCCCAGACTTCTCAACAGCAACATGGAAGCCCGGAGCTGGGCAGCAAGGCCTGCCGCGTGCTGGGGACACGGCCGTCAACCCGGAAGGCTACACCCAGACCAGGAGTTGACTGTGAGGCCGGAACAAACACGTTTTCAGACACACAATGTTAGAAGAAATTTACCGTCCCGAGTCCCCCTTTCCAGGAAGCTACCGGGGGAAAGGCTCCTCCAAAACATGGGGTTAGATCAAGAGAGAGGATGTTTACGACCCAGAAATCGGGGTCCCAACCGAAGAGGAGCGAAAGGAGAGCCAAGGAAAACCCAGCGCCCGCCGGGGTAGCAGGCCTGGACAGCACCGGCTGCTGGGCCCGCAGGGCGGCGGGGTCTGCAGACGGGTCAGCACAGAGCAGGCCGAGCCGGAGCAGAGCCTGGTGCAGCAGACACACCGAAAACGCGGAGAGTGGGAAAGAGCACCAACAGTCCAAGTTACCCGGGACTCCAAGAAAAGCTCAGCTGTTCCAAATAAGGTCGTGTAAGCCCAGCGTGGGGTGTGGCTGAGGCGCACACGCCCTACAGAGCAGTGCCGGTGCCCATCACAGGCCTGCACAGGCCACGGCACCCAGGGCGTGGGGGGCGGTGCGTGAGCTGGGGGTGCAGCTGGAGAGGTAACGCCTCATAGGGACTGAACAGATAAAGCCCAAAGCTGAAGGGGGAGAAAATAAGAAACAGCAGCAAAATGCAATGCTTAGAAATGGGAAGTTAAATACTAAGAGTAAAAAGTACTATCTAACTTTCTAAACTATGCATACAGAGTTTGAAATTAGGGAGCCTTTTAAAAGAAAGAAGAGGCAACAGACATCTTGACTGTAAGGAGAGGATGACACGTAGAGATGTGGCTGGGGAGGAGGAAGAACCCAAGGGTCAGCAGACGCTGAGACGCCATCCGAGCCCCAGCCTAGGCTGGGCCCAGTGCCACGCTGGGGTCCTGGTGCCTCCTTTCCTCGGCTGCACCGAAGGCCTGAGCCCACCTTCTGTCCTCTGGTCCAGCTCTCGCATCAGCTGGAAATTCCTCTGAAGTTCACAAGGAAGGTTCTCGATACCTGAAACACAGGGACATGGATTTCTTAGTAGGAGCCCACAAAGCTGCCTACTAGGCTGGAAACCTAAAGCCTACAGATAATAAGCCCACTTTCTCTTCTCTTTCTGTTGGGGTTTCGAGAGAAACAAGCGAGGACCGAACAAGCAATAGCAGGCTGACACACTTCAGGAGCTGCCAGAAGCAACTGGCTCTGGAGACTTAGAACTGGAGGCTGGACTCAGAGGTGAGCTCAGAAACGAGCTGCGGGCGTGAGCAGGGCCGACAGCTGCGTGCCGCTCCCCCCGCCCCTCCCGCGTAGGCCGCCCGCCACAGCCAGCCAGTCCGAACCCTGGGCCCTCTGACCCTCCCCCACCCCACTCTGAGACCCAGGCCCCGGGGCAGTGCAGACCAGCACTGCGGCGAGAGCTTTAAGCAAGGGTGCAAAGTGCTCTCTGAGCCGCCCCAAAATGCAGGCCCTGAGCACGCGCCATGGGTTCGTGCCACCACGGCACCGACCTCCTACTGCCATGCCAGGTTAATGCGTTTGCAAGCCAGGCTGGCGCTTGCAGGTGCAGGGCCCCAGCCCATGCTGCTGGCCTGTCTGCATTGCCACCCCCCAGTCTCGGCCAGCCTCCCGCGCACCGGCTCGGCCAGAGCAGGCCCTGACTGGGCTCCTGAGTCCGGTCACGGCCCCCCACTCCCCTCTCCCCATGTGCCGGTGATTTTTTCAGGAGCTCGGCTACCCTTTCAGAGCTGCTGCCCAAAGCCCCAGGGCTCCCGCTCCTCAGAGAGCCGCAGGCTCTCCAGCCCTGGGGGGGTTCTCCATGGCCTTTAAGCCTCTGTGAACTTTAAGACCCATCTGCCCATGTGATAGCGAGTTCCAGGAAGATGGGGATCGTGTCTGCTTTGCTGGAACACAGGAGGTGCTCAAGGAGCAAGCAGCTGCCTCCACTCCCGAACCTTGACACGCACCTTCCTCACACCCTCCCACGGGGCCCGCTGGGCGGGCAGCTGGACAAAGACGGGCAAGCCCCCTGCTCTCCAGCAGACAGACCCCTGGGCACCGACTGCTCAGAGACGAGGGGGAAGGGCTCCCCTCCACGCACTCTCCCACCAGACTGGTGCTGAGAATGCGCCAGGAGAACAGAACAAATGGCCCGGACTGGGAACCCCCCTGGGGGGAGCTGGTACCCACTGTCTCCCCCAGAGCAGGACTCACTCCCTCCTCAGCAGCCTCAGGTGGGGCACCCAGGCCCGAGTGACCGGGAATAGCGTCAGTGCAGTACAGGAGCCAGACCCAAAATGTGCGTGACCTTGACAAGGTCCTCAGCCTCAGGAAAGGTCCATCCTGAGCTACAGGTAGACAGAAGGACGCCTGCTGGCGAAGCCTCAGGGACTTGGCCCCTGGGCACCTGAGTCAGTCCGGGAAGCACCCTCGCGGAAAGGCCGGCTCCCCGGGAGGCCATCCGCTCCAGGACCACCGCCCCATCTTCCAGATGCACGGGTTCAGGCACGGCGCCCGGAAGCAACTCCAGGGACCCCAGGCCCGGAGCCCCTAGGTCAGTCCCAGCGTCCAAGGGAGTCAGGACTCAACCACTTTCTTGGCCTTGAGTGGTGGGAGCCAGGCCCGAAGCCGGTAAGGACGAGGCCTGAGACCCAGAAGGCAGAGGGGCGGGGCCCAATCAAGGGAGTGGGGAGGTGCCTGCACGGGCCGCCCCCCCCGATGAGGGCGGGGCCTAACGGGGCGGGGCCTAACGGGGCGAGGCCTCTCGGAGGGGCGGGGCCTATGGGGAGAAGGCGGGATCTGGAAGGGGAGCCTGGCCAGGGGGCGGGGCCTAATGGGGCGAGGCCTACCGGAGGGCGGGGCCTGCTTGGTGAGGGCGGGGCCTCCAGGGAGAGCCCGGCCCAGCCGTACTCTGGCCCCGCCCCGCCGTGACGCACCTAGAATTGGCGCGGCCTGGACCGCGGACCCAGTCCCACTGCCCCGCGCGCGCCCCACCCTCGTACCCGCCCCGCCTCGCGCGCGCCCCCGCCGCCCCCGGGCCACCATGCAGACCTCACGAACCCTGCGGCCCGCGCCCGGGTCCTGGTGTGCGAGGCGTAAATTGCGGGGAAGGGCCCGCGCGGGCGGCGGCCCGAGGGACACGGGGGGCACTTACTGTCCAGGTAGTGCTCCAAGTACATGGCGGTCGCCATCTTCGTCCGCGGCCGCGCTCTGGATCTGCGCGGGCGGGCGGAGCAGCGAGAGATGGAGGGCGGAGCCGGTGCGTTCACTATTAATGAGCCGCGCGCGCGGATTGGCCTGCAGGCAGGGCCGTCGCCGGCCGGGTCCGCCCCCTGGCTTCCGGTCGGCGGGGTGCGTTTGCAGTGGCGCGGGAGTTGGTTCCGAGCCGCAGGGAAGTCCCTGCAGGGTAGTGTAGGCGAGGGCGCGGGGGATCCTAATTCCCTGGACGCCTTTTCGGCGTCGGTGGCACCGACACTGGGCCCGGGGCTCCCACCGCCCGCTCTCGTGTACGGTTTGGCGCTGAGCAGGTGCCTGCGAGGAGTGACGTGGTCCCGCGGCTGAAAGGGCCTCCGGAGTGCACTGGGTGCGGGCAGAAAAACGGGGTGACGGGGTCAGCACGTGTCTATGGAGATTGAGGAGGTGCTGGACCCAGCGATGGTCTCCCCTGGGGCGTCTTTGGGGAGGGACGCTGCGCGAACGCCGCCCGCCTAGCATGCCTAAGGGACAGCTGGTCCCCGGACGGGAGCAGCCTGGGCCCCAAACCGCACCCCTCCTCGTCCCCTGGGATTCAGAGGGTCGGTCCACAAATAACACCCCGTTACCAATGAGCAGTAGATTCCTTATTGAAAATGCATGTTTAAAGGTGTACCTCCCTTCCTGGACCCCTCCCTGAACTCCAAATTTTTGAAAATGGAAAGGTTTTTGTCAATTTTACATTTATTATAAAAATTCAAACTATCCAGGAACAGGACTGGGATTATCTTGTTCACCTTTAAATCCAAATGCTAGTAATTTCGGTGCCTCCTTTCTGGCCCCATTTTATGTTTGATGAGAAGACGCACACGCATGCATACATAACTACTGCACATCTTTTTTATTGTTTTACGTGGCTATTTTTTAAGAAGATTTTATTTATTTTTAGAGCGAGGAAGAGAGGGAGGGAAACATCCCTGTGTGGTTGCCTCTCCTGCGCCCCCTGCTGGGGGCCCGGCCCACGATGCCGGCACGTGCACCCACCAGGAATCAAACTTGCGTCCCTTCGTAGCCCGCACTCAATCCACTGAGCGACACCAGCCAGGGCATGAGGTTTTGTTGTGTGCTTTTTTTTAACAGACTTTATTTTTTAGAGAGTTTTGGATTCACAGAAAAGTCGATCAGAAACTAGAGTTCCTGTATACCCCCTCCTCACAGTTTTCTCTAGTGTAAACACATTGTATTGATCTGGTGCATTTATTACAATTGATGAAACCACACTGATACTTTTTTTTTTAAAGATTTTATCTTTTAGAGACAGGGGGAGGGAGGACGAGAGGGAGAGAAACACAGATGTGTGAAACATTGCTTGGTTGCCTCTTGCACCCCCTCAACTGGGGACCTGGCCCATAACCCAAGCATGTTCCCTGACTGGGAATCGAACCAGGACCTCTTGGTTTGCAGGCCGGTGCCCAACCCACTGAGCCACACAACTCAGAGCTGCTCTATCATTTTCTGTATGTCCTTTCCCCATTATGAATGGGGAAACTGGTCTCTATGCCTTTTCATCAAAAATGGAATTATTATTATAAAGAATAAATCACATAACCCTGCATGTATCATGTTGAAAATAACTTCTCCCAGATAGCAGTTTTTCACTCACATAAGAAAACTGGTGAATTCTCATACAGAGACCCTGTTTGAAACTTTTTTTAAAATTTTTATTTATTTTCAGAGAGAGGGGAAGGGAGGGAGAAACATCACTGTGTGGTTGCCTCTCATGTGACCCCTGGCAGGAACCGGGCCTGCAGCCCAGAGATGTGCCCCGACTGGGAATCAAACCAGCGACCCTTTGGTTCGCAGGCCAGGGCTCCAGCCACTGAACCCTACCAGGGACCGTTTTGAAGCTGCCGAAATGAGAGGCAACTCCTTCACTACCTCTTTTCATTGCTATACACCCTAAAGCAAGTGCTGTTGACACTTGGGTCCTGATGCCCTGCTGTGTGGGCTCTCTTGGGCCTCGGTGGCTCTTGAGCAGCATTCCCGGTCTCCCCAGTAGATACTGTGAGAAACCCCACCAAAGCTGTGACAATCAAAATGTCCCCCAGGTAAGAACCTGAGCTCTAGGGGAAGGCTAAGAAACCCAGCCAAACCCAGTGGCTCAGAACAGATAGAATTTTATTTCTTATGTAATAGTCCAGGGCAGACAGCCATGCCCATGGGTCACAGGAACCCAGATTCTTTCCCACGTGGTGTCTGCTCCCGAACGGCCTCACTGCCGGTCAGGCCCAGGCTGCAGGGAGGGCAGGGCGGGGCTGAGGCACAGTGTCCAGCCGCCGTGTGGAGGAGCACAGGCCACTTCTCACGTTTCACTGGTGGTGACCTAGTCCCCCGGCCACATCCCACTGCAAGGGAGGCTGGGGAATGGGTTCTGTCAGGGCAGTGATGTGCCCAGCACAGTCCCTTCTTCTGAAAGCGGGCAAGTGCCACGGACTGTCACCCCCAAATTCATGGGCTGAATTCCTAACCCCCAATGTATTGGGAGGAAATGAAGAGACACCAGAGATCTCTTTCTCTGTGGCCACACACCTGACAATGGAAAGGCCTGGTGAGAACAGTCATCTGCAACCCAAAGGGAGAACTCTGACCCACACCAGCCTTCCAGCCTCCAGAACTGTCTGTGGTGCTTGTTACGGGAGCCCAGCTGAGAGAGATTGGGGGGGGGGGGGGGCGGGAACAGCCGCCGCGTCCACAGCTCCGGTGAGATGGAAGGTGCACAGAGCGCACGGAGACATAGGCCTGCACAAGGATTTGAGTCTTTTTTTTTCTTTTTTCTTTTTAACGCAAAACCTCAAACAAAAGTAGAGAGAACCAGGCGCACACCAGCCAGTGTCAGCAATTACCAACTTAGGACACAGATTGTGCTTCACCTGCCCAAGCACACAGACCCCGCATCCTGCCCGCCACGGAGTGGGCAGCCTCGGGCCCGCCCGCCCGCCGGAAGGCGGCACGAACAGGTCCTGCGTGTGCTGCCCCAGGCGGACTGTGCTGACTCGTGCCGGGGCCGCGGGGCACCGGGGAGACTGTCCGGGTGGGGGGGCTCACATGCGCCCGTCAGGGCCACGAGGTCAGGACTGGAGGCCTGGAGAGGCTGCCGTCACAGCGACCAGGAAGGAAAAGCCAGGAGAACTGCTAAGGTGCTGACATCACCTGACAACATTTGACATCACTGGGCAGCATAAGCAGTTCTCGGCTGCCTCATCTGGACTTTGTGTCACGTGAGATAATTAGATACGTTAGGCCGGTATTGTGACACATGCAGTTAAAGGCATCCTGACTCTGATAAAAATAAATCAAATAAAAAAAGCCCTGGCTGGTGTGGCGCCAGCCTGCAGATCCAGGGTTGCCGGTTTGATCCCTGGTCAGGGTTCATGCCGGGGCCGCGGGGCAGATCCGTGGTTGGGAGCAAGCGAGAGGCGAGCAACCGATTGATGCTTCTCTAGCACATCGCTGTTTCTCTCCCTCTCTCTAAAAATAAATAAAATCTTTAAAAAAAATAAAGAAGCATCACATATTGCTTGTTGTAGCCTAACAGCAAACTTGTGCTAGCTTAGCAATTTCTGCCGTCAAAAGGACACCCACCCCGACCTGTGACACAAGCCCCTATCAGCCAGGTCCCCACCGTTTTCATGAGTGACCAGAAAGGCCGTGCATTCACAAATGTTCCTGCCGCCCCATGAGCTAGTCCTACAGATGTGGCACAAGGTCGTCGTGGGGTTTGTCCAACACAGGAGGGTTCTCTTTTTGCTCTAACCCCTTCATCCCTTTGAAGGCAAGGAGATGCACATTTTAGAACGAGACACCAGACAACAGGGTATTGCTTACCTGCTTAGGGCAGTTATCAGGCAAGGCTTTGTGTCATGAGCTGTCATTAGGTTGTTACCGTAACAAAGAACCCCAAAGTCCCAGTGACTTGAGTTACAACGGTTTCTTTCCTGCTGGTGCTACTGTGGCTGCACGTCTTCATTCCCGTATCCAGGTGCGAAAGGCCGTCACTGCGCACTTGCTGCCCTCGGGCTGGGGGAAGGGTGACGGGCCAACCACACAACCGCTGGCACAGCAGCGTCTGAAAGTCACGTGGCCAGGCTCAACCTAAAAGAGGATGCAAATAATTAGAAACAATATACTCCATTGCCCTTCCAAAACTCAAGACCAAATAAGGGAGGGGGTCAAACAGGAAAACAAAGCTACTGTAGGTACCTCGGGGCTTGCGCAACCACCGAGAGAACCGGAAGGACAGGTCGGAAGTGCGCCTCGGCCTGGGCACAGGCCCTTAGCGGCGGGCGGTCTCCGCTGGCAGGAAGCCTCTGCCACCCTCCACCCCGGAGGCCCCCACGGCCCCCCCGCTCGGCAGCGGTGAGTCAGGTGGTGCCAGCAGCTCACTAGAGAACAGCCTAGAACCTCACGTCTACCATATTTCTGCTCGCGCACCGCCCCGACGCAGTGGCCTCCGAAGTTTGCACCAGCGCCTCTCACCGCCCACCTAACCCAGAGCGACACGTAAATTCTGGGAAACGTAGCTCCTGGCTTCCTCGGGAATGTTGTGCCCCTGCGATGTGAAGGTATCGGGGACGGGCCTTCCCGGGGTTGGATTTAGACGGGTCAGAGGACTGGACCGTCCTGTGGGAACACTGCCCTTGTTGGGAGCGGAAGGCAGCCCTCCAAGTGCGCAGTGTCGCCTGGAAAACACCGCAGCTTGATGTCCCTGAGACGATTACTGAGAGCTCTCTAGATGCCGGGGCTCGCCTCAGACTAGCCGTGTCGCCTCCCCAGGACAGTGACCGTTCCCCCGCTCCTGGCCGGTTTCCACATGACACAGAGTGGGACAGAAACGAAACAACCCCTTCTCTCTGTGGGCTCGCACTGTCGTCTTTGCAAACGGGAGGCTCGGAGTTTGGCAGGCCCGAGCGTTGGGACCGACAGCGACCACGCGCATTTCTCTAGAGCTGCCGCGTGGCCCCGCGCAGACAGCCCTGCCTGCGCCGCAGGACGCCGTGGGAGCGACCGCGGTCCGCTCGGGAGCCTCGCGGCGGCGCGGGCCGCCCCCCACCGCCGCTCGACGCGGACTCGCCGCTCGCCGGGTCCAGCCCCGCCCTCCGGGTACAACCCTGGAGGCCTGCGCGAGTGTCGGAGCGTCGGAGCGTCGGAGCGTCGGGCTTCCGGCCCAGAAAGCGGAGACTCCGCCGGAAGAGGTCAGTCCTAGCCAATCCGATCAACGCCTGGAATTGCCAGCCCGTCCCGCGCGCCGCTGACGCAGGCCAATAGGAGCTCCTCGCGCCGTTTCCAGGCGCGGCAGAGGGGTCTCGGCGGGCTGCAGAAAGCGCGCGATGGGGAGCCGGCGCGGGGCGCTAATCGTGTTGGAAGGCATGGACCGTGCGGGGAAGAGCACGCAGAGCCGCAAGCTCGTGGACGCGCTGTGCGCCGCCGGTCGCCCCGCCGAGCTGCTGCGCTTCCCGGGTGGGTGCGGAGCGCGCGCGGGTCTGGAGGATGGAAAGGTCGGACGGCGGGGCTGGGGGGCTGGAGGTGCGGGGGCAGCGGGAAAGCCCGGGGACGGGATGCGTCCCTGCAGTTCGCCCCGTCCAGTTTTCCGAACCTGCAGCGTCCGAGATTGAGGGCGGGTTAGGGGGTCGCTTGGTCGGGAGCCGTCCGGGAATGAGGACAACGAGCCCCACCGGCCGCCTCACTGTAATCGGCCCGGGCGACGTGGCTTTGGCCGAGCGCCTCGCGCGCCGTCTGCGCCACCGTCAGTTTCCTAGTCCGTCATTCCTGGGGTCGCTGTGTCCTGTCCCTCGGCTTCGCTGGACCCGTGCTGTTGTGCACTGATCTGTAGCCGGGGGACAGGAAGGGCCCGGGTGGGAAGCGCGAGGTCGAGGAGCTCGGACAGAGTGCGTTGGACACCCGAGCAGCTCTCCTCGCAGCCGAGACTGCCGCCCGGCGCCGTCTCGTAATCCGTGCCTCAGGGCCTTGTTGGATGTTTGTCCTCTGGGGGGTTTTGTGGCATTTTTATATTTCTAAAGGAAAATACTGAACTTGAAAGTGCTTAAAAATATCATTATCCAGATAATCAAGAGACAGCGTAAGGTCTCAAAACCAAGGCGAGGAGTGGGGGAAATGCTGTCTTGCATATCAATCCAATCCTACGGGCCAGCCGCTCGGCGAGTGCCCTTTCCCGGAGCTAAGGGAGCGCCCGCTCCCCACCCCGCACCCCCAGCAGTTCCCGCCGGCATCCGCTTCCTGCTGCTGGGGGGGGGGGGGACTGGCTTCAGGGGCAGGCCTGACCCTGTCCAGAGACGTCGTGAAACACAACGGGAATTCAGACTTGAGTCCAGGACCAGACGTTCAGCCCAAACTACTCTAATTTAAATGGAAAGCCTCACTTTTCTGGTTTTTCTCTTTTTAGAAAGAACAACGGAAATTGGCAAACTTCTGAGTTCTTACTTGACAAAGAAGAGCGAGGTGGAGGATCACTCCGTGCACCTGCTTTTCTCTGCGAACCGCTGGGAACAAGTGTAAATGCAATGCCCTTCCATCTCCCTCCTCCACATTCAAGAGGTGGTGGGTGCAGCTCTTGCCTGCGAGAGGCGTGGACAGTGGTGCGCAGGCTGCACCGGGACATGGGTCCCTGATTCACCAGCCCTGTGGCCAGGGTCTAGCGGCCGCGCACACCCTGATGCATGCTTTGTCTTCCTCCGGCCCGCCCCCCCCCTTTGTAATTAGTTAATTTTCTGTAGGTAGCTGTAGGAGCACAGAAAAGCTAATTCAAAAGTCCTCGGCGCTCGGGACCCCCATCCCTTCCTCCTGCTCCCTCCCAGCTTTCCTGTTTATATTCTCAAGTGAGCGGGCTCACGGTTTCGGCTGGCGTTTCGTCCGCTCCCGTCCCTTTTCCATCATCTTTGCAGGTTCGCCTCTTTCGCACATTCACCTCTTTGCTGAACGACATGGTGTTTGTTTTCAGAGGCTCTTGTTCCCATTCACTTGTGGGTAGACAGCACAGGTCACTGGAGTTGTCTTGTTATAAATAAATGGGACCCCACCATACAACGGATTTCACGGCTGCTTGCTAACTGCCTGGCAGACCTGTGACACCCCACAGAGGCCGCCCCGCCCCTGCGCCGGAGGGCGCCCACAGCAGCTGCGCAGGGGCCGTTGGCGGCTTTGCATCGTCCCTGTCACAGGCAGGCCTGCCCTTCCCGGCTCTGCTTGGCTCGCTGTCTTGCTTGGAAAGGCCTTCCCCAGTTAAAGACACAGACCATTTTTGTAATTTCACGTGTGCGGTGTATGGCCATAATTGTTCTGATTTTGGTTTTTGCGGCTCTGTGAAAAAGTAACACAAGCCCAATTCAAAATTGAGAACTAATGCTAACTACCTCCTAAACAGTGGTCTTGTCTGGGGTATGGGGCACTGTGTGCACCTCGCTTGTCCCTCTGTTCAGACACAATGCCCACAGCTCCCCCTGCAGGTCATTTGGGCCACTGCCGTCACTTTAGTGTTGCTGAGACTCAAAAGTCCTTGGGCCATAGGTCAGATGCCAGAGTTCACAAGTGGCACCGTTACCTACCGCCCGTGTGACTTTGAGGCCTCAACCACAGCCTTGCCGGCACACCAGTGCCCCTCGTGGGTCTGGCGTGAAGGTGGCCCAACACCGGCAGCAAGTGCTCGGGGAGCCTCGGCTCCTGGGAATTCACCCCAGCACTTGAAGCACTTTGTGAGGAAACTGGTTGTTTTCTCCAGCGACTTAATCTTCACCGTTAGGTCTGCTGCGTCTGAACCGGGTCGACGGCGGTCCCAGCAGGCACCTCACACACAGTGGGGGCAACGCCCTCCACAGCCCTCCCTGCCTCCGCACAGGAACCCACTCCTAGAAATCAGGGGCTTCTCACACTGCCCGCCACAATTTAGCAGCTTTCTACTCTTTAAACTTTCTATTTTGGAATAATTTCGATCAGCTGGAATTGAAATTGTAAGAATAGTACCAAGAATTCCCATTTGCACTTCACCAGCCTTTACCTATGATTGACATTCGCCACATTTATCATTTGTTCATCCCCTAAAAGAATGACAAAGTGCTGCATTTGTTTGCTCTTTCCTCACAAGCAGACAGGTTTGCGGTTTCAGCAGGAATACGGAGGAAGCGGGGGGACTTGGGTCCTCAGGGTGCTGGGCAGGAGGCAGGCGAGGCGTTGGGCCGCCACAGGCCGGTCCCCTGGGTCATCTCTGAGGGGGCTGCTGGCCAGGCCCCGCCACTAAGTGACTGTCTCCTGTGATAGTTAGAAGGGGACAGGCTGCGAAACCACGTGTATGTCGCCTCCCGTAGCAAACTCCGACCCTCCGCGGTCACGTTCACCGACAGTCCCGAGGCAGCCGCTCTGACTTAAGGTGCCCTCGCTCCTCCCGCCTGAGGAGGCGGCTCCCGGCTCCCTGCCCACCTGTCCGTCAGTGGGGATGCGCCGGTTCTTTCTCGATGGGCCGTAGAGCTGCCCCTGCCATCTGCTACGCAGGTTGCCCCACGTTCGGCGGCTGGGAGGCCCTGCCAGCTGGCTCCTGTGTCCGTGTGCCGTGTCCCGGGCTCATTTTCTGAGAAGCTCACTTGGGAGTAACAAGGTGTTGAGGCTTCTGGTGTTTCCCCTCCAGCCTGGGAACCCTCTGTTCCTGTAGCGCAGGGCGGTGTTCGGCGCCAGCCTTGCGGCGCCCGTGTGCCCACTGCTCGGGGTGGGCTTCTGTGGACAGACTACGCGCGTGCGCCTCCTGCACCTGTATCCATTTAGCTACTTTATCCGTGGCTTCACTTTTCATGGTTTCAGTCACCCACGCTCAACTGTGGTCTGGAAATATTAAAAGTTCCAGAAATAATTCAGAATTTTAAAATTGCACCGTTCTGAGTGGCAAGATGAAATCTTGAGCTGTCCTCTTCCTCCCAGGACACGACCGCCCTTTGCCCCGCGTCTCCACGGCACAGATACTGTCTGCCCGTTAGGCATTCGGGAGCCGTCCCAGCCATTGGCTGGCTGTGGCGGCATCACGGGGCCTGTGGGCCCGTCACCCTCGCTCCGCTGCACGACGGCCCCGAAGCGCAGGGAGGATGCTGGCGACTCGCCGGGGCCAGACAAGCCGTCAAGGGCTTCCTTCAAGCGGAAGGTGGAAGTGCTCCCCTCAAGGAAAGGGAGTGTTGTATGCTGAGGTCCGTCTACGGCAGGAACAAGTCTCCCTGAAATGGCCTAAGTTACAAGTTAAACTTTATTAAAAAGTACATAGTACAGGGGAAAAACTGCATGCAGGGTCTGGTGCCGTCTGCGGTTCAGGCTCCCCGCCGCACACACGAGGGGCGGCGGGGGACACGCAGGCACCAGCCATCCCGCCAGCGCCCCAGGCTCCTGCCCCTGGCGTCTCGCCTGCTATGCCCGCCTGGGAGCCTGCCTGCAGCCAGGGCTGGTGCGTGGCTCTGTCCTTAGCAGGAGGGCACAGAGTGCTGGGTTTGTGTGGCATAAAATTTCAGGGTTTCTTCCATCCTTGATTTGATTTTGGCTTTTGAACACACAAATGGTTCTGAAAGTCAGAACCATAGAAAACCAGTCACTGGCCGGCCCAAGCCCCCCTTCCGTCTAACCTGTGCTGCCCCGCGGGGAATAGCGTCCCCTCCCGACTTTATTTTTTACTTTTTACAAGAAAAGCAGACACGTCTGTGTCATCCTGATTCACCTCTTACAGAAAAGGTAGCCGGCCACGTGCACTCATTTGTACTTTGTGTTTTTGGCGACCTGCTAGGAGCCTGGCTGACGGCTTCTTGGAGACGTCTTGCCCATTCTTTCTCCAGTTGCGCCATCTCTGTGGGGCGTGTGCCATGTTTCCTGTTCAGGGGTCAGGTGGCGATTCCACGCTGTGAGCACGTGTGCAGCTGTAATGAGAATCGCGTCGCGCTCCTGCAGGTGTGGCTCCCCCGCCGCGGCTCCCGTGACCAGACCCTGCATGCAGTTTTTCCCCTGTACTATGTACTTTTAATGGAGTTTAACTTGTAACTTAGGCCATTTCAGGGAGAGACTTGTTCCTGCCGTAGACGGACCTCAGCATACAACACTCCCTTTCCTTGAGGGGAGAACTTCCACCTTCCGCTTGAAGGAAGCCCTTGACGGCTTCTGTCTGGCACTGGCGAAGCGCCGGCCGCGCTCCCTGCCGACATCTGCCCTGTGTCTGCCCCTCTCTCCCAGCCGCTGTCACCTGGGTGAGAAGTGCAGCCTCCCGGCCTCAGTCCACGCACACACCCGGGCGCCGCCTCCTGGCTGCAGCCGGCCCACCCCACCCCTCCACGCTCAGATGTTTGAGATTCATTAGGGGACTTGTCTTTTGTGTTGGGCTTTGTTGGCATCTTCTAAGAGAAGATTGGAGCTTTTTAAAAGTAAAGTCACAGGTCACTGTCCCCAAATCCCTTGGTGACTGAATCGCTGAACTGTGTCCTCGGGGACAGTTCAGGAGCTGTGGAGCCAGGTCCTTGGCTCAGAAGCACTTTCTGTTTTTTCAGGCCGTTCATGAAGGAGAAACTGAGTCAGGGCATCACTCTCATTGTGGACAGATACGCGTTTTCTGGTGTCGCCTTCACCAGCGCCAAAGAGGTGAGTGCCGCCCGGCCCGGGGGCGGCCAGCAGGTGTGACCCGGGGTGCCACCGTGAGTCCTGTGGTCCTCACATGCATCTGGGGAACCTGGCCTTCGTCGAGTGGGAGGACGGACGCCCGTGCAGCGGCGGGCTCCGCCCCGGCCTTCTGGGGGGACCAGCGCCGCACTGCCCCGCACCTCTGCTGCTTGCTCCGCGCCTGCCAGGTGTGCACCAGCGAGACGACAAACCCTTCGCACCGTGACCCCCCCGACGCGTCTTCCCTTCCGAAGTGTATTGGTGCACATCCCCAAAATAACCCTCTCTGGTATATTTTACTGATAACGTTATTCCAGGTGTCCCGTTTTTGTCTCCTCGTTATCCCCTCCCCGGTTCATGTCCGTGGGTCGCACATGGAAGGCCTCCGGCTCCTCCGGTCCCTGTCCTGTTCTGAACCTCCCCCACCCATCGTGCGCCTTCCGTTTATGCTTCTGTTCCCCGTGCCTTTTCCCCACCCTCCCCCTCACCGCCCCCTGCCGATGACCCGCCATGTGATCTCATTTCTGTGAGTCTGGTCCTGTTCTGCTTGTTCGCTTGTTTTGTTTTTTGTTTTAGTTGTTGATGGTTGTGAGTTTGTTGTCATTTTACTCTTCCTAGTTTTGGTCTTTTCCTTAGATAAGTCCCTTTAACGTTTCATAGAATAAGGGCTTGGTGGGGATGCACTCCTTTAGCTTTCCCTTGTCTGGGAAGCACTTTGTCTGCCCTTCCCTTCATTCTAAGTGACAGCTCTGCTGGACAGAGTGATCCTGGATGGAGGTCCTGGCCTTTCATGACTTTGAATACTTCTCGCCAGCCCCTTCCTGCCTGCGAGGTTTCTTTTGGGAACTCAGCTGACCGTCGTAGGGAACTCCCTTGTGGTTGACTCTGCTTTTCTCTGCTGCTTTTAAGATTCTCTATTTAACATTTAGCCTCTTAACTGATGTGTCATGGTGTCTGGCTGGTTGGGGATTGTCCGAGCTTCCTGACTTCCTGGAAGTCTGTTTCCTCAGCCGGATTGGGGAGGTTTTCTTTCCTTATTTTTTCAAGTGAGTTTTTAGTTTCTTGCTCTTCGCCTTCTCCTTCTGGCAGCCCTATGATGTGGATGTTGGAACGTTTATAGTTGTCCCAAAAGTTCCCAAGCCTCTCCTCATTTTTTTGAACTCTCGTTTCTTCATCCTGTTCCATTTGAATGTTGACGTCTTCCTTTGGTTGCAAACTGTTGCCTGGAGTCCCGGTTCCCTTCCCTTCACTGTTGGCTCCTGGCACGTTTGTCTCACTCTGCGCAGCCTTCGCTTCGTTTCCTTGGCTGTGCTCGCTCACTCCTCTGAGCGTCCTGACTGGCAGTGTTGTGAACTCTGTCCCTGACAGGTTGGCTGTCTCCTTGTCACTTAATTCTCTGATCTGTCCTTTCATTTGCACTATGTGTGTTTGTCTCGGCACGTGCGTCGCATCGCAAGGCGCAGAGCCTTAGGGGTTCGCTGGGCGGGGCAGCCCAGGTCGCTGCGCTTCCCGTGGCCCCGTGTACGGGGGAGGGGCCAGACGGAACGATACCACTTGCTAGGCTCTCGCGCTGCAATTTCACGTCCCCGCTTCCCACACACGACGGGTGCCCTTCCAGGTGCTGCTCTGGGGCTGATTCCCGGGCGGGTGGGTTTGTGTACATTCTCGGATCCCGTGAGCCCCTCCAACGGACCCTCCTGAGGGACTGGCCGGTTCTTCGACCACCAGAACCCCCACAGGTTTTTACAGCCAGAGGTGCTGAGGCTTTCCTTTCCTGGCGCTGGGACCCTGGGTCGAGCAGTCTGTCTCGCTCCCCAGGGTCCCTTCCCCCCACCCGCCAGGTTTATGGGCGCGCGACTGTGAGACCACCCAGCGTGCCAGCCGCCCCGCCCCTCCTACTGGTCTGGGTGAATGTTTCTTCTTTAACTATTTGGTTGTCGGGCTTCCATAAAGGTCAGGTTTCTGGCAGTTCTAGTTGTTTTTCTGTTTTTAAATTGGTCATTGTCCCCTTTTTTTGGTTGTGCGAGGAGGCAAAGTGTGTCTACTTATGTGTCCATCTTGACCAGGAGGCTCCCCAAAATCACTTTTTAAAAACATGATGTCACCCCAGAAAAGCCCTCCGGCAGTCCCGGTGCCCCCGCGTGGTGCCTCAGAGGCTGTGGGGCTGAGCCGCTGTCCTGCGGTCCACCCTCGAGGGGTCCCTTCCCTCTCTCCCCACAGTTAGGTCCCCGCGTCTGCTTCCTGGCCTGAACACGCCCTTGATTTCCTTGTCACAGGCTTCTTCAGGGAGCATGGGGTCAGCCCTTGTGATGACGGCCCGTGACAGTTCAGTCACCAGGGGCTGCAAAATGGTAACCTTTTCATTTTCCCAGCTCTTCCCAGCAGGCTGAGCGCCTCCCTGAGAGGACAGTTTCCTGTGACGCACGAGCTGCTCTAATTCTTTTTACAATTTTTAGAAATTTTAGTTAATATTTTCAGAGTGAGGGGGAAGGGAGGGAGAAAGGAGGAGAGGGAGAGAAACGTCGCTCGACTGTCCGCCGGCGGCCCTGGCGCGTGCCCTGACCAGCGGCCAAAGCGGTGACCTTTTACTTTGCAGGACGATGCGCCCTGATCCCCGTTCGTCAGGGCTCCAGTTCTGTCTCGGAACGGACGGCACAACAAATGACTGACACGTTGTTTGTGGGCCGGTCCCTCGCGTCCTCCCGGTGGGCTGCTGAGTCTGGGCCGTGGGCAGGGCTGGCGGGCCAGGGCGCCGCTCGGCGGGGCCCTGGGCTCCCGGCCGGGTTCTAGCCCGCAGGTTTCCGGGCTTCTGGCTGTGAGTCGTGGCCTCTTCCTCCCGCGGGGGGACACTCTACAGTCGGTGACGTGAGTGAGGAAACCCACACGGGGCAGGTTTCGGGGAGCGCTGGCCTTCTTGCCTGTCGTTGGAAGGGGGGCGGCACCCTGGCGGGGGTGTGGGTGCAGGGACACGACCAAAGGCCCAGGGGCCTCTCTGTCTGCCGGGCCTGGGGCCGCGGGGCTTTCTGTCCACTCGGGCACATGCTCAAAGTCAGACCAGCGGGAGGCGGCAGAACAGTCACCATCTGAAAAATCAAAAGCCATTACTGGGTGAGAGTCCTCCCTCCTGGGGGTCTCAAAAAGTGGCAGCTCCTTTTTTTCCTCTTTCCTATGAATTTTAAAAATATTGTTTGTATTTTTTAGAGGGGAAGGGAGGGAGAGCGAGAGGGAGAGTGAGCGATATGCGAGAGATACACCAGTAGGGTGCCCCTGGCACGTCCCCAACTGGGGTGCGTGGCCCATGAGCCAGGCCAGTCCCTTGCTGTAAATTGAAGTGGCTGCCCCTTTTTTTTTTAATTAAATATTTATTTTTAGTGAGGGGAAGAGAGGGAGAGGAACACCAGCGTCTGGTTGCACGCCACACGCCCCCTGCTGGGGACTGGCCTGCGCTGGGAGTCGGGCGGCGCCCCTGCCCTCAGCCGCACCGGCCAGGGCTCCTTTTTCCGCAAAGTGTAAAGCCACACGTTAGGCCTCATTTGGCTTCTTTCTCTGACCATTGGTTTCTTTGTTGCAGAACTTCTCCATGCATTGGTGCAAGCAGCCGGACGTGGGCCTCCCCAAGCCGGACCTGGTGGTGTTCCTTCAGCTGCAGCTGGACGCGGCGAGGAAGCGGGGTGAGTTCGGCCACGAGCGCTACGAGAACAGGGACTTCCAGGAGCGGGCACTGCAGCGCTTCCACCAGCTTATGGGGGACACGACCCTGAAATGGAAGGTGAGAGGAACGCAAGGAGCTGCAGTGGGAGCGCAGGCGGCCTCTGGGTCCCGGTGCCGGCAAATCCTAATCCTCCGGCTTTTCACGGTGTGGGGACTGAGTGCCGTGCGGGCGGGTCCAGGGACGGTGCGACGGGGACCGGCCGCGGGCCCGCAGGTGGGCCCTCTGCAGAGCTGGCCCCACAGCGGCTTCCCGTCCTCTGCTGGGCGTCCGCCGCGTGACCGCGTCACCCCGAACGTGCAGCCCCCGAGTCACTGCCCACGGCACCACCCGCGCTCTCGGAAGAGGCGCGCCGTAGCCGAGGCCTCTTGCCTGTGTCCTCATGTCAGGCGTTGGGGCCGCCCCCCAGACCCTCGCCCTGCACAGCGGGAGCCCAGGGCGTCACCACAGCACGTGGTGGGGGAGCTGCCTGTATCCACTGCGGCCCCCGGAACGCGACGGCGCCTCGCCCTGCCGGTCTGGCCTGGTGCTCGAGCCCCGAGAGCCCCCACGGCCCCCCCGCCCCGACCTCCGTGCGCGTCAGCCAGCACCCTGGGCTGGTCCCCCGCCGGGCTCCGGCGGCGCTGCAGGTGGCCCCCCAGGTTTGGGGGAAGCGCGTTTTCCTTCTGTCGGCCAGGCCCACGGTCGGTGACGGGCTACGTCCCCGCCACTCTTGGGGGCGCGAAGCTGTTGCCCCCTTGCCCGACGTGCGCTTCCCCACCTCCCTGCCCGGAGCCAGGCTTGCTGCCGGGCGGGCTCGCCTCTCCTCCTCCCTGTGTGCTGAGCTGCGGGCCGTCTGGGGTGAGCACAGGCCCGCCCTCCGCACGAGGGGACGTGGCAGGAGGCTCAGCCGGCCCCTGCTCCTGGGGGCGCAGTGCCTGGCGCTGAGCCCGGAGTCGGGCAGTGCCCCCGGCCAGCACGCGTCCCCTCCAGAGCACATTTCCACACCTGCAAGGAGCAGGCCGAGAACGGGGCCGGAAGCAGAAGTGAGTCAGGACACACAACACGTGCCGCCTCCTGCCGGTGCGGCGCTCGTCTCTCCTTTCGGGTGCGCGGCGCGTTTTGTGTCTCGGCGGTCAGAGCCGCCTCATCGCGTGGGGCGGGTCTGGGGGACGCCGTTCACGTGGAGGAAGCGATTAGATTTTCTGAGTGCATCTGCACCCCCAGGCGCTGTCCCGGGACTGGCTGTTCTCGGCTTGAACCTGGGTCAGTGGCAGGGGGGGATGCAGCCCCCATCTCCCCGCTCCTGGTGGAGACCAGTGTCTTGTGGGCCGGCCCCTCGGTGCCAGGCAAGGCCCGTGTGCCTTCCACAGCAGGCGCTGCCCGCTCTGCCCCTCAGCCAGACCCGGGCTCACTGCTCGTGGTGGGGAAGGGGCTCGTGCGTGGGCGCCGCAGGGACATGGGGGTCACGGGGAGGGGCTTCAGGAGCAGGAGGGGGCGTTGCTCCTGCGCGTGGACTGCAGCAGGCGAGCGGGGCAGCGTCATCCCAAGGGCACAGGCCGAGCCCTCCCGGCCCAGCCGGGCTGAAGGTCAGGGAGGCACGCGGTGAAAGGCCGCGAGGGGCCCCGCACCGCGCCCTCCAGAACCGGGCCCCGTCTGAGGTCCCCACACGCACTGACAACGGGGAAAAGCATTAATCGCCCTCTTCCTCCTGACGTCTCCGTGGGAACAGGTGGTCGACGCGTCCCGAAGCATCGAAGACGTCCACAGGGAGATCCACATGCTGTCCGAGGAGGCCATCCAGGCCGCTGCGCAGAAGCCGCTGGAGGAGCTGTGGACGTAGACGTGGCGGGACCGTCCCCTGCCCGGCGTCCTGTAAGGTGGCTGCCCTGTGGCCGTGCTCCCTTTGCAGGACCGGGGGGTTGGGCGCGAGCCAGCGGAGTGGAACTGCGGGGCGGCCTCTCGCGAGCCGTGGGCATAGGGGCCTCGGGGTCGGCCACCCAGCCCTCCTCCATCCTGAGGGTGCTGATAAACTACTGCGCTTTTTCTGAAGCTCAGTGATAACTGCATCCAGTTTCAAGGTCCCTGAGATGGCGCTCCCTTTGAAATCTGAGTTTCTTTCAGGCACATAAAAACTAGTGGCACAGCGTGCTGTGGCAAGCCTCCCTGGGCCTCCTTTCCGCCGCGCACCGCCTGGACTCCCACGGGGTCTCTGACGGGTCTCAGCCTCGCGGGGGCTCCGAGTGCCTTGCTGTGGCCGTGCTGGGCCGCCGGGGGCCCGAGGGGGTGACATCCTGTCCCGTCTGAACATGGCCGTTGGCTGTGCTGTCCTCTCTGCCGTGTCCTAAATGCCAGGGGTGGGACTTCACTCCGTCCCATCCTCAGTGGCTCTGAGGTGGATGGTTCCTGCCCGTTCCTGGGAGAACCCGTGGGGGCCGCACGGGAGCCCTCTGCCAGCAGCGCTGGGGGCTCAGGGCCCTCCTGCCAAGGCCAGGACGCCGGCTTCCTGGGGCAGAACCTGCGTGGGGCCAGAGGGCCCTGCACAGCGGCGGCAGCCAGGCCCCCACGCCCCAAACCAGGCAGGGTCCACGCTCCCCTGGGCTCCTCAGGCCGCCCGGGCCCCACCTGGGTCCCTGCTGACAGGAGCAGGCCGGCTTCGGGCAGCCGCGCCCTCCCAGACCGCGCTGCCCCCGTTCGAGGTCGGGGTGCGGGAGCTGCGGCTGAGCAGCAGCGGTCAGAAGCTGCAGCGTCCCCGGGTTCCCCACAGGGGTGGCTGGCGACACTCCCAGCACGCGATGCCTGACTTTTACATAATTCTGTCTCATGGAAAGGAAACTGGGTTTATTTCTCAAGACTTGATGCCTGCCACTTGCCTGCCTTTGTGGCCCATCAGGGCCACGGGGGCCGAGCCCGGCCCGTGCTCCTCAGGGGGCCATGGCTGTCGGCCGCGGGCCTGGCTGGGATGGGTCCAGGCCATACCCCGAACGTCCAGTGCCGGCCTGGGCTAGAGCTGAGGGCCGACCCCCCAGCTAGAGCTGGGAAGGGCTGGGGGCTGCGGCCGGAGTCAGGTGCTGAGGGCAGGTGGAGGTCGCAGCACAGGCCCCGCAGGGGCTGCAGAGTCAGAGGTGGGCAGGCTCCGCGGGTGACGGGAACGGGCCAACTTCCAAACCAGGGCCACTCGCACTTGGAAAGGCACAGCACGTGTGGTCCGACATCCCAGCCAGGGCTACGGCAGCAGGCAGCTGCGTGGTCCTGAGCCCCCTGGAGAAGCCCAGAGTGACGACCCCGAAGACATCCTGGTCCCTGTCCCCAGAGCCGGGGCACAGCCTCCCCACAGCAGAGGGACTCGGGGGTGGGGCTGTCCTAGGCTGTCCAGGACGGGCCTCCACCGGAGCGAGGGAGGGGGAAGAACGCTGGACAAGGCTGGAGGGACTGACCGGTCCATGCCCAGGATTCGCCTCTGCCCTGGGATCCTGGCAGGAGGTTGTTTGAAGCCACTGGGAGTGGAGATGTTCCAGGAGATGCTAACAGAGGTTGTGACTCAGGTCCCCAGACCAGTGCGCCTGGGGACCAGCGGAGTGCTTCCCGCTGTCTCGTCTGGCTTTCGTCTCCTCACGCCGACACCTCAGGACAGGCCGGTCATCGCCCTGCCCTGTCCAACGAGGTCTGGGGCGCAGGGCGGACACTGGCTGAGGCGCTCACCGGACGGATGTCAGACCAGGAAAACCCCTCCATTTCCTGAACGCAGCTGCCTCACACCTGTTGCTTTAGGACCACAGGTCAGTGTCAGAGCGGGCAGGGCCGTGTCCAGTGGGCCTCACGTGCCCGGCGTGAGGGAGACGGCTCGCCAGAGTCCCCAGGTCCTCCCTGAGCCTCGGGGCCCAGGCTGACAGTGTCCACTCTTGTCCTATCGCATGCTACCAACTCGAGCAAAATTCAAGACACAGAGACAACAGATTGTGTTTTCTATTGAAACTTATTATTTGCCTCAAAGAACCGCAAACTAGACTAAGAATGGACAACACTCTTCAGGGCGCCTTCTCACGTCGCTAGGACGAAGCTCCCCTGCGGTCGAGCCGTCGCCCCTGCCAGCGTTCGCCCCCCCGCGGGGGCCGCAGCAGGACCTGGCCCAGCAGGCTGGGTGGCGCCCTTGCGAGATGCAGCAGCAGGAATGGCGACCACCCGGCCCTCCTCCTGCCCCAGGGGGGGGGGGGGGGGGGACAGAAAGGAAGAGCAAAATAACTTACGCTGACAACTCTCAGGGGCTGGGTGTCCTCTACCAGGTGGGACCCGCCCGCTGTTGACACAAGTGCAGACACCGAGGGTGGGAGAGTCTCTGCAAGGAAGGTCCCCAGGAAGAAAGCCGGCCACCTCCAGGCCCCAGGTCACACGTCCCATGGCGGCCACTCACCAGGACACAAAGCTTGCGTGGGAGCCGAGCACCCTGGGCTCAGGGCAGCAGGGGCTGCCGTCAGTCAGTGCTGAGAAGGGTCTAGAACGTCTCCAAGTGGCGTGATGAACAACAGGGTGCCCATCGTGCACCATGACCAGGGTTTCACCCTCTAGCCCCAAACCATCCGAAGCCTCGGTGACCAGGAGGGCAGTTCCGCAACTCCTGAGGTCCCACGTGAGCCTGAGGGTCACAGGCCAGGGCAGCTCCCCACCCGGCTGCCACCACTGCCCACCCGGGGAAGCCAGGGCAACAAGCAAGCAGCAGGTGTGGGCATCCAAAGCGCTGGAGCCAGGAGGCGGCGAGGAAGGCGACCGCACTCGGGCTTTCCCCGCACTGTGTCGAGGCGCAGTGGGGGCGCTCCGCTCGGCCCAAGGCCCCACCCCTCTGCTGCTGCTCTCCCCAGAGCCCGGAGAAGCGGGTCGCCCATCTCCCACTGGGCAGCCCCGAGGAGCTGTGGGCAGGGCTGCTGGCAGGGGGCGCGCAGGCCCAGTCCTGGGGCCACGCTCCACTCGGCCGCCAGTCTTCTTGGACCTGGGACTGGCCCAACAGAAATGCGTGTCTATCGCGTAACTTCAGACAGGACTTTAATTCCAAAGCAAACCCAGAGCCGAGAGCCGGCAGGAAGCAGGGTGGCGGCGACGCGGACGCGCAGAGCCCAGCCGCTGGCCGCTCCCGGCGGCTCCTGTTCCCCGGACCCCGTGGCCGAGCAGTCCCTCCTGCAGCGAGGCCTGAGCACAGCGCAGCCCCGTCAAGGGCCGAGGACAGAGGCAGCGGCGCGGGCGGCGGGCAGACGGGCAGGAGGTGGTGGCGCCAAGTGCCCAGCAGCTGGGCTGGGCTCCTGAAGGCGCCTCCAGCAAGGGCCAGTCGAGACATCCCCCAGCTCCAAGATTTTCAAAGGGACAAGATTTCAAAGTCCTCGTCTTCTGAGTCAAAGAACCTTTCCAGTCGCTCCACGTCAGAAGAATCTGGAAGAAATATGACAACACGCCTGATTTCTGGCAGAAATCAGACACCTGCAAGGGTAACTCCAGGTGCAGGATGAGCCCCGTGGCTGTGGGTGCACCCACCACACCTGCCGGCCCACTCGCCCCACGGCTGCCCCTGCGCCTGGCTGAGGAGGGGTGGCAGGTGGCAAGAGGGCACCGGGCTGCCCAGTGGAAGGAGTGGCTTCTGGGTCTGAGCCAGCCAGGGGCCTCGCTGGCCAGGACGGAGGCAGAAAGAGAAGGCAGAGGCCCTGTGACTGAAAGGACGCAGAGCAGACACCCCTCTCACCAGAGCCCAGGGGACCTGCTGTGGCAGCGGGCGAGGGCCCCCAGTCCCAACAGCAGTGCCAGGCCTGTACCAGCGAGGGCTGATGGGGTGCTGAGTCCCAGTGACAACCCCCTGACCCCCAGGTGGCCTCCGTCCGACAGCAGGCTCTGTCACTGTCCTCCTCAGGGTGAGTGTGACAGATGGTACAGTGGGCTCCATTGTCGTCCTTAGTGATCCTCGCAGGCGGGACAGGCGGCTCGGTCGCAGCCTGGTCCTCACTGTGGCCTTGCCGGAGCGGACGCATGGAACCGACGTGCTTGCAGCCTCAGCACCAAGCCCGATTTCCGGGTGCCACCTGCCCAGTTCACTCCGAGGGAGGGTCTGCTCGTGGCTGCCCCGGGCCCAGAGCCGCGCAGCAGTGGGAGGCAGAGCCCGCCTGCGGCCACGGCAGCCGAACTGGGCCTGGCTCCCACGAAAGCCCAGCGTGGTCTGGGTTGTACAGAACCTGGGGGTGCCTGAGGAGCATGCCCAGACCCTTGTGCACAGGGCCAGGTGACCGCCCGTGGGGTGAAGGACGAAGGTCCAACGGGGGGACACTCAGCAGCGTCCCTGGTGCCCCATCACACACAAATCAAGTGTCCGCATATGGAGCTTATACGAGCCTTAAGGGTCAAAAGCAATGGGACAGAAGGCAGGGGACAGAACAGCACACAGACCACACCCAAGAGCAGAACACAGCTGACACGTGGCCCTGCGGCCTCGCACTCACCTAAGGACAGGTTCAGGACGTCGGGGCAGGCCAGGTGGGAAGGCTGCTGCTCCACCAGCTCGAACATGGGCAGGGCGCCGCCCAGCCGCGAGAGCTGTCAGCGACACACAGCCGTTGGCAGCGGCCGGCGGGGAGGGTGGGGGGTGCGGCTCCCGCCCCACCGATCGCCACGCACGCAGCACAAAGCCTGCGCAGTGGAGGCGAGGGTCCTGGCCCTGGGCCCAGCCTGTCCACAGGCAGCCCGTCCCGGGGACAGAGCCCTGGGGACAACCCCACCTCCCTGTCACCCCGAGGCTGACTAACAAGAAGCCACACCCTAAACTCCCTGAACAGTGTCAGCCCCCACCCTCCAATTGCCACGGGATGATGCCAGAAGCAGCAACCACACAAGGGCCAAGGGACACCGCAGTGTGGTGCACAGGACGCGGGTGGAGGGGTGAGTGAGGGGACAGGTGACGAACCAGAGACCCTGTCCACGCAGACGGGAGTCACTACCAACCTTCTTGACTTGCTGGCACCAGTCATTAAAGTCGTCCTCAGTCTTGCAGAAAAACCCCTGGAATGAAGAGCAGTGCTGAGCTGGGCACAGGCTGGCACCTGGCTGCCGTGGCAGAGTAGCCTCAGGGCCGGGCATCGGCTCCCAGCACCTCTGCAGGGAGCCAGGGCAGCCCCTCCGGCTGCCCTTCTCCTGCCTCTGCCCGTTGCCGCTGGCTCCGCCCATGGCTCGGCCCTCTGCCCCGCGTGCCCACCCCACATCACTGAGGCTGTGTCCCTGGGCCTGGCATGTTTGAGACTCAGCCTTGACCAGCATCTCCCAGCAGCAAAGGCTGCCAGGACCAAGTGCCCCCGAGCTCTCACGGTCACAGGGGATAGGGGGACGATGTGGGGGACACACCACCGCGATGGATGGGTCGAGCTCCCCTATGCTCATCCTGCTCGGCGGGTGCTGGCAGTGGAAGCTCTCGTCCGGGATCGAGCAGCTGTCGGTGAACTCCACCGCCGGCTGCGTCGTGTGGGGGTCCAGGTAGATGAGCTCCTCGCCTGGGCAGGACGACACGGAGATCAGCAGAGAGGACAGGGGACCACTCCGGACCTGCCACACCGCCACCCAGCCGGCAGCATGGACCAGGCCGGGAAAGACCGCGGGGAGAAGGCCGGGAGGGAGAGGTGGGCACACGGAGGCGCCAGCACCCGGGTGGGACATGCGGCTCGTCCACGGTGGCCCCAGGCCAAGCCGCCTCTAGGTGTTGGGGGCGGGGGCTGCTCTGAAGACCACTCCCCTGCCCTGCGGCATTACGGGGCACCCACCACTCACCCACGTAGCCGATGAAGTAGTGGGCGCTGTTGGGCTTCCCTCCGATCACTCCCAGGGACTGAGGCATCATGAAACAGCCCTGTGGGGGTGGGGGTGGGGGTGGGGGTGGGGCAGGAGGGCAGGCTGCTGAGCACAGGGCATCAGGAGGCCTGCACCCCTGAACTGGGGCCTGAAGAGAACGCGCCCCCACGAGCTTATCAGTCTGGAAGCAGGACGAGCAGCACGAGCCGTGGGCTCAGCTCGGTGTAGGAGGCGGGCTGGGGAGGGTGGACGTGAGGGCTGGGCCGGGGCAGACGGGCACGCAGGGGCCCGCACAGCGAGGTCGGGGGCTGGCCTGACCCCACAGGGCGAGGCAAACGGAGGCGGGAGGGCGGCCGGGTGGGCGCTGGTGTCCCCAGGGCAAACGGAGGCGGGGGTGGGCCACGACGGGGCCACGGGAGGGCTAACGCAGAACCGGACTCCGGTCCCCCGCTGGTCGGCGAGACGACAGACCCACCTTCAGCGTCTCCACATAGGCCTCGTTGATGTCCGTGAGGCCCAGGCGCAGGGGGATGAGAAGCACCAGGGGTCTCCACGGCGATGGCCTGTGGGCGACCTCGGCCCGCACGGGGAAGCCATTACAGTGCCCTTCGGGGTCTGCCGGAAACGCAGCGGCCCCCGCACACGGAGGGCTGCTTCTGCACAACCTCCCTGAAAAAGGGAGAGGCGCTTCCATGGGCTGAACAGGAGCGGGTCCAAGTCCACCCACCAGGAACAGGGACGTACCCGGGGCGTACAAACCGGGTGCTGAAAACAAGCTCAAACTTTGGAAATAAAGCATGAAACTAACCTGTCACCTGCAGAGAAGAAAGAGCTGAACGTTTCCTACGCATGTTCAAGTAAACATCTTTTTAAAAAAGATTTTATTTATTTTTAGAGAGGGGGGAAGGGAGAAAGAGAAACATCCACGTGGTTGCGTCTCACAGGCCCCTGCTGGCCCGCAACCCAGGCCTGTGTCCTGACTGGGAATCGAACCGATGACCCTGCTGGTTCGCAGGCTGGCGCTCAGTCCACTGAGCTCTACCAGCCGGGGCCAAGTAAACATTTTTATTGTGAAATGACACATACACAGGAAACGGGGCAAGAACAATCTACGTGCACCTCAGAGCGCCACCCCGAAGTGGCACCACACAGCCACCGGCCTGGCCCGGCACGGCGCTGACCAGGCCCCCAAGCTCCTGGGACCCACCCCCGGCAAAACCACCAAGGAGTAACTGTTCTCCTTTCCACGTTCAGGCGACCTACTTCTAAGGGCACTGGGTAACCTCCAGGAACACGTGCACTGGGGGCCTGGCGGCAGGAAGAGAAGGCGTCCCTGCGGCCTCCAGCAGAGCCAGCCGCCGGCCTGGGCTCGCAACACCAGTCCCCCCGAAAGGGGCCAGGCTCCGCAGGGAAGGCCGCTGCCAGGGCCGGGGAGGGCCAGGGCCTGGTCAGCACCCGAAAGGGGTGCTGCATGGCGCACGGCGGGGCAGGCACAGAGCAGTGCCGCCCGCAGGGGCACCAGTGGCCGAACCTGGGGCCGCGGGCCGTGACCGTTAACAGACAGCACACGGGATTTTACGAATCTGCACATGCACTGACCCTGACCAGTCTTCCAAGTGCACCTACGAAGAGGGTGGGGAGAACAGAGGGCTCCTCTCAGGGAGAAAGCCCACCAGACTTTCTGGTGGAGGGAGGGCTGCCCAAGAGGGACCCCTCAGACCGCCCACGGCAGTCCCGGGTGCCGGAGCTGCGGCCCCCGCCAGGGGACCAGAGGCCGCCTCCGGCAGTGAGGCTGGGACCCGGCCCCCGGCCTGCCCGCGGCCAGGGCGCGTGGTCCGAGCGCAGCTGTGAGGGAGGAAGAGCCGGGCTGGGGGACGTTCCACTGTGCTGGCCAGGGCTTTTCAAAAGTGCCAACGCCAGGAAGGACCAGGGGAAACAAAGAAGAAACTTTCTGGATTAAAGGGGACTCAACAGCCCTGGCTCCTGGCTCACGGGGGCTCCAGAGGGCGAGAGCTCAGCCTGTGCCGCGGTGGCCGTGGGGTGTGCACCACGTGCCTGCAGCTGGCGCGTCCTGGCTGAGGCCCAGTGGAGGACTGGAGTCTCATAGTGAACAGCTAGAAAAAGGAACTGGAGCGCGGTTTTATCCTTTATTTTTAAAAATATCTCTGCCCTGGCTGGTGTGGCTCAGTGGACTGAACACTGGCCGGCAAACCAAACGGCCGCCGGTTGGATTCCTAGTCGGGGCACAGGCCTGGGCTGCAGGCCAGGTCCCCAGCAGGGGGCGCATGAGAGGCAACCACACATTCTCTGTCCCTTCTACTCTCTCTAAAAGTAAGTAAATAAAATCTTTAAAACACCAAGGAAGTAAAATCTCTGGCCGCTTAAACTTTCTATGACATTGTGATTTATAAGAACTATACAGGGTCCAGCACAAATAAAGCTCTTTTCACTACAAACGCTTTTATTACAAAATCAAAAGCATGTCATTCTGCAATGATCTCACACATCTGCAATGTCAAGCACGCCATGTGACACGGCGTGACCCAGTGAAACGTTCGATGGAAACGATAAATTATCAAGCTCGTGTATTACCCTGCCACCCGCACCCCGGCAGGCGTCACCGGACTGGGCCCAGCGCACTCGGCCGCCACCCGCCACCGGCCAGGGGCCTGGCGGAGCAACAGGTGCCTTTCACCCCGACGGAGACATGGCTGAGGACTGCCCCCCGACCTGTAGGGAGGAGCCAACGGAGCCCAGCCACAGCGGCCAACGACCCCTGCAGTGCATCAACGCAGCGCGACCCCTTGATTAAAAACCCACAGGAGGGGCTGGGGCCCCGGAGGGCGGGGCAGCTCCCCCACCCGGCAGTCCCTGAATTGCACCCTTCACCACAAACGCGGGATCTCACAAGCAGCACAATTCTCTCAGTTTTGAGCCACTCTGGGGGTGCGGGGGGTCGGTCAGAAGCACAGGTTTCCTCTGAGGTGGGGGAAGGGCCCGACCTTGTGGGACGCAGCCCGAACCCGTGGGGTCTGAGGCCACCTCCAGGTAGCTGGTGCCAAGGGGCTGGGGTGTGGGGGAAGCCCCTACACTGGAACTGATGTCCGCTCTTACCTTCTAACTCGGAACAGATGTGTTTCTTCTCCCTCCCTGGTGACCTGTGATCTGCAAGCTGTTTCCTCCCAGAGCCCGTCTGGCCCCCATCGGCCCTATCACTCCTTCCTTTAAACCGCCCACCTCTGTGCCTGCGCCGCCACAGACGCCCTCCTGGGGCCTCTCCTGTCCGTCCCCGTCCGGGTTCCTGCCCTCAGAGGCGGACACTCACGGCCTTCACTCCCACTTTTTACTACCTGACACCAGGCAGGTGCCCGTTTTTCTCCTGGGCACAGGAGGCATCGAATCCTGACGTGCAGTCTGCTAGCTTCACCCAGGAGTCCTTTCACCCAGGAACTAAGACAGGTTTGAAGCTTCAAAGCAGTGTTCTGTCCTCCTGTCTACTCAGCACTGGCTTATATAAATGTTCTCGGGACACCTGAGAAGGCACATTCTGCCACCAGAATCCAGGCTTTGACGGGCACCGACTAAACTCTCCTGTGTGGCTCTGGTCCTGCATTGGCTTAGTTTCCACCGATGTGGTCTGTCCGGGTCTCTGTTCACGTCGGTTGGGTGTTCCTGAGTCGGAGGCTACGCTTTGTGACGGGAACACCCTCTTGCAGACTCGCTCTCCCCGCCTGCCCGGAATCACGGAGGACTCGCTCCAGCGGGAGGGGCAGCTGGCTGCTGCGGCCCCCAAGCCACATGCGACCTCACAGGAGTCCTGCTGGTGGTAAACAGGCTTCCCTTTGCCCAGGTGCCCATCTGTAATTTTCTAGGGCTCCCTGAACACTTGTGACTTACCTAAATTCTCTGGTTTTCTTTCAATGACAACAACTAAACAGTCCGCCTGCCTTCCCGCCCTCTGAGCCCGGTCTCTGGGGATTCTGCACGTGTGCCGGGGTCGGAGGCGGCAGGCGAGGCTGCAGGGCCAGTGAATGGCCTTCCTTCACAGGCACGTTGTTATTGCTGCTGTTATTTGGATGCTCGTAGAAGTTTCTCCTTATTTTTGCAACTGGGAAACATCACCAGGAACACGCTTATTTTCCACATCCCTGGTTTCTGAGGGTCGGGGCCTTCCAGCTCTGAAGACTCAAGCCTCCCTCCCCCGCCCCCCTTCACGGCCCCGCCCCCATCCCCACAATCAGACCCTGGCCGCTCTCCTTCTGTTCCTGCCTCGGAGGCTCCGCCCCCGCCTTTTCTGCCGATGCTGGCGTTTAGCCTGTGCTCCCCGCATCCCCAGTCTCAGTGACAACGCCATCAGGACTCGGGGCTGCCGGGGCCGCTCCGGACATCCTGGCGGGCCTTCAGAAGACGGGCGGGGGCGGGTGGGTGCACAGGGGCACAGGCAAGGAGCGAAGCGTGCCCTCACCTGGCACGCCTGCTGTGAAACCTGAACAGGCACACCTAAGCCACCTCCTCCCTGACAGCAGCGGCTCCTCTCAGAAATGGGCAGCTTCCCCGCCCTGCGCTTTGCAGAGCCAAGCTGCCCCTCCCGCCCGGCCAGCCACGCTGGGGGCTCTGAGCCGCGCCCATGAGCAGGGGCGTCCTCACCGCAGCCGGGGCCCTTCTCTCCGGGGCCCTGGGGCAGGAGTGCCCAGGCCAGGCCCTTCAGAGTCCCTTCCGCTCGCCCCGCACCTCCCTAAACCGACCCCGCTGGCCCTAAACATGGGCGGGAGGCCGGACGCCCTCCGCTGGTCCCTGTGAGGCGCAGGCCTAACTTCTGGCCCAAGGGAGAGGAAGGCCACGCACCAGGGCCTGATGGCGGTGGTGGCCACACACGCCCTCGAGAGCCCGTCAGAAATGCAGGTCAGACCCACCAGCTCCTCGGACACGCGCAGGGACACACGCCGTCACCGTCCCAGCAGTGTCGGCCGTCACAGCTGGGACCGCAGGAGATGGGGGGCGGGGTCCCTACCAGCCCCCATGAGGGACAGAGGCTCTGCAGAGCCACGTGTCTCCTGACCCCCGCTCCCCGTCACTGCCCCAGAGCCAGCAGCCTGCTCTCTGAGGCCAGGGATCGGCCTAGACCCCCGAGGGGGTGGAGGAGGACCCCAGTGCCGAGGGAAAGAGAAACTGGGGCGCCGCGGAGCGCTGTGCAGCCGGACGCGGGACAGTCAGGACGCTGTCACTGGCAGGAGAAAACACTACGATACTACCTGTTTTCGGGGGGAACCTTCCTGGACAGAGGTGTGTTGTGTCTGAACAGCAACACGAGTGGCTTCTGAGTGAAAAATCAAGCGCCTCCCCGTCCTTTGCGTTTCCTAACTTCCCGATGTCTCAGGGAAATTTCAAGAGGCGGATGAGGAGAAGGGGCAGAAGGAAGGACCGCGCGGCCTTCCACCCCGGCCCAAGCTCATCACCTCTGGGGGAGCAGAGCTGCTGGGCGACGAGGGCTCGTCCAGGGCGCACGGAGCCACAGGGGCCAGTGCTGCTCTTTATTAAGAAGTCACCCCCGGCTCCCCTGTCCTGACAGTGTCCCCGGATGGGGCCCCTCTGCCTGGCAGAGAAGCAACGCCCCTGTGAGCCGACACGCACTCTCGTGGCCACGCTCCACGCCGCAGTCGCGAGGGCAAGGCCTGCTTCTGAACGTCCACGTGCCCCCGACTCCCTCGGGTCTCCAGGGGATCCGAGTGGGGCCCTAAGTGACCCAGCCGGCGGGCAGAGCCTAGGCCACTCCCCTCTGCCAGGTCCTCTGTAAGGACAGGTGGGGCCCCCTGGCCCCCGCTCAGGGCGTGGCTGTGGTGCAGGACTCCCCGGCGCCACCTCGGGCACCGCGCCGGGAGCCAGGCGGGGACAAGCACTCGCTCAGCGGCCGCCCCCCGAGCCCCGCCGTCCCGGCCCCGCGCCCTCGCACTCACGGATGTCGTCCATCACCACCGTGTTGTCCATAGCCACGTGGACGGCCAAGGCGCTCCACGCGTCGAAGACGGCGAGCTTCCTGAGGAAAGGGGGCACGAGTGAGCGTCTGCGATCCCAGGGGGGCCTGCGTCCTGTGCAGGGCGCACAGGAGGAAGACCAAGGCCCGAGGCGCGGGGCCACAGGGCGGGTAACCTGAGGCTGGAGCCTGCCCCACCCACCCCGGCCCTGTCTCCTTCCAGGGCCCCCAGCGACCTCCGCAGAGGAGTCCCTGCTCGGCGGCATCGTGTCCTGAGGGCACCCAGAGGTGGGAGCCAAACACGAGCAGGGCTGGAGACGGCGGGCTTGCCCGCGGAGGCGGCCCTGGCCCAGCCCCACCTCACCCGCCCCAGTGCCTCGCTCGCCCCCGCCCCCCACCTCCCCGGACACGCTGAGCTTCGGTTCCGGCTGTAAATGACTGAGGGGCCGTGGCCCCAGGATTCCGGCTCTGGAAGGAAGGCAGGTTCTGCCACGAGAAGCGTAACAGGTGGGAGCCTCTCTGGGGTGTAGGGGAGGGGGGTTCGCCATGAGAGGGAGGCCCTGCTGGGTGTGGGGACACGGTGAGGGGGGTTGGGGTGACGACGCAGGACCCCACTGAGGGGAAGGCCAGGGGGGTGCCCAGAGAGCACCTGCAGAGCTGCCTGGCTGCCCCTGCCCACACTAAGGGCCAGGCGCCGAGCAGAGCTGCTCTGACGCGTGCGAGACTGGGTCCTTCCGGAGGCTGATGGTCCAGGGGGAGGCAGGCAAGAGAAAAGTGACCGCCTGCAGCAGTAAATACCCCAGAGAACAAAGCAGGGCAGGCAGGGCGAGACCAGGGCAGGGCAGGCAGGCGCTGCGACCAGGGCGTGGGGCGCGCGAAGGGCCAGAGGTGGACGCACAGGGCGGGGCCGCCGGGGAAGCCCAGACGGGTGGCTGACCTCCAACCACGAGGACTCCTGCTGCTGTTTGAAAAGACACCCCAAGACGGCAGAGAGAAGGAAGACCAACGAGGAGGCGAGGGCAGGGCCTTAGACTGGGGTGAGGACAGCGAGCCTGTGGTCCGCACACACCGGACAGCGGCGCTGGGAGAGGAGAGCCCAGCAGGCCCCGTGTCGGGCCTGAGCGCCGAAAGGAGGGGCTGCCTCCTCTGTGGGAGCCGCAGGCTGGGTTCTGGCTGTTAGGCCACCCAGCTCCGTGGACAGTCAAGGCGCTACGTGAGCATCTTGACAGAAGGCCGCCCTGGGAGGGGACCCCGGCAACCGCTAAAGCCAGGAGTGGACAGCGCAAAGGGGAGTGGCCGTGGGCCCAAGACAGGGCCCGCAGTGCCCACGGGTGGGGAGGGGGGCAGCACCTGAGGCCGAGGCGGCCAGAGGGGCAGAGGGGCCGGAGAGCGGGGCTCTGGGGCCCAGGTCTCCAAAGGCAGCACGTGCCTGTGCCAAGGGCTCCCGCCGGGCGGCTGAGCGGGGCAGAGAGTCAGCCTGCGGACGTGACAGGGCAGGGGTGGCCACGATGGGGCCGCTTCGGGCGGCAGCGGGAGGAAAGCAGGGAGTGGGGGGTGCGAGACAGGAAGTGCTCGTGCAGGGCTCACGGGTGGACGCGCACACGGGCCCTGCTCACCAGGCCGGCGGCACTGGGCCCGGACTCTGCAGCGAGGGCGGGGGCGCTGGGCCCTCCAGGGGTTCGGTGAGCAGACGGAGACGGGCAGGCTTGGGACCCCGGGGAGTGGGGCCTGTCGGGGGGAGGGTCCTGGGGGGTCCCAGGGAACCTGACAAGGGCAGCGGGTGGGGAGGGGCCGCCCATGAGGAACGACCGCCAGGAAGGCTGCCTCGGGGCGCCAGCGGGGGCGTCCGTGAGGACCAGGGTGGGCAGCAGGCAGGCGACGGGGGACAAGGCCGGAGGCAGAGGCTCCAGGGACAGGCGAGGAGGCCAGGACGGAGGCGGGGCAGCCCTCCCCGGCCGTCAGACTGTCCGGCCACCATGATGGACAGGCCACCGGCAGACAGAGAACAAAGGCCCCTGTCAACGGGCACAGCCTGGAAGAAGGCGTTCGCCCTATTAGAAAACTAAACTCCGACTCTCAAGACCACACAGACGGTCACCGCTGAGGACCCCCTCGAAGGGAAAGAGGCGCCCGATGTCCATCAGCAACAGGCTTCAGGGGTCTGACCCCGGCGCGCCTGCCCCACCTTGTTCCCCGCGGAGACGGGGGCGAGCGCGGCACGTACTTGAGGACCTGGGCGACCGTGTTGGGCCCGTACCACTGGCCGATGGACTTGCCCTCGCCGACTCCCATTTGTGCTGCAGGAAACGGACCCAGTGAGCGACCCGCACGTCCCGACCCCACGGCCCTCCCCTGCCTCAGAGGAGCCGGTTCGGGCGGCGTCCAGCACGAGGGGCACGTTCCAGGAGCCGGGACAGGCTCACCCAGCCCGCCCCCGGCCTGCGCTGACAGACGTGCGCGCGGCCTCCAGGCCCGTCCTTCGCTACAAGCCAGGACGCCAGTCCTTCGATGAGGAGGGGCTGAGAGGTAAAGTGGCTCCCTGAATGCAGAGCTGTAAGTTTACTTTCTTCTACAACGGAGACCAGGGTGCTCACAAGCTGGACTTGCCTCAACGAAGGAGCACCACTCCCTGCCTGAGACCACGTTCCCGAGGCTGGGACGCGCACCCGGGCCCACCCACCGCGGCCCGCAGTGGGGACAGGCCTCCCGCCACAAGTGCCGCAGCATGGCAGCGGCCCAGGGCACCCGGGACCAGCCGCCCATCTGCGCAGCCAGGGCACGCGCCCTGCCCCACCCACCTATCTGGTGGATGGAGTAGCAACTGTCCTTCCTGTCGATGAACGCGTTGAGGACGCGGAAATAGCTGTCCGGCTGCCTCTTCCGCTGCGTCCACCTCCAATCTAGCGGAGACAGGGGCAGAAGCGCAGTTTCACCTGATGTGACAAAGCAGCCCGTGTGCTATGAAACACTCCAGGTGCAGAGCGCACCCCAGTGGCTTTGAACCTGGTGCAGGTTAAAATCCAGGCTCCCCGGGACTCCAAAGATGCGAACCCCATCATCACGAAGCCACACAGAAAACAAACAACGGCCCCAGGGATCCACAGGGGACTCCCGACAAACACGTATCAGCGTCCTTTAAAGTCACTCTTTTAAATCATTCAAATCACTCAAAGCAAAGGGTCACGGCTGACGAAGCCGGGCTCCTCATCCAGGTCTTACACGGCCTCACCCCCACTGTCCCCGGTGCAACTCACCTCGGCCCAGGTGCCGGCACAGCAGGGCCTGGGCGAAGATCATCTGTCCGCAGCGCAGCATGCAGCCCCAGCCCGTGTCCGAGGTGGGGCCGGTGCCCCCTGTGGGGGCAGCAGAGAGCAGACTTGCGGTCAGGCCGCAGCGACGGGCCGCGCCGGGGGCCCTGTGCGCAGGTGACAACGCCGCCCCGGCCACACGCACACTCCAGTGGCAGGTCGTGCCAAGGACCCACTGCTGGGAGGTGACATGCCCTAACAACTCTCGCAAGTGGGCAAACCCTGCGAACGCACCACAGAAAAGTACAGATGTCTGGGAACCACGAGCAGATGCTGCGCCCGTGAGCCCTCGGGGTCGGCGCCCGGAGGGGGCAGGGCTCAGGGGCAGCAGAGAAGGCGCGCGTGCCCTTGGCCCATCCATGGCCCATCCACCCACCAGCACGCAGGCTCTGGCACTAGGCACGGGGTGCCGCGGGCACGGCGACACAGGCCTGGACCCTCAGTAAATGCCCTGACGCCCTAACCAGCAGCAAGACCCCGGCCCGCTGGCAGTGACCCAGCAGACTTGGGGGCCAGGCTGGGGGCTGGCCTCACCTCGGCCCCAGGAGCCCTGCCGCGCATGCAGGCACAAAGCCCAGGGCAGGCGCCTGGCACGGTGCCCGTCACCCCCCCAGGCCAACCAGCCACGCCCTGGGTGAAGGAAGCCCCGCACTGGCCCGCGGAACCGGGAGCCCCCCGCCCACGACTGCACCAGATGGCACAGGGCTCCTCAGCAGCCCGTCCTGCTCCTCTGCGTCCAGGCAGCTGACCCGAGGACAGCGCCGGCCCTCCTGGCACCACACAGCCCCTCCCCCGACTTCGCCCCTGCTCCCAGGGCCGCGCAGAGCAGCCTCAAGGGCAGGTGTGCCACCAGAACAGAGCGCACCTGACAAATCCCGTCAGTCAACGTTAACCTGTGGGGACACTGGTCTGCTCTCCCTACGTTTCCGTGTCCCGGATGTCACGCAATGTAGCTGCCTTACACCCACCTCACCTCTGGAGAACAGAGGAAACCACACCTTGGCGAGGAGGAGGTGAACCTCCTGGCCCCGAACCTCTGGTCTCAGGCCTCCGACTGGCACAGGCCAGGCCACGCTGGTCCCCAACCTCTGTCCACCTCCGGCCACAAGGAGGAGAATCGCTTTTCTGGAATGCGCTCAAGTGCCACAGGCAAACACACCCGGCCCACCCGCCCTACACTTGCCCACCACTCAGCAAGGGGCACACCGGAGAGATGTTGGGCAGAGAGTTTCGGCCTCCGGCCGCCCTGGCCCCACAACCTGGCCCAGGACGACACTCAAGCACAGGATCGGCGACAGCCTGAGCCCTCCCTGCTTTGTGGCCGCTGACCTCCATGCTGTCCCTGCCGGCTGCGGCTCCTGACCGATTTTAGGCCCCAGTGCAGAACGGAGACCTGCGGCTGGAGAAGCGACGCCAGGAGTCCCAGGTTGGATCCTGGCTCCGCGCGGCGTGGGCGGGACCTCTCCAGCTGGAGCGTTCCCACGGAGTGGCTGGTGCCAGGCCCACCCAAGCCAACCTGTGCCTCGGCCTGCCATCCTCCCTCTAAAACACGCGGACCCTACCACATGTTGTAACAAACAGGACTTACCGATGGCCGGGAAGTTCTTCCTGTATGTAAACCAAAGTCTAGACGCCACATCGGACAGGATCTCATCCTTTTCTAGAAAGTGTTTAAAAGAAGAAAACACACACGCACAGCCTTAAGCACCACGCCATACGTCACGGAAAGCTCGCAGACGACGACGACGACTACCACAACACGGTTTTGAAGCCCGAGCGTGGAGCGCAGCAGGCTCCAGCACGGCTGGTACCTGTGAAAACGCTGTATTTTCTGCCCAGTATCCAAACAGGCTCCGAGGTCTCCGGGAAATCTTCAAACTCGGCAAATCGGAGAGTGTCATAAGTCAGGGTAGCTATTGAAAGGAAAGACACAGGTTAATCAAATTTTTATAATTTCACAAAATAGCACCAGGACCATTTATTGCATTTCTGTATTAAAACCCCACATGGAATTCTGGGTCTCAGGGTCACCCAACAATCGCCACTGGTGGAGCAGGTGCATACGACTGGGCAGCACCTGGGACACCTGGGGCCGAGGCCGCGAGGTCAGTCACGCCTTTCACACTCCAAGCCCGAGTCAGTGCCCCCAGAAACCAGGCTGGGAAAGGACAGTGGGCTGGGCCCAGGGGAGAAGGCGAAACCAAAAACAAAAAACAAAGCACCTGATTTAGACACCTGCTCTACACCTAAAACCTTTAAAAGCTCGAGGACAAAAGCACAATGAAACCATGCCGCTGTCTCTGGGTGCAGGGAGCCTCCGGGTGCAGGGAGCCTCCGGGTGCAGGGAGCCAGGTGGGCAGGGGCAGGGGAGGCCTCCACAGCCGTCCCCAGGCTCCCCAGGACGCACAGGGCGCACATGCCCAGAGCCACGCCGAAGGCAGAGGCTTCCAGGGCACGAAGCCTGAGCCCTCCCCAGCGACTCCGGGTTGCAGGCCACTGCGGACTTCTTGGTGGGGAGCAGTTGGCTGCAGGGGGCAGGGCGCAAACTCCTGGGTAGGACACGAGGCCCCAGAAAGGTAGAGAAAAGTCCCCTGAAGCCCCGGTTGCAGAGAGGCAGGGAGTCAAGGCCTGGAGCCTGCTCTCACTTTGGCGACACCCCCAGACAGGCACCGCCGCCGGCTTCCACCAGCAGCACCCCACTTTCAAAAGCAGTGTGTGGAGCACGACCTCCCTGCCGTGCTAACGAGACCTGAACCCCACCTTCTTCTGTGTGGCTTCCAGGCCCCGCCCTGTCCTTGAGCCCTGGCTGAGGGGGCGCGGCCACACGCCCAGCGCGCCCCAGGCGCCCTGGCACACAGCTGCCCCCACTGCCTCTCCAGCTCCCACGGGGCCCGGCCACCAGAGCCTTCCCCTGCAACCTCCCAGGAGTTTTTGGGAAATCAAAGATGTGTTTTCCAGGTCTTAATTTACTTTTTGACAGCAGCTCCCCCTTTCGGTAAAAAGGGTGTATGCTATTTACAAGAAAGAAGGAAAGGAGCAAAGGAGGGAGGGAAAGAGAAAGGGGAAGAGAAAGGGGAAGAGAAGGAAAGAAAAACCAACAACTACAAAACCGCTGCACACAATCCCTGCAGCTCGCGCCCAGAGCGGCGGCCCTTCCCGCAGAGCTGGGAACCGGCCGTGGTGCCCCTGCGGTTCCTCGCCGTTCTCAACGGGAAGGTCCGTGCCCAGCCTCACAGCCCCATCAGCATCTCGTGTCTCCCCAGTTGTTCGGCACGGTGCCCAAGCCGCAGGGGACTCGGGGCCCTGCTGGGTGCGCCTGTCTCCTGCCAGCACCCTGCCCATCCTTCTGTGCCGTGCGGGACCCCAGGGAGAGGTGGGGGCCTGGTGGCTGGGCACTCACAAGCCGCAGGCTCTTGAGCCGCTATGGTCCCTCTGTGGGTGGCAATTCCTTTGCCCACAAGGTGGGGAAAACAACAGGCTGCTCTCATTGTGCGGTCACGCAAGGACCCTCCGCAGCAGATCCCCAGAGGTGCTGTCTCCCCAGTAGACAGAAAGGCTCCAAGGTCAGCGCCATCAACAAGGATGAGAATCACGAGTTCAAAGGCAACGGCTTCGCTCAGCCAGAACGTGACCCAACGCACAGCTGAGCCCCGTCTCAGGGCGGGGAAAGCCGCCTGCAGACGCACCGGGCCCACAGCCACGGAGGGCCGGCGTGTGGGGTGCAGAGTCCTCAGGCCGTCCGGACCCCAGACCCAGCTCCGCCTTCTCGAGGTCCCAGGAGCCCTGCTGCCCAGAGGGCCCCGGTGTGACGGCGGGTCCAGGCCTCGCGGCTCTGCGCTCGTCTGTCTCTGGTGCCTACGTGTCCACGGTCGATGCTGACCAGGCTGCGCAGTGGGGGGGGGGGGGGGGCGCACAATGTGAGGTCGAGCTTATTTCCCCTCCCCTACGTGAGACGGCTGCCTCCTGAACACGCCTGAGAGCTGAGCTGGGATGAAGGGGGTCCGTCCTCGCAGGGCGCTGACAGTGCCCCGCCTGTGCCGTCCCCACGCCCCTCGGCACCCTCAGCAACTGCCGCCTCCTGCACCCTGCCCGCCCTCGCCCACTGTGGACTCAGGGCGCTGCTTCCTCTCGAGAAGCAGCAGCTGACAACACTGCCTGTGACTCCCATCCTGCCAGGGCCGGAACGACCTCCTGACACCCAAGGACCCCCGGGCAGGGCTGTGCGTCCCCCAAACGCAGGAGGGCTCTGGGCTCTCGGCGAGGGGCTCCTCTGCGACTGGTGGCACACGCCCACAGGTCACGGCGCTACCCGCGAGTCTGCCGTGTCAGCCTGGCCCGGAGACACCCCTCAGAGATGTGGCTTCCCATGTGGAGAAAAGAACAGCAAGTGAAAGGCTCGCTCTGGGGCGGGAACAGGCGGCAAGGCCTGGGGCAGCTCTGCAGTCGAGGGCTCTCATCCCAGGGGCGGCAAAATGCACAGCAAGCAGGTTTCTCGGGTTTATTAGCGAACCTCACAGGCAGCCAAGCAGACTTCAGAGGGAGGGGAGCACGAGGTTTCTATGAAGTTAAAACACGTCACCAGGCGTCCCTCTACAACCAAGAAAATTACAGGCTGCGTGGCCTCAGACTCCCTGCTGCACAGCCAGATGCCAGCCGGGGACGGGGCACCTGCAGGGACGCAAGGGCCAGGAGGCCACCCCGGCTCTCGCACACTAAGCAGGAGCCGTGCAGCATGAGCACACGCATCGGCGGGGTCCCCAGGGAGGCTCCCGTCCCCGAGCCCCGCACCGCTCACATCACCTCTCTATGCCAAGCCCCCAGCCTCTGCCCCTCCCCAACATGTGTGTCCCGTCCGCCTCTAGACTAGACGTTCCCGTGTCCCTCGCGCGTAGCCTGCTCAGCACAGGGCCACGGCCGCCTCGGCGCTCGGAGGACACGCTGTGCGGAGCGCGTCCCCCTCCCCCCGCCGGTCACTGTCTCCCAGGGCAGAGCCCGAGCCCGGGCCACCCTGCTCGGTCTTGTGCCCCCCCCCCGGGGGAGGGGCCTCCCCGCGCCTCAGTCTTCTCGCTCGTAAAAGGGGAATAGCCGCACTTCCCTCAAGGCTTGTGTGAGGATGAACAAATTAGGGACCGTGCGAGTCAGTGACCTTTACTCGGCAGCAGCGAGCACGTCTCCACTTGAGCCTCTGGGACCTCGTGAAAGGGGCGAGACAAGGGACGTCCACAGTCTGCGGCCAAACTGAGCTGCAGCACCTCCTACGAGGTCGCCTGGGAGCCCGTGCAGCCCAGGACACCACGCTGCCCTGGCAGGGGTGGGACAGCCCCGGGGCAGAGGAGGGCCGTCTGCACCCCACCCCACCCCACGCGCGGTGCCCCAAGACTGAGCACAAGGAGCCCCAGGACCTGCAGCCATTTCGACCGGAAAAGCGAGTGAAGCACTTCTCATCCCTGAGCAGCCACCAAGAGCCCCGACTGGCGATGGTGGCTCCGACTGTCCCACCTGCACAGGAGGACAGGACCGACCCACCCTGCCCCATGCCCAAAACGCCGCGGTCGGAAGCCCCCTCAGCTCACTCTGCACGACACAGGCTCCTGGACCTTCTGGATGCGGCTTTCTCATGGAGCAATTTTCTAAGCAACACTCACTTCTAATGCTCAGCTTTCTAATTTCTAAGACTTGTGTTTGGGGACAGAGCCCACCTGCTAGCTGTGTGACGCATGACTTCACTTCTCTAAACCTTGGTCTCCTCAGCCATGAAACGGGCCTGAACCACCAGCCCAGCCGGGGAGGGGGGGGCCACAACATGGCCGGACGCGAGGCTCCGGCAACGTGCACAGCGCCCAGCAGTGGTTCTGAGCCTCTCCACTCCCATGTGCATCATTTCAGGCATCGTGACGACTCTGTTCTCACACAGGCCAGCGGCCTCTGCGTGACTCCCCGGGACAGCCGCCGCATTGTCATGTCACCCTCTTTCCACGCAACGTCACACCGTTTATGAAGCTGTCCCGTACCACCGAGTTACAGGACTCCAACCTCAAACAGAATGCCGGTCCCTGGACTCCCCGGTCTCGACTCTAATGTGAAATAAGACGACGTGCAGAAGACAGATGGAGAGGCATCTCCCACCTTATAGAAGAGGCCCTCTGAGAAGCACCTTCCCCATCTGGTTCCTGGGGTCCCGGACGCCTGATTATCCACATCTTCCCTGGAATATTCCTGATCACACCCGGGAAAGAACGCGGAAAGCCCTTTAACAGCATGGTGATTCCACTAGAAAAAAGTTTCCATTTAATTTTATTTCTGATAAAAAAACAGGGACTTGTGCTCAAGGAATGTAACCGACTTCTCTGCCCTTGGCACCGATCCCACTGTCACTGGACCAGGGAGAACCCCGGAGCCTCTCACCTCCAGGCTTCTCGGGGGCCCATCACACCACATCGGGGTCACCCCCAAGCACTGCTGTGCCCTGAAAGACAAGCCTTCCCAACAAAACCAAAAGGCGTCCCCTCTTCCTTTAGAAGATGCTTGCTTTCAAAAAAAAAAGAAAAGAAAAATTTTATTTATTTTTACAGAGAGAGGGAGGGGGGAAAAAAGACAGAGAGAAACTTTGACATGAAAGAGAACCATCTAAAAATCGATCAGTTGCCTCTTGCATGTGCCCCAACTGGGGACCAAACCACAACCCAGGCCTGTGCCTTGACCGGGAATTGAACTGGCGACTTTTTGCTTTGCGGGACGACGCCCAAACCACTGAGCCACACTGGTCAGGGTCAGAAAACATTTGTTTAAGATAACAGGTTTGCAAGCAGGTATTTTTTTTTAAATCCCAAACATTTTGTATGAAGAGGCTGGTGGTTGACTTCTGAACGAAAAGAAAAAAGAGGGAAGAGAAGGGACGAACCAGGAACCCGAGTGACCCCAGGAGACGGCAAACACTGCTTCGGTGAACACAGGGGCCGCGTCCACGCTCACCTGACCGCCTGGCCGAGCAGCCCTTCGCCCTCACCGACGCCCGACACCCACGGGCTGGGTTTGTCCTGAACACCCGTGCGGGGACCAAAGTGCTTACACCACGGGAACATGCACGTTCAGTCAGGTTCTGCTCCTTCAGCTGCCGACCACGCCCGCACCAGGCACGGTGTGACTGGAGACACAAATGCCACGCCGGCGTCGAGGAACGGACAGCGCAGCCGTGTCAGCGCCGGGCCTGCCGTTCCTGGAACCGCGACTGAGCTCGACGGGCAGTGCTGGGGCTCGAGGGAGGAGACAGCCGGCCGCAGCCTGCCCGCCGCCCCTCGGACCCCTGCAGGCCGCACGCCCGCCGGGGTTCCTCCTCTTCCCTCCCACACTCAGACCCTCAGTGGCCTCACCCACCGGAACCCCCAGACCAGGTCTACTCCCTCAGCTCCAGGCCCGGGGACCCAGGGCTCCCCAGACGCCGCAGCCCGAACGTCTGACAGGCACCTCCCGCTCCACACGTATGAGACCGACCCCAGCGGCTCCCCCCCGCGCAGCACATCCCCAGTGTCCCCCCTGCAGTCGCTCAGCGAGGGCCGCACAGCACCGCACCATCCCAGCGCCTTCCTCTCCAGCCGCACCCGTCACCGCATCCCACCCAACACAGCCCGCTCGCCTCAACCCTGCACACACCCCGAGTCCAGCCTCCTTTCTGGGCCCTGACCCGGCCGCCCAGGCCTCTCGCCTGGCTCACTCCGACAGCCTCCCCGCGGGCCCCCCACGGCGGCCCTGCCTCCCCGCAGCCCCTTCTCAGGGGCGCAGCCCGAGCAAGGCTGCCACCCACCCCTCCCGTCTCCTCACGCCTCCTCTCAAACCTTCCGGGAGATTCACAGGCGCCCAAGTCCTCGCCACGACTGGGAAAGGCCCCACGCGCAAGCCCAAGGCTCCTGCGTCTCCCAGCCCACCCGCTGCGCCGGGCCACAGCACCTGCCCTTCCTCCTGCACCGCTTCCGAGTCTTGGTCCGACCTGCCTTTGCAGTGCGACCCGCCCGGGACATCCTGGCTCCGGCTCCAAGCCCACCCCATGCCCCAGCGTGGCCCACATCGCTCTCCGGCGCCACACGCCGCTGGCGTCACGTCTGGAACACCAGGCAGAGCATGGTGTTCGTCTGCTTTGTGCACTTCTCTGGTCCCAGGATCTAGAACAATGCCCAGCACAAACCTCCTGCGGAACAAACACAGTTTACCGGACGGGTGGCTCGGGAAGCAGGCCCTGCGCGGCTGCAGGGATCAGGGCGGGGCAGGCCCTTAATCACCCCCAGAAAGATGTGTCCAGTGGAAGAAAACTCCCCACCGCACCCTACAGACGTCGCGCGTGTTTTTATCAGCATCAGTACAGGCTTTCGAACGCAACACCTCCTCCACGCTGCAGCGGCCCGGAGTGCCCCATGAAGGCGTCATCACGCGGCTACTCCTAACTTTAACGTGGTAATTTTCCTGTCTGAGATAATGGGGCCGACATTAAACTCTTTCGCACCTTAACCAACGTGAACGACTAGGTATCAAGCAGTAACAGCTTAAAAGAAAGTGGGGGGGAAAATAAAAGAAAGCAGCCAAGTAAATAATTCTATTCCTCCACCACCCCATGCCCCAGCAAACAGTACAACCATGTCTGATACTTGTAATTTTTCAAAGGAACTTCACCAAAAAAATACATGTGGTCAACAGGTTGAGAATCAGGCCTCCAGTCACCCAACATTTAAGTAAAGAAATGCCACAAATCATTGAAATATGTCTACTTTACAGCTTCCCAACTGAGGTTCCAGTAAATACGTTACAGCTGCGAGAAAACGAAAAGGAAGCAGAACAGGGTGACCAGTGGAATCAGCCCTGACGAAAGCCTGCCATTGACTGGGGGTGGGCAGCGGTGGCCCTGAAGGCCAGGCGCCCCTACGAAAGTGAAAGGATTAAAATGGCCGTGGCGCGGGACGGAGCGCCTGGGCTGAAGGGCTCTCCAGGCGACCGGACAAGGTCCAAAGACCTTGCCAGCAAGAATTAAGGAGCAGAAACATGATGAGCTAGGCGGAAACACCACAGGCACGTATGTTCACATACGTACGTGTGTACACACCCTCACTCTGTATTAGGACAGAAGAACTTAAGAGGTGGCTTCACATTCCGTCTTCCATCACAGAAAAAGTCATTGTTTGGTTACTGAATTAAAACCAAAACAGGGTGCGCTTGCTGCGAGTGTGGAGTACTGCTTCTCGCCCCCAGCCAACCAACGTAACTTCAAGAAGTTGAACAGTTTCCCATTCCTAACTCCTAGCGGAGCGGAGGCAACAGCTTCCCAAGACCGCCGTTTCAGGACCCAGCTCCGCCCGAGACCCTGGCGTCGCCCGCCCCCGCCCCCGCCCCCGGCGCCGCGCGGCCCCTTCTCGTCCGCGTTGGCCTTGGGCCTGCCGGGGCGGTCACTCGGGCGCTGCAGCAGACTGGACAGGCGCCGAGACCCGCAACCACGGGACTGTCAGACCCGAGGCGGCCTCCCCGCGGACGCCGCCCCTGCCCGTTCCTCCCGGGGCCGCTCCCCGCCCGCCCGCCCGCCTCCCCGCACCCAGGCGGCTCCGGGAGAGTCCCCAGCGACCGAGGGGCCGGACGAGCGCCGTTCGCGAGTCCCCGACGCCCCGGCAGGCCCCTACCTGCGTCCATCTTCCCTCTCCGGCCGCCCACTGAGCGCCGCGTCGCTCCGACGAAGCCGCAGCGCGACGCGACGGGCCGCCGCCAGGGCCAATCCGGAGCGCGGGCGGGGCCGGAAGTGCGTGAAAGAGCGCCGGTCGCCATTTTGGCGTACGGCGGGGCCGGACACGAAGGATCCGACTCACGCTCTCGGCACCCCGGCGGCCCCCGGCGCGCGCCCCGAGGAGCCCAGCAGCGACCCGTCAGGGCGGTGGAAGCAGACGCAGGCGGGCAGCGAAGCTTCGGGGCCAGCGCGTCAGGCCACCCCGCGCCCCCACGCGCCGGCGCGGCCATCTTGCCGTACGGACCGGCTCGACGCGCCATGTCACTGTACGGAGCGGCCGACCCGGGCGCCCCTGCTCACCCCAGACGCCGCGAGCGGCGGGCGGCGCCCGGCCGGGCGCCTGTGACCACGGGCGCGCCGAGGGCCGGCGGCGGGCTGCGGGCCGCGGAGAGGCGGGCGCCGCCATCTTGCCGTACGGCGCCGCGGGGGCCGGCTCCCACGTCCCGCAGCCGTGTCGCCGCGCACCTCCCCTCGGGGCGGTCCCGCTCCGGGCTCGGCGCGACGAGGCGAGGGCCGGAGCTTGGCGGCGGCGCGGCGGCCCGAGGCCCGAGATGGTGATCTGCTGCGCGGCCGCGAACTGCTCCAACCGGCAGGGCAAAGGGGAGAAGCGCGCCGTTTCCTTCCACAGGTAACCGGGCCCTGCCCTCCACCCGCTCGGCCCGGCCACGCCCCCGCCCGGCCCGGCCCCGCGCTGGAGAAACTGAGGCCGCGCGGCCCGGTCCGAGGGGGCACTTTCCGCGCCCGGCCTCGGGGCTGGTCTTACGAGTGAGTCAGCGCCGGGCGCTGTGTGACCTTGGCCGAGCCGCCGTCTCTGGGCCGGACGCCTCGGCCACCGCGGCCAGCGGTGCTCACTTCGCGGCCACCGCACGGCCACCAGCGCCCACCGGGTTCCACCCCGGGGCCAGCGGCGCCTATCCCTCGCGCACCCTTCGGCCCTTTGGCGGCCACCCCACAGCCGGCGGAAGGCCCTTCCACGGCCCCCCGGCGACCACCCCGCGTCCTCCCCTCTCTCGCCCCGACCCCACGGCCGCCGCGCTCCATTGATTCGGGGTGGCGCCGCCGGTTTCCAGAAGCCGCGTATTCTGGAAACCTCTTCCTTAGGTCAGTTGTCCTCTGCGATGGCTGTGGCTTATCTGCCGTTTTGATCGCGGGGGAGGCTGCTTTGATCTCTGCCATCAGGAATGTGGCGGAGCAAAGGCGTCTTATACCTCGTGGATTAACACGCGCCGCGGGCGCTCTGTTTCTGGAAGGGTCCCCGGTCCGCGGACGGAAAGGTAGCTGTGCCCCGGCGGTGAGACGAGTTCCTGCAGGGGCCCGACTGCCTCCTGCCCTGGGGCGGCGGCGCTTCGCGGCCGGCTCCCCCTCGAGGCCGCGGGGCGCTCGGCCCTGCCGAGGGTCCCCGCCGCCGGCCCGTCCCGAGGCCTCTGGGGCCCCCGTAGGCGCAGGAGGCCCGGCAACAGCGAACCGAAGGGCGTGTGTTTCACTTTTAAAGAGCCGAGGCACGACCCTGTTTGTGGACTTGACTGAGAGTTCGCTGTGGTGCACGCAGCCTTGGTTGTCGCCCTCTGCCACGGCGATCCCGGGCCGTGTCAGAGCAGCCCCGTACCTTCCTCCCGGTTTCCTTCAGAGCCTCTGCTCCCTAGAACTGTGTTTCTGTTTCGAAAACGAGGCACAGCCCCGCAGAGAAGGCTGCTGTTGGCCTTCATAACGGTCTAGCCTGGTGCGGGGGCAAAGGACGCCGGCGCTGAGCGGCTGCAGGAAGTTTAGAAGGCGGCGTCCCCGGGGACTTCCTGAGCCCTGCGGTTCCGCCGCGGGTCCGGGGCCCTCAGGTGTGGTGGTGACCTCGGAGGGGGCAGGTGGCCGCTGGTGCCCAGTGTGGTCAGGGTTTCCTATGTGCCGAACTGGGCTCAGTGAGAAGAAAGGATTAGTGAGTGTCTGCTCGGTGCCCTCCGGGGGCCAGGAGCGTGGTAGGAACACAACTGAGCGTGTGAGCGTCTGCCCTCCCGGGAGCTGGTCTCCCAGCCTCAGGTTGCTTGAGCCACTGCCGGCCCGGCACAGAGCCGGCTTCCGGGGTGATCTGCGGGCCGCTGGCACCCGTCTCTGCTGGCCGGCACCTGGTCTGGCCTCTAAGCAGCGCAACCGGCCATCTCACTCTGAGCACCCACAGCCGTGCGTCCCAGGCAGGCCTGGAGGGTGGCTTAGCCGTGACCTTCTAGGAACTATTCCCAGGGCTTCCTGGAACTTTTCCTGCTGTCTGGACGTCATCCTGTGCGTCTCTGAGCGTCCTGGGAGGGGTCATCCACCTCATTCCTGCCCGCCCCGCCGCTGTAAGCTCCTTCAGAGTAAACAGCAGGTCTCGCATCATGCCGTGCCCATAATAACTTGCAATACACTGTGCTCCTTTGGTGTTTACCCAGTTTTTAAATGGGTGAAGTCAATATAGGTTTGGGTGTTTGCAAAGACACTTGTCTTGCTTTTACAGTTGACCGTTTCAGGGGAGATGTAATTCTCTCTAATTGCTCCGCTGGTTGACCCGCAGGTTCCCCCTAAAGGACTCAAAGCGTCTGATCCAGTGGCTGAAAGCTGTTCAGAGGGACAACTGGACCCCCACGAAGTATTCCTTTCTCTGCAGTGAACACTTCACCAAAGACAGCTTCTCCAAAAGGCTGGAGGACCAGCACCGCCTGCTCAAGCCCACGGCCGTGCCCTCCATCTTCCACCTGACCGAGAAGAAGAGGGGGCCTGGGGGCCATGGCCGCAGCCGGAGAAAGGACACCAGAAAGGCCTCGGGGGGCCTGAGGGGACATGTGGGTGAAGCCGATGGGAAAGGAGCTGCCGGTTCCCCGTCGCCCTCGAGCGAGCACCTGATGGCCAAGTCAGGGTCCCGCAAGCTGAAGCGGGCCGCCCCGCAGGGCGAAGCCGCCGGCCTGGAGCGGGCGCCACAGGCTGCGCAGGGACCGCCAGGCGACGCTCCGGCCACGGCAGCATCAGGCAGCCGGGCGGACGCTGACGGGCCGGCCCACAACGCCAGCGCCGGGAGCAGCACCGCCCCCGGCGCCGGCCTGGTGGATAAGAGTGGCATCTCCGCAGATGACTTCACGCCCCCCGGGTCCGGGGCCTGCAAGTTCATCGGCTCGCTGCACTCGTACAGCTTCTCCTCCAGGCACACCCGAGAGAGGCCGTCCGTCCCCCGGGAGCCTGTGGACCGCAAGAGGCCGAAGAGAGACATGGAGCCCGGCTGCAGCGGGACGAGCCTGGGGCCTGACAAGGGCCTGGCCCAGAGCCCCCCGAGTTCGTCGCTGACAGCAACGCCGCAGAAACCCTCCCAGAGCCCCTCGGCCCCGCCGACGGACGTCACCCCGAAGCCGGCCGCGGAGGCGGTCCAGAGTGAGCACAGCGATGCCAGCCCCATGTCCATCAACGAGGTCATCCTGTCCGCGTCGGGGGCCTGCAGGCTCATCGACTCGCTGCACTCCTACTGCTTCTCGGCACGGCAGAACCGGAGCCGGGCCTGCTGCCTGCGGGAGCAGGTGGAGAAGAAGAATGGGGAGCTCAGGAGCCTGCGGCAGCGCGTCAGCCGCTCTGACAGCCAGGTGCGCAAGCTGCAGGAGAAGCTGGACGAGCTGCAGCGAGGGAGAGCGCCGCGCCCCAGCAGCCTGCCGACCCCCGGCCGCGGTCAGTACCTGCCTCGGGCCCCTGCCGCCTGTTCCTTGGGGGTCATGCTCCGCTGCGGCTCTGGGAGTAGCTGGGCCCCGCGGGCAGGGTGCCGGTTGGAGAGCTGGCCCCAGCGGCCCAGGGGCCCCTTGCTGTCGGGTCAGCTGCTCCGTGAATGGGGCCCTAGCACTTAGCGTTCCCCTCGGACAGGCAAGGTCTGCGTCCACGGCGTAGCGCACAAACGAAATTCCGGGTGGAGTAGGCTCTACGCGTAATATCTGTAGACGTGGAAAACTGTTAGAAGGTGATAGGAGACTCAGTCACAGGCAGGTTCTTTCAATTCTTATTTTCATAAGTATCCTTGAAGTTGAGTCATTTTGAACATTGGTAATAACAAAAAGATTTTAAGCATTTGGTCAAGGAGGATATACTCTCTTCTGTACAAATTAAAACACTACAGAAACACAGGTGAAGATTCCCTTTTCAGCGCCTCCCAACTTTTATTCCTGTTGATGTTAAAATTTGGTATGTGATCTTTCAGGTTATTTTGTGTGTTTTATCCTATATATGTTTGTACCTGTACAAATAGGTTGCGCATATTTTTCTTACGTTTATTGGCTATGTTTCTGCTTTCTCCTTTTTACTGTTTAATATTTACAAAAATTGGTTTCTAGGCAGTCTTTACATAGTGAGGATGGGTTTTTTTCTTTTTAATCCTCAAAAAAGGACATTTTTTCATTGCTCTTAGGGAGGAAGGGGGAGAGAGAGAAATTGATGAGAGAGGGAAACACTGATCGGGTGCCTCCTGCACACCCTGGACGAGGCCTCAGACCGGCAACCTGGAGGCTCCAGGATGACGCTGGGCCGGCCGAGCCGCCAGGCCAGGGCGAGGACAGGGCCCTCTGCCTGTTGCAGGTCCCTGAAAAAGATTTTTCGGCCACATTGTGCCTTTAATCTAGACCAGCTTGTCTCTGTAGACAGAATTAATGCTTTGGGAGGGAAAAGGCTCTCGTGTGACAGGTTGCTCTGGGTGTCCTGGACCCCCAGGACGCCCACCCCTGGCACAGCCCAAAGCCGTGCCTCCAGACGCACGCTCGGGGCGGAGCAGCCGCAGGTGAGGGGTCCTGGTAGCGGACCCCTGGCTTCTCCTGGCCTCTTCAGGCTGTGTTTTGCAGTTCCTTGATGCACTTCCCTTTTCTGTTCCTCTTGGTCGGATGTCCCAAAGTGTGTCACTTGCAGGTCTCCCTAAGCAGCCCGCCCTCCCCTCCGCCGACCGGGTCTGCCTTGCTGTCTCTGCCTCCTTAGCCCTGCTCCTTCCTACTTGCCTTGTTTCACTTTGTCTTCAGTTTCACTTTGCGGTGGTTCTGGCCCCGGGACGGACGGGGATGCTTAGCTGAGCTCGTTCTGGCACAAGTCTGCTTCCTGGTGCCCGCGGTCAGAGCCCGGCCCCTCCTCGTCCCGCCCCCTCGGTGCAGGGGCTGGGGGCGGCCTCGCGCTGTGCGCGCCGCTGCGCTCTCCTGGGTCTGCGCCGGTGCCAGCCCTGGTGGCTCTCGAGCCCAGGTTAGGACAAGGGGGTTGGCAAGGCAGCAGATTCGGGGAGGGGGGCTGATTTACGTGTAACTGCCCGAAAGTTGTAAGTTCCAGTCATATGGTCTCTCAATCTTAAAGAGAACTGCTTTTTAGAATCTTTTGAGATTTCTCTGTGGCTTATCCCAGTGGGTTTCTTGTCTCGTTGTGGTTTGACAAGAAGTCAACAGATGGGTTTCCTTCTCTGCCTGGTGCTGCTTTTTAACTCGACACCCTGTTGGAGGTGTGTGTCCGGGACTGTTACCCCCACAGAAAATCCCTTTTGTCCCATTTGAAGTCCTCTTTCTTTCTTTTTTGAAGATTTTATTTATTTATTTTTAGACAGCAGAAGGAAAGGAGAAAGAGAAGGAGAGAAACGTCCATGTGTGGTTGCCTCGCACGTGCCCCCTGCTGGGGACCTGGCCCGCAACCCAGGCCTGTGCCCTGACCGGGAATCGAACCGGTGACCCCTTGGTTCACAGGCCAGCGCTCAGCCCACTGAGCCGCACCAGCCAAGGCTAAAGTCTTATTTCTTAATCTCCTTATGTTCAGCCCTTTCGTGTCCCCATATCGTATAGCTAAATTCCAACTCCGTCTGAGAGCCTTCATCTTTTTACGGAGTGATTCAGTCCATTTTCAGTTGTGATTATTGGTCAGCAGGAACCCAGGCCTGACGGTGCACTCTATGTTGTAACTCGGGAAGCCTTCTGGGGTCCTCTGCGGCTCTCCCGTGCAAGTCTTCCCGCTTGTGCGCGCCTCTACCAGGAGCCTCCCAGGAAGTGCTGCGCTCTCCCCGCCGGCCTCCCCCGTCGGGCGCCCCCGGGCCCGGCCCGCCGTGGTCCTGGGGCCTTATTCTCTGTGTCCCCGCCAAGCCTAACGGTTGGTTGTGTGTGTGCGTTTTATTGGTTATTTTAGTCGTCACTACTTACTGTATCCAGATTTGTCCCTTTTGGGGAGATAAGTTCAATGACTTTTTTGGGACACACATGACAGTAGAATTTTGAGAGGAATTGAGGATGAGACCCTCCTTCAGTGCTGGTGCCAGGGAGCTGGCGCCCGCCCTCCTAACCCTTTGGCCGCGTCTGCATGGCGTGGCGGTCAGCGGCGCTCAAAGCCATGGGACTGCGTGAGGTCGCCTGGGGAAGCTGTGTGGCCGCGGAGGGGCCAGTGCCCAGCCCTGGGGCAGGTACTGTTTCCAGAGGTGCCGCAAAGAGGACCCAGGAAAGGGGAGCATGGGCCACAGGCCGGGGCCGGGGTGGGCGTTCCAGGCAGGAGGGCGCTCGGAGGCCTGCAAGCCTGAGGGAGGGCGGGTCTCAGACGCGGGCGTGCTTGGCTGGGTTGGACAGAACTTTGATCAGAGTGGACAAGAGGTGGCTGGACTCAGCCACATGGGGTCACTGGTGACCACAGTCTCCTCAGAGTGATGGGAGTGGAGCTGGGGGGGGCAGGGATGAGGCATTTTCAGAGGTTTAGCCATGAAGGGGAGTCGCAGAAGGGGGCGGCAGCCAGCGGGAGCGTGGCTGTGGCAGAGAATCAGACCCGCAAGGCGCAGAGCAGCCGGCAGGGGTCTGTGCTGGAGGAGCCGGGCAGGGGCGGAGGCCTTGCTGGGCTGGGTCCTGGGGCGGGGAGGAGGCAACCCGGGACCGAGGCTGCTCTGGCGGGTGCCCGGTGCTCTCTGCCTCCATGGGGCGGGCCTGGGGGCAGGGTGAGGCTGGGCGCCAGCTGGAGGGCGGGAGAGGGCACGGGACCCCAGGGGCAGTGGCAGGGAGGGAGGGCACCGGGTGCGGTCCCCACGGCCTGCTCAGAGCTCCCACCGTGTCTCTGGCTCTGTCCTCCTCAAATCGTCTGCTCTCGGCACCTCCCGGTGCTCTTAGGGCTTTGCTGTCAGTGGGGGAATCTCGATCTTTGTGAGTGGGCTTCCCGCCAGAGGGGCTGTGCACGTGTTGAGTCACTTACCCATGGCCAGTCCCTTTAGTTTTGGGCAGAGCAGCTGGGCGAGTGCGCTGTGGGTTCTCGGGTTCGGAGGCAGGTCCCAGCTGCCCTCTGGAAAGCTGGGCCTGATTGTCCTTCTCACAGGACATGGTGACTGTCTTCAAGTCTGCCCGGGCTCTGGGTGTCCTGGCGTTTGCATCAGGGTGTGTCGGTGCTGCTGACCCGGTGAGGGCAAACCTGTCTCCCCGTCCATTCTTTCTCTGCCACGTCCCTGCTTGCAACACCCGCCTTGCTACACGCGGGGTGGGTGTTCTGAGGTAATACGTGTATTCACTCTCCATCAGGTATGAGTCAACCATTCCCTCCGATTAATAATTTAATACTTAAGTCCTGGCTGGCGTGGCTCAGGGGGCTGAGCGCCGGCCTGCAAACCCAAGGGCCTCCGGTTCGATTCCCAGTCAGGGCGCAGGCCTGGGTAGAGGCCAGGCCCCCAGCAGGGGGCGTGAGAGGCAGCCCCACAGGGACGTTTCTCTCACTCCCTTCCCCTGTCTCTAAAAATAAAATAACTAAGATCTTTATACATGTAATTTTTTTTATCCTCACCAAAGGACTTTTTTTTTTCATTGATTCTCAGAGAGAGACACACACTTTGATATAATAAGAGAAACGTTGATTGGCCACCTTCTCCCACACACCCCGACCACGTACTGAACCCGCAGCCTGTGCCCTGACCAGGGCTCGAACCTGCAGCCTTTGTGTCTGTGGGACGACGCTTCAACCAACTGAGCCACACCAGCCGGGGCCTTACAATTCTTGAATTAACCTGGAGTTTGAAAAACTTTGTTGTGGAAAGTCTTGAACTTAAACAAGGAAGTATAATAACCTCTCCATTTACCTATCCGCAAACTTCAACGTATATTGCTACTTGATATTTTTATTTCACTTATATTTCTACTTACTACTTTCCATTGATTATTTTTTAATTAAATTTTCTTAGGAAAATTTTAGATTCCCAGGGAAATTCAGCAGACAGTGCAGACTTTCTCCCCTCGCCCCCGAGTCCCCTCTGTTGCTCACTTCTTGCCTTACCACCTGTGCTGGGGGTTCATTACCTGCAAGCGATGAACCGCTGCGATGCATTAACTAAGCCCACCGTTTACTAAAATTCACTCTCTTGGGCTTGTCTTTTGACAAAGGCATCATGTTACATATCCACTATTCCAGTACTGGATCATTTGGAATAGTTGAATCGCCCCCAAAACCCCAGCGCTCCACCTGTCCTGCCCCTGCACCCCAGCACCCAGGGGCCTCTCCGCTGGTTCTGCAGGTCGGCCCTCCCCCGAAGGCCACGTGACAGGAACCTGGGGCACCGTGGGTGCGAGCGTGAGCTTTTCCAGGTTTGCTCCTTTCGCTGAGCAACATCAGTTAAGGCCCCTCTGTGTCTTTTGGGGATAATAGCTCGTTTCAGCGTTTTTCATTTTTTTAAATATTGAATTAAAATATGTCTAACAACAAATTTACCA